AAGTGTGAAGTGCGAAGTGGAGCTTCAAATGTGACATGTGAAAGAGGACACCACTTTCGCAGAATGCACGCACGCACGGGCTTGGCTGGCGCACGGCGCATGCAAGTTCTATAGGTGAGAAAGGTCTTATATATATCTTTAAGGCAACTTCCGCCCCGCCTCGTGCGGGTACTACTGGTATATTATTAAATAACAATATTTTATCTATGATAAGATAACTGCCCATTGCTGTTAAACCATCGCAATTTGGAACAAATACTGTTGTCCAATTTGTATGGCTGGATAATAATGTTTCATCACAGGAAATAATTACATTACCATCCCATAAACCGCCATTTGAACTTGTTGCATACTTATTTATATGAAATCTTCCTAAAGCATAATAATTTTTTTCATCTCTCATACTGTTTCAATATATTAGTTCAAAATCAATTGCAGACGATCAATTATTCATATTGTCAGACGAATAATATTTGTTTTAGGTATTTGTAAAAAATAAATAAATACCATTGCCACATGCTATATGTTTAATTGTAGCACTTCCTGTAAATTTTGTTGCCCAGGTATTTCCATTATCAGTAGAAAGGTAGACACTCTTTTAAATAGAGGTAATACCAAAGCAGAGTTTTCATGTTTACACAAGAGGGCATATACTCTTTTATATAGAGATAATGCCACTACTGTGTCTGAACTTCAATTTAATGTAGATAGATACTCGTGTAGATAGAGATACTATCACAATTTGTCTCCACACACTTTCCGCCGAGCAGAACAGCTCCAAATGGAGCGAATCAAATTTACCAACTCCGAATTTTGTCCATCGTCCGCTTGAATGAGCGACTTTGGAGATCTGCTGTATTCGTTTATTTTGTGATTCTGTCAATGGTTTCCCATCTGACCTCAATGTCTGAATCTTGAAATTTGAACGTTTGGAGGACGGATTTTTCACACCGGTAGAGCATTTTGCTTGGAACGACCGTGCTTCGCGCACCATTGTCGGGAATATAATTAGCGAATCCGCTGTTTTCACTTCGACATGTCCTTAGGACAATTGGCCCCTTTTCAATCTGCTATCATCCGCTATTTTTGTAAAGAAACCACTGCGTGACTTCCGCTCATTTTGCTGATTAGCCACGTGTAGTATAGTGCAGGCCCTAACTCTTATTCTCAATTGGGTACGACAAAGCGTAGTGCTTTACCCATTGCCTTTGAATTTGTGCCTGTGTTTTTGTTTTGGCTTGGACCCTATGTGGATATAGCATGAGTATTGAGCACACTTACATACGCTGTCAAGATATAGAGTACTCCTGTGGACACCACACCGGCTGGCTAGTGGCCGTGTGAATAAGAGGGTGTGAAGCTGTCCTGGGAAGACGCTCTAGCTGATCTAACCTAGACGCTAGTGCCCCTCTTCAGCCCTCCCCCCAATCCCCCCCTCCCGCTTTTCTATTTAAATTTTAATTTGCACATTTTTCAACACACTAGTTTCATTAGTATATATATATATATATGCGTACATCTATATCTATATCTATATATATATATATACATGTATATAGATGTACACGCACACACACACATATATATTTATATATATAGATATATGTATACTTATATATACATACACACACAAATACATATATATATATATTTATATACATGTAATATATATTATGATTGTTTATATACACAGCTTTCATCCCAAAATAATTTATAAATAATCATGTGCATGGATACGCATGCACATTAATCATAGTTGTTTGTATGTACATGTTGTATCCCTAAATAACCCCGAATCCGACCCTAAACAAACCCTGAACAGACACTAAACCAACCCTAAAGAAACCTTAAACCAACCCTAAATAGACCGTAAACAAATCTAGACGAAACCATAAACCAACCCTAAATAAACCCTAAATCAAACCCTGCATATATATATATATATGTATATATATGTATATATATATTAAATACACTTGTAAATGCACTGATCTACATATACATATAGTCATGATTAGTCATGCATGTATACTTCTATACATCTTCAATTTATAGTTTGCACAGCGTGTACTTCCAAAAATCAATGAAAACTTTGGAAAAAAACAATGAAAACCATGTAAAAATCAATGAACACTCTGGAACAATCAATGAAAACAAGTGAAAACTGAATGAAAAAAAAAATGGAAAAATTGAAGAAAACCATTGAAAATGGAAGAACACCATGGAACAATCAAACAAAACCATAGAACAATTGAAGAAAACCATGGAAAGAATCTATGAAAATCATGGGCAAATCAGTGAAAATTATGGAAAACTCGATAAAAACCATGGAACAAATTCTGAAACCAGTGGAACAATTGATGAACAGTGCGAATGAGAGATTTTAACACAAAATGCAGCAATTGAGAAATTTTAGCTGCAAAAACCAAGGAAGGGAACCTGGACGACCAAAAAAAATTGCCAACTTAATTCCGCCCCCGATCTTATTTTGTATGTTTTCATAACCTATCTGTATCTATTTTTTCCATTCAACTTCTAGCTCATCTCGTGACCATTTTCATCATCCCTGGTATTCAAAATATCACGCGCCTGGGGGATCCAAACTCCAAATGTAACAAACACCATGCAAATCAGAGAGCTTAGCTGCAAAACGCTGCAAATACCAATGAAAACCATCAAACCCAAAAAACAGGGAAAAATCCCCAAAAAAACGGGAAACACATCCAAAAAAAACATGCAACCCATTTTTATAGGTGGTATAAATGAAACCATTCCACAATTGGTGGTTTATGACATTGTTTTACCCACATTATACCTATTTCACGGGTGACAGAACCCATATTTTGCAGCTGGGGCTCTAGGACTTCATCCTGAAACCTGACACGCCTGAGTCGCTCGGACGTGGAACAACTCTTGGAGTCCGAAACCATTCGGAAGGGGCATCAACTGATAGGACTTGTGAGGGGAAACCCCAAAATGATCCTCCATGAACTGAGTATAGCTGAGTTACTAAGGTTGGTGAATCAAAGTGATTCAACTGGATGATCCAATTTCGGTGTTTCGATGCTCGGCCCAGGACCCCCTGAGCCACTGACTTCCAGGGTAACTGGTCTGCAGAAACTCACCAAGCGATGACCAAAATAGAGGATGCTAAAGCTATCAGCACATCTGTTCAGATGTGGGGACAACATGGGACAACAGACTTCAAACATGTCGTGATCATGGCACAACATGTGAGGACAACGTCCGATTGTTTGTGCATGCCACCGAGGGGAAAAAACACCAGATCAGGCTCACAAGGAGCGCTGGTTGCAACCAACAGCCTGTTGCAGTTATCAGTGGTTTCGCTGCATGACACTGAGAAGGGATAGGCACATGGGCCATATGGAACAAGACTTAAGACGCTGAGACTGACAATGATTTTGCATGGTCCTTATCAAAGTCATCCATTGTTGGGGTGCTGATTTTTGATCCATGCCCATATAGTCAAATTGGTACATCTTGCATTTGGATAGTGTGAACAAAAGATTTTGGGATACAGTTGTGGGACATCCTGATTTCATTGTTGTGTCGTTCCTCCCGAATGGACAAACTAAGACTTGAATCAACAACTCTCATTTTCAAAGCTGGTTGCTTCGCCAACAGTGGATGCATTCCCTGAAAATCCTATAGGAACCAACACTTGCCGCCATGGAGTGTGGGAAGGTTGTGAGGTGGGCCGTTCTGCTGGGATTTCTTGGTGCAGCAGTGCTGGAATACTCCTTTGCGCTGTCACCCCGGGCCAGTGAGATAGTGGTGGCACAGGTGAGCGGTGCCAATGCCACTCACACGATTCTGGACACCTCTTCCAGCTTTTTGGCGTCACCCAGTTTTTTGGAGACCTCTCCAAGCATTCCTCAGACCCCTCCCAGCGTTGGGGAGGCCGCACCGAGTTTTCTGGAGTGGTCTGAACAGAAGCGGCAACCCCCTCAGCTACTGCAAGCAGGATTGAATTTGCCATCGAAAGTGTCGCAGGAGTGTTTGAAGTTTATCCATATTCCAAAGAATGCGGGCAGCACGGTTTACGAGGAGGCTGAAAAATATAAATATGGCTGGAGTGTTGATGACCATACGTTGAAATGTCTCCGTGGGGAGAAGTGTACGAACTATGGATTCACCAGGCCCTGCTGCCGGCCAAAGCAGTCGAAAGATAGATGCAGCATTTGGCACTTCCCCCCTGCTGAAGATTCGGTGCTTGCAGAGCGCTATGCCCGTTGCAAAACGTTTTGCATCATTCGAAATCCCTTGGGGCGCTTCATCAGTGAGTACAAGTGGCACATTCTGAGGTGGAGTAAGGGATCTAAGAACAAGAGACACAAAAATCTTATTTGCTCCCCTGCTGCTCTGGAAAACTATTTCGAAGAAGTGAAGCGCGGGGGCCGCTTGAATTTTGCAGACGATTGCCATTTGCTACCGCAAGTGAAGTACGTGTTTTCGAATGACCTGCAGCGCCTTCATTGCAATCACGTACTCCGTTTTGAGAATCTCACCAGCGAATTCAATGCTATCATGAAAGCTTACCGGCTTGCCATCCGCTTGGAAGATGGGAATGAGGGTCTACACAAACACTATTATGCAATACCCTGCAAGATTACGCTGACTGAAGAGATGAAAAGCTGGATCTATGAGACATACAGGCAGGACTTTGAACTTTTTGGCTACAGCATGGCCTAGAAAGACTTAGAAAGAATTCCTGCCACTGGCCTGGGTCAACCACAAGCAGATCAAGTTATTTTGTTGTCTCACGGAGCGATCGTTGCCAAGCACGGTCACCAACATGTTGCGCTTTCCGAGCGGAGAAATATGGAGAAACTGAGATTTTGGCTGTTTTACGAGGAGCGCCTCAGGGTTGCTTGACTTGCCCAACGGAGTGGCCAGAGCTCATAAGATTCATCAGTGGGTTGTATACACATTTCTGACCTCTGCCCCTCCAACCTTGTGGGCTTCATGACCCGAGCCGAGGCGGTCAGCAAGGAATGGACCAAGCACGTCCAACCTGCGCAGCGTGGACCAGGGTGGTGGGGTTGTACTCGGGGACCCCGCGTAGGTGAGGTGATGTTGCAGGGAATCTAGTCACACCAGGTGCGAGAGGCCCAAATCCGCTATCCTCCAAGCAGTCTTTGGTCACAAGATGTCACAAGCAAGATCAGAAATTTAGTTGACCGCAGTGACACTGTCTCCCTGTAAGCCTTCCTAGTAGCACATTGCTGTGGGATTTGTGGGCCAGCAACGAGGACATTGGAGACAAGCTAAAGCTGAAGTTCAAACATGTGCGGGATGCCTTCAGGCCCTTGAATCTCCAAAGGCCTCAGGGGTGCAGGGGTCTCCAAAACAGGGTGAAGAAATCAGGGCAAGGCGCTTCTGGGTGGCTTTCCCTGGTGGTTTTGGTATGTTTTGGTTCATTTTGTTTTTGGTTCATTTTTTTTGGTCCCCTTCTCATTTTGTGCACGGATTCCGGGTTTCTTGGCCCCCACCGAAAGCCAACTTGGAGCCAGGTTAGGAAAGATCAATCGCGAAGAGATGCGCAGCTTCTTCCGTGGCTTTGGGCACCCCAAGGCCGACGTCTTGGACGACCATGTCGTTCTGCAGTGACCTTGGGCTGGTATGGAGAGATTTGACGAGAATCATTGGAACTTTTCAGGATGGGCAAGAAGGGCCGTAGATTCTTGGTGTTACCATTGTAGTCGGCATTTTTTCTGCTGGCTTTGCCTGGTGGTTCCATTCTTGATACCTCCAGCTGACTGGCCATGTTGACGCTGAAACAGGATGTGGCAGATCGTGTCTTTGACCTTCTGCAGGCCACAACCACAGCTGAAATCACCCCTGCTTCCCAGTTGAGAGATTTGTTTCAAGTGATTTGATTTATGTCGACGTTAACATGTTTTTTAAATAAAAATAATATATTATATGCATTTATATACATTATATATATATATGTCTTTGTGTGTGTGTTGCGCTTTTTTAAATCCATTGAGTCATTATGAGTTTCCACCTGGAAAGGCTGCACCAAACCATTGTTTCCGAAGCGCCAGGACAAGGCTGGTGAGGTGGAGTACGCCGTGTTCATGTCTCACTTCGAATCAGTTCTGGGGCCGGTGACACCCAGCGGCGGAAAGCCGCGCAGAGACTTTGGACGCCCCAGGATGGTTTTTCCTTGGAGTGAGACATCTTCAGATTTGGGAAGTCAGAACTGGTGCCCCAACCTGGCTGGTCAAAAATGCTGTGACATTTTGATGGCATTTTCTACCAAATTCTCGGTGCGGACAGAAAATGATGGATCCCCAAAACCGTAGCTTTCCTTACTAACATGCTCATCCACTGGATGGAGGGTACCCAAGACTTCGGAAACCTCCAACAAATCCCATGAAATCCCATTAAATCACCATTAAATCATCATTAAATCACAATTTTTGCTGGTAATCCCTATGAAATTTGCATGAAAAGAGTCCGGCTTCCGCCTCTAAGGCGGGACTTTCGGCAGCTGACACAGGCGCCCATCATTGCGTTGGAGGATCCTCTCGCCAGTCGAGAGGCGAACTGGGGAAGAAACTTACGAGATGTCCATATATCAGTTGGTCATTTTACACATTTTGGGTATATATTTTTTTGGTATATGTATAATATGTATATATATATATATATGCATATGTAATGTAATGTAATGTAATGTTATGTTATGTAATGTAATGTTATGTTATGTATGTATATATATATATCTCACCAATTATCTACGATATGGTTTGGGAATTTTGGACCAAAGTTTGGACAACATGTTGGAAACATTGGGTTTCGACCTGGCAGTTAGCATGGAGATGCGTCATGTCATGTCACGGCGGACAAATAGCTCCGGGCTAGCCACCTCATAACAATGAAATTCCACAGTAACAATACTGAACCATAACATTCCACAGTATTATTCCGCTACTAGCCGCTACTAGCCACCTCATGAAATTCCTCATAACAATGTTCATCTTCATGTGCCCCCAAGATGGTTGAACCATCCTGCCTCTGAAAGGTGGATGGGACGATTGAGGCCTTCAAGCTGCAGCCTTGGACGTTCGCACTTTGGGCACTTTGGGCACTTGGGGCACTTGGGTCACAGCACGGAACTGGGTTTCACCAGATGGATGCTGAAAATCCGAATGAACCAAACAAATCTGTCCATCAAAATCTATCCACCCATCCATCCACCCATCCATCCATCCATCTATCCATCCATCTATCCATCCATCTATCTATCTATCTATATCTATATCTATATATATATATATATCTCTCTCTCTCTCTTTCTTTCCTTCCTTCCTTCCTTCCTTCCTTCTCTCCCAGTGTATGTATAAAACCAAGTGTGTGCAAATTGCGGCCTTGTGTTTTCAATCTGAGTTGGCGTTTTCCCTTTGCTGAACCCACCCATCTCCAAGGGCCTTTTTGATGACAAAGTGCAGGAACCTGCAGGAGGTGCAGCGCAGGGCCCAAACTTGTGTCCTGTGGGTAGGTCTGTGGGGTCCAGTCCCAGATGCCGATTTCTTCGGTTTTCTCCGCTTCCAGCCCTTCTTTTGGGAGGCTTACCGCATCTTGGATTACGAACAAGGACGGCAAGGTCAGCTGTCAGGAAATGCGAAACTTTGCCAAAAGGCCCGGACCCTTGGCCTGGGGAAACAACTGATGGAGAATTTTTTTTGGGATGGATCAAAGCAAGAAAATGAGGGGGTGAACATCCATTTGCCCGTGATTTTGATGTTGCGTATGTTGGCAATTGGCTTGGGACTGATGCCCAAGATCTTTGTTCGAGTGGGATACTTGCGTACTATGCCTGAAAAGTGGGAGAAGCAAGCAAGCAAGCATGATCAGTAATACCGGTACCTTTCCCATTAAATCCGCATTTGCAGGGGATTTCCCATTGCCATAAATTCATGAAGGGAGGGTATACCCCACTACCACTGCGGAGGCTTGGCGTCTCGGCACGAGCATCAGATCAGCTGTTCTTCGCGCTGGATGTGGACAAGATCGGCTACTGGGTGTGGTGTTTCGCGTGTTTTAGGTGCGTGATTTTTGTCGTGGCTGAGCTAGGATACTCTACAGAGAACATGATATTTGATGGCTGCTATGATTGTTGTGAATGACCATTACGTCCAATACAATAAGAATCATGTTGTTGGCTATTGTGGCATTGTGATGATCATGGTTCCTACAGTCCTACAGGATCTTACAGGTAAAGCGTGTCAGCTGCAGATGTCAGGTTGGATCAACTACCTGCAGTGGTGGCCCTGGATCCGAAATATCGTAGCAGCGCAGAGCAGTGCAGGTACCGTAACAGCCGAACTCCAACGGTCACGGGAAGCAAGCAGGATTTGATGAATAATGCTACAAAAAAATCCCAAACCTGGAACCCAAGAATTGTTTGGAAGATTTGGAAGACACTTTCTGGTATTGGAAAGGGTCCTTCGGGCTGCTGTATTAGATTTTGTCATCACAGGCTGGAACAGCCTACACTATATGTGATATTTGTGTGTAATGTTGGATAGCTCTCTCTCTCTCTCTCTCCCTCTCTCTCTGTTTGTCTTTATGTGTCTATGTCTTTATGTCTTTCTGTCTTGCTGTCTTTGTGTCTTTCTGTCTTTGTGTCTTGCTGTTTTTGTATTTTTCTGTTTTTATGTCTGGCTGTCTTGGTCTTTCTGTCTTTGTGTCTTTCTGTCTTTCTGCCTGTCGGTCTCTCTGTCTCTCTGTTCTCTCTACCCCTCTCAGTCTTTATATTTTGCAGTGTATGTAATATATATATATATATATGTACTCATACATCGTATAGATATGTATAAATTGTAGATTTGCATGAACGGGCAAACTTGTATAATTCATGTATATGCCAGCGGGGGGAAAACCGCGCCAGCGTTTTGACCGTTTTTGAAACCACACAGATTTTATCCGTAGCATGCACATCTTACGTTACGTCACTGGGTTGGGGGAGTGGGGGATGTTAACGTTCATGTTAACTTGCGTCACATGCACATCTTACCTTACGTCACTGAGTTGGGGGAGTGGGGAATGTTAACGTTCATGTGAACTTGCGTCACATGCACATCTTACGTTACGTCACTGGGTTGGGGGGTGGGGCATGTTAACATTCATGTGAACTTGCGTCACATGCACATCTTAGGTTACGTCACTGGGTTGGGAGGGTGGGGGATGTTAACGTTCATGTGAACTTGCGTCACATGCACATCTTACGTTACGTCATTGGGGGGGGTGGGGGATGTTAATGTTCATGTGAACTTGCGTCACATGCACATCTTACGTTACGTCACTGGGTTAGGGGGTGGGGGATGTTAACGTTCATGTTAACTTGCGTCACATGCACATCTTATGTTACGTCACTGGGTTGGCGTTGGATGAGCTCCAAGACGAAAAGTGTTATGGAGGTCACAGGTCGAGCCTTGAAAGACAAGCCCTCGCCTCTCCGCTCCCACACCCCGTCGGACCAACAGACATGGTGGGCCCAGTCCAGTGCGTTGTCTACGACCTGAAAGCGAGGTTCAATGGGGACAAGGCCCTTGTTCGGCGAGAGCTCCTCCGCCGTGGCTACCGCCCCGCGCGGGTCAGCCAGCTGCTCCTGGAGTGCGACCAATTCCCTCCTCAAAACCAGCGGCAGCGCGACAGGCAGAGCTTCCAGGACCGGCCGAACATGAAAAAAGACATGATACCCCAGATATCGAATTAACTAGAAATGAATGATACACCATCGATCATCTTGAGTCTATCACAAATGTTGGAGCAAGTATACAGTAGGTTGATCACCCATGCCCCGATGCATCTCATCGAAAACAACGCGAATTGGACTTTATGAGGTCTAAAAAGATAGCAGTTTCGAATAAAAAAGGACATGATATAACGATCAGCCTGTCAGGATTCCGACATCTCTTAGTGTAGAAAGATCAATGGATGCAACAGAAAATGAAACAATCGAACAAAGAATTCACACCCCTACAGTAGATCCACTGCTTATGTAAAAAAAAATCGAAATATAAGAATATGTATATATCACATACATCTGGATGTCTCTACGACCTCGCTATTCCAGAGCCTTTAAATTGGACCCGCCCGGAACTGAACTAACTCACATCGAAGGACGTGGTCACAGGCACCATGATGGAGCTGCAGAGGCTCCGCATGGTGCGCAAGAACCTGCTGGGGGTGGCGCGCCGCTTCCGCCAAAGGCGGATCAGCGGCAGGAGGAGGTGGGTCCGGAATGTGCAACGACACATCCGGGCCCTTCTCAACCAAGTGCACATCCGAGACCTTCAGGTGAACCAAGTGGGCTGAGGCCGGGGAATGGGACTGAAGTCCAAAAAGGGGGGGGGAAGGAAGACTCATTTACTATATATCACTTTTCGCGAAGGGCGACTTTCTATCTTCCATGCAACGATGCTTCAAATCAAACCATTAAGACTATAGGCATCGATATGCAACTTCAAGACTTGGCATTCGAAAGTCCTATTTGGCAAGACCCGTTGTACGTATTAAAAGCCCGGTCTTTACATCCCCTGGACACCCCGAAAACACTGACTGTACACCATGATATAAATCGAAGGATGTAGTGACCATTCCACTTCGCTAAAGATTGCGACGTCCCCAATTCCCATCCACGGAGCCCCCATCGCCATACAATCCCAGAGAAGGTGTGCGATATTATTCTACTACACACCGATCTACAGATGATGAAGATAGAGAGAGAGAGAGAGCGGTAAGAGAATGACAATGTGTCCTTACATGAATGCACGCATATAAACATCTTGTAATGATATCGGACGCCGGATTTTTTTTCCAAAAGAAAATCGATCGACCACGTCGCCCTGCCAAAACGCCCCGCCGCAGGAACAGGAGAGCGGCAAACAGAGCACAGAAGTCGCCGCACAGGCCCCCCTCCCACCGGACGAGCACAAAGCCGTCCGGTGGGAGGGGGGTGAGAGGCGCAAAACGAGCAACGGCAGAAGACGGCGGAAAAAAGACGATGTTCTGGCGAGTATGGGATTTACCCCACGAAGAGAAAATCCATGTTGTTCATCCGTTGCAACAAACTGTTCTGATAAGAGGGCGAATTTTATCTTCCGCATGCGGCCAGCTGGATGACTGGATGCCCACGGTGATGTAAGAGGGGTGAGTAATGAATGTCTGTAAAATGCCTCAATCAGACATGCCATATACAACCCGATTTATCTATCTGCTCATAAAGGAAAAACAATGGTGTAGCAATGTGAGTTGGAAAAAAAGACCCGGCGAGTTTTCAGGAACAAATTCCCTGTAATTTACAGGTTATCGTTTAAAAACCACTTCAAAGTCCAGTGGAATTTTGAGCCAATTTTGGGGCATGAATCAGTAGTTTCGCTATGGCGAAAACGACATTCTTAAAAAACAACATCAAAACGCTGGCGCGGTTTTCCCGCCGACGGGATATATATATATACATACATGTAGCTATACAGGTTACATTGTTACGTATACATATACATACAAACCATGTACAATGCCGCATGTGATTGTTTGTTTCTCGCTATCAGCTTGGTCTGCTTGTTTTTTGTTGTATGATCACTATGGGCCGATATTAGCTTGTGGTGACATTTGTTTACTTTTCTCGTTACGTGTTTAAAATCAGCCCTCGGCGGCGCGCGCCTTGGTGCGCTTTTTCTTTATTATATTGCTATGTCGCTATGTGTATTCAGGTTTGCCTTGTTTGGACAGGATTTCGCGATGGCAACAAAGGCTCCGGTGCAAAATGTTGTTTCTGCTGTTGGTGCTGTTGTCTGTCTGCGTGAGTAGTGAACAGGTATCAGCATTGAGAACATGGGCGATCGCCTATGAAAAACCTCACGCTACCTTCACCGATGAGGTTCTGTTACATGAGTTACATATATATATATATACACGCGACACGTATTCACATTGTTTTCTTCGCCTCAGGACATTGCCAGCCACCAGCCCAAGGAGCTGGTGGCTAGGATTGAACGGAATGAGTGGAGCGGTAAGCTCCACCTCGGCCGCTTCGAGGCGCGCATTGTGTTGGTGAAAGTGTTCTGTTGTGTTTTTTCCCCCTTGGTCAGGATCACAAGCTATTTTTGTGGCTTGTCTTCGACGAGGACGGTTCGCGATTAGTTGTTTTTTTGTTTGCGCCGCGCTCTTTCTGTTTTTTCTTATATTTTCTTCTAAAAAGCAGGTGCCGATGGTGACCCCCCAGGATTGGCTCAAGGGCACAAGGTGGGACGGCATGCCGTACCACGTGACCCTTGGTCCAACGCAAGGTTGCATGCTGCTGACTTAAGGTCCCAGGCGAGCAGTGGATTTTCGGGTGATATGTTTTCAAAGGCCGTGGTTCCCAAGGGGTACCTGCTCAACAATGTAAAGCCAGCGTGGATGCCCGGGTGGTTTGCTTTGACGGTGATTGCGCAGGAAACCACCACTGGGGTATCGGGGGCAGGCTCCTTGACCACCAAAATCCCGCCACACGTGGAACCACCGGTGCCCAAAGTGGGTCTGCAGACTCAGCTTGGCAATGATACGACTGCGGTGGTCGGCCAGATAATTTTCGACGCCGTCCCAGCCGCTCTGGCGCCAAGCCCTGGGCATTAATATTGCACAGCAATGCGCGCGCTAAGAGCAGTGAAGAAAAACGAAATCAACTTGCCCATACAACCTGTCCAGGAATGCCATCGAGCTCCAAAAGCAACAAAGACAGCGCGTGTGACCGGCTACTTTCTGAGGGAAGCGGGTGTGCTATGAATATGGTCAGAATTTCTTTTGCGCAGTTCATCAGCGAACATTCACACAGGTTGCTGTGCGTTTGACTTTTGCATGGTACAGAGGCTGCTGCTATAAAGTCTATGGCTTTTAAACCAGAGGCTATCGACCGGTTGACAGCACTGCTTGCAAGCAAATCAAATCAAGAACATGATGCCGCCAGCCCTTGCGTGTTTCTAGTGTCACCGCTTTTGATGATATTCTTGTGGTATGCCGTGCAGCAGCATATCGCTTTGATCTTTCTATCACGGCCGATGTTGAACTTGTGCGCATGCTAAATCTGGTGGCTATAACGGTGCGCCATTGTTGGGTGTACTGAATTATATACAAAGCAAGATTTCACAATGAAGCTGCTGGCTAGCGTGCATGTTCAAAAGAAGCCGAAGCATTGCCTTTGCTTTGCTTGTATCCCTGGCAATAGAGTCGGTTTGAGAGTCTGCTTTTTCTTTGTTGAATTGGCATGCTGCAACTCTTATTGCGCTTTGATGATTTGACTAGCTAACCAAATGAATATGCCGCCGTGCTGACAATTCCACACTGCCAACTTCTTACTGGTTGTTTGATGCTTGAAGTTGCGCTATTGCAAAACTAACAAGCATCTCTTGGATGCCTTGGACGAAGATGTGTAGCAATCAATTCCAATGGAAAAGAGCTTCATTGCCTGACGCCTGCGTGAGACAAGGGGGTGGCCCGCATAGAAATGGAGATTGTTAGCACAAAGGTATCAAAATGTACACCAAAAACAATATTGCTTGTGCTTATATTTATGATGCACACCAACAACGCCTTGCAGCGCTTGTTGGTCCAAAGAAAGCTTTGTTGCTGATGGCTCGCACCAATTGATTTTTAGTGCGTCTTTCAAAAGTGTCCTAAACGCACTAGTTTTTGATGGTTTTGAACAAGGAAGGCATGGCACATATACATCTATCCACATCACTATTCATTTAGAACATACTATAGTTCATAATTTATATTTGTACATACATAAGCACATGCATGCAGCTTGCATCCACCCCTACATACATGCATACATACGTAAATACATACATCCATATATCCGTACATACATATTCATTATATTATGAATATATTTACATGTATATCATATACTTATCTGTACATATATGAACAATTGAATAGAGATAGACATATCAACACATGCATTTATTTGCATTCACACACAAGCACATGTATGTCTGTATATATAATATATACGCATACATATTCATTTTCAACTCTATCTATCGATCTATCCTGTCCTATCAATTATCCTATCCTATCTTTCGCCTGAAGGTGGTGAAACCCATTCGGCCCTTGGACTGCAAGGAACCCTGCGTCCAGGCACCCGATTTAAGGGAGATAGTAAAGATAACCCTAGATTTGCGAGAATTTATGGGATAATTTGGGATATATCCAATAATTTGGGGATAAGTGGAGTTTTGTGTTAGTTTTTGTACTAAATAATATTTTCAGCAATTTTGTGGCTACTTACACTGCGGATTTAGGGGGCCTTTGGTGACAATATTGAAGGATTCAAGGATAATACTGGGGGATACGTAAAACCAGGTGGTGCCCAAATTCGTTAAGTTGAAAACAGAACTAACTTAACTGTCCGGTTTATGGTTCTGAAATGCCTACAGTTTGATAGGTGGACATAAACCAACAAACATAACTAGCGGGACACCACCTTGTAAAAGATTGGGATGGGATAATTCTGTTACGATTTTTATTGACGAGAATAGCTGGAAAAGGGAATGTGAAGTTCAACAGCGAACCATGTGGAATGTATCTAATAGTTATTGTACGGGTTATGCTGCCTAGTGATAATCTAGGATTACCACACAATCCATGGGAACTCACTGAGCACATTTTCTGTTGGTTTCTATAGCTACCCTCTGGTGAACTAACATAATTGTGGAACATCACCATTTTGAATATGTACTGTAAATCAACTATTTCTATGGCCATTTTCCAGTTCGCAAAGTGTAAACGTTGACCACAGGGTAAATCACCATCAAATCACCACCAAATCACCATCAAATCACCATTTATACTGGTTAAATCCCATTGGATCATCGTTTATAGTATGACCTTAAGCTTCGGGAACTAACAGTTTGCTATTGAAAATCCCCATTTATGGATGATGTGCCCATGAAAAATGGTGATTTTCCATCGTTTTTTGTATGTTTACCAGAGGGTACCACCATTTATAGCATCTCCTGAAGTCACATTTTTTGTTGGTTTACCAGAGGGTATTCCCATTACAATCCAAAATGTAATCCCATTTCAATCCCATTAAACCATGCTAAATCCATATTATAATGGATTAATTAGTATTTCAATCCTATTAACATGGGCTAACATACAATACTCAACCTGGTTGGTGGTTTGGAACATTTTTTATTTTTCCATATATTGGGAATCATAATCCCAACTGACTCATATTTTGCAGAGGGGTAGGTATACCACCAACCAGCAAACTAAAGCCATAGTAATCCCACGTTCAACGCTGGACTTGCCACGTTTTCCTGGGACCTTTGGGAAGGCCACGACCTTGAAGCACTTGACCAAGTACGGCTTGCTCCTGGCCCCACCAGGCGTGGGAAGGTGAACACCACGTTGACGGTAAGCATCACGAATGGAAAATCATAGGAAAACCGTACAGGATGGGGCCCCAAAGATAGCGTTCAGTTGAGATATTTCTGTGAATTCTATGGTTTATAGTAGATATAACTATAATTCATGTTTTTTTTTAAGCCAACTTATAACTGGGGGCCCCATCCTGTAGGAACATGGTGATGTAACCAGCCAAAATGGAGATTTATAGAATTTTGTAATCTGGGAAAAACAATGTCATATATAAACCACCCATGACTGGGAATGGTAAACATACCACCTATAAACATGGTGATGGCTGGGGATGGTTTATGAAATTGTTTCTCAAAGATTATGGGGATAAAATATGATATAACCAATGACTTCTTGTGGGTTACCCTCCGGTAAACTAACATAACTATGGAAAATGGCCCAGTCGAAACAGTGGATTTTCCCATGAAACAATGGCGAATTTATCAGTTATCTGAGGCATTACCAGAGGGTAACTAAGAAAACATGGCGGATGAAAAGGCCTAGCAACACCGATTCGTTAGGGATTCCTTGGAACAGAACATGGTTGGATTGGATTCGTGGGTTGTTTTCCCTCTCCAACGTGGGGTTTTGTAATTGCCAAGTGTGGTCAAGACCCCAAGCCTCTGAAGGCCATGTTGTCGTCATTGTCCTTCACATGATGACTGCCAATCTATTGATCCCAGAAAAATTATCGGATCAGGAGCTGATGTTTGATTAGTTTCACTATCCCCTATGTTATTGAAACAAAATAGACCATGTTCTTGATTTATTGATTTCACCATCCCTTTTTCTCCTTGAAAAACATCTTTGAAGGGAATATTGAGAAAAATATCTCTATCTCTCTCTCTCTCTCTCTCCCTCTCCCTCTCCCACTTTCTATGTGTATAATTGTGTATATATATATAGATAGATAGATAGATAGATAGATAGTATCTAGATGATATACATTTGGATGGCAAAATATGTAATCTATTTCCGCACCTCCTGGAAATCCAACATGTGTGTCGCATTTCTAGCTGACATTTGCCCTCAGAAGTACCGTCTTGGTTTTCAATTTCGTATTGGTTTCAATTTCGCACCTTTTTTAAAATCCTTAGCGACCTCTGTGCTTAATGATGCCGTAAGAATCAGTGGTCAAGAACATGTTCTTATGATTCTTCATTCTTAGATTCGTGTTTTCTGATCCGCCTTTCATTTTGTTTCTTTTTTTCCTTCCCCCTTTCAAACCACCCCAGCGGGCGTTTTTCTCATTGCCATCGCAGCTGGCAGGCGCAGATGTGCCCATTGCGGTGGTGAGCAGCAATTTTGAGACCAATTCCAGCAGGTGCGGGCGCCAATGTTATGACCGTCATGGTGCTGGGATGGTGGCGACGAAGTGAAACAGCTATGGGGATATATTTGAGATTTATATAGATATTCTATATGGGGCTTTCTAGGTATTCTGAGATTTATGGGATTTACTGATAAGGCTTCAAGATTTGATATAGGGATTTGCGGGACCCCCAAGGGGGGTAAGTTTGAAAGTTGGCTTTGAATGGGATTTAATATTGGATTCCTAATTAATTGGATACCCCCCAAAGCGGCAAGCTGTGCATCGCTTCGGGTGCCCACCCTGGAATGTTTTGGGATCTGTTCATTGCGGTGGTCTCCGCAGGGATCTGCGCAAAAAATGATCGGATGGGATTCGTTGACCACGGAGTTTTCTGGTTTTAAACAATTCTTCCGACCCAAACTATCCATAACTGGTTGGTGGTTTGGAATATTTTTTATGTTTCCATATATTGGGAAGAATCATCCCAACTGACGAACTCATATTTTCCAGAGGGGTTGAAACCACCAACCAGATACTATCCTAAAAAAATGCGCATCCATGGGAAGTGGTTCTGAAAAGTGGCCGACCCTTTTGATGGGATCGGATTTTGATGGATGATTTCTCTGTCTCATAATCAAATAGAACAATTTATAATGATATGATGATAATATAAATATTAAATAGACATAATTGATATTTTGATATGATACTTAATAGTCAGTTAATTATGGTCTCATACAATGTGGTACCCCCCAGTTATAAGTTGGTTTATAACCCCATCAACCATAGATATATCTACCATAAGTCCTAGTTATTGGAGTTATAAACCAACTTAGCTATCTATGGGGCACCACTTTGTATTTTTTTCTCGCGTTTGTCATGACAATCTTTGACCATCGTCCAGGCTTTTGCTCGTGGTGCCTGCACCAGGCCGGTGGGCGAAGCTGGTTTTCTTCACCCTAGGAAATGATCGTGAATTTTCCATACCCTCTGGTAATGACTAACAGTTTGCTATTGAAAATGGCCATAGAAATCGTGGATTTTCCCATTAAACATGGTGATTTTCCATAGTTTTTTGTATGTTTACAGATGGTTTAACCATGTTGAAATGGGATTCATATGGCCATAGCATGCTATAGTTCATACGATATTGACGATATGTAACCGCAATTTTTGGAGCTGTTGTTCTACGAGCCATGCAAGGGCACGGTCTTCCCCCCATTGATGGGCATTATATATATGTATATACGTAATTATATATATATATGAGATAGATCCATTACAAGGAAATCTCTAGTGGTGGAATGGCACCCCAAAAAACAGACACATATCTCCTGTTCTAGATGATATTAGGGTAGATTTCATTGAACCTTCAGCATTTCCAATATTTTCCCGTCCCAAAAAATCGCGATCTGGTCGATTTGGGTCGACTGATTGTTTTGAAGGTAGTTTGTCACTTTGGTTTCGAGCCATGTTTTTTTTTTCCACCAACTGTTTTGACGCAGACATGACGAATCTTATATTATATTATATTACATTATAGTATACTATGCTATATTATATTATATTATGCTATATTATATTATACTATATTATATTGTATTATATTATACTATATTATTATATTGTATTGTATTATATTATATTATCTTGTATTATATTTATATTATTTATCTTATATTATATTTATATTATATTATTATATTATCTTATATTTATATTATATTATATTTATATTATATTATATTATATTATACTATATTATATTATATTATATTATGTATAAATAATTAATTAATATATATATATTATTAGATTTGCATCTATCTCTGTATATATATATGTCATACCTATATATATATATTTATAATATATGCATGTATGTACAGTATATATATGTATGCATATGTATACTATGTATAGGACGGGATCCATACAACCACCATACGATATTTGGTCAGAACTAAAGTTCAAAGAACGCCAACCCTCCAAAGAGGCGATGCAGCAATTTGGGATCCCACTCTGGGTCCCTTGGCGGCAGAGTCTCGTGGTAAGCGTCGTGGTAAGCGGGTGATGGTTGATGGATACCCTCTGGTAATTTAACATAGCTATTGAAAATGGTGGATCTTTCCATAGTTATGTTAGTTTACATAGGTAAATCACCATTTATAGTGGACTTTCCCATTAAAAATGGTGGATCTTTCCATAGTTATGTTAGTTTACCAGAGGGTAGCTGTATAAAATGACCATTTGTAGTGGGGTAAATCAACTATTTCGACTGGGCAATTTTCAATAGCGAACTGTTAAATTGCCGGAGGGTATGTGCATGGGTTGAAACCTACCATATGACTGGAGGAATAAACATCCATTAGCCAACTATTTTACCGTTTTGGGTCCCATGGTTTTGACTAGCCATATACACTCTGCAAATTCCAGAAATAAGTAGGGAAATTAAGAAGTCATTATAGTTATTAACCCCTATAAGTTGGATACTATGGAATTAACCATGGGATTTAAACCACCATAAGTTGGGATATGAGGCTGCTCTAATTGGAATTGCACCCCCAAGTTGTGTTTTTTCCCGAACTTTCGCCGACTTTCAGCGAAATTTCCCAGCGAACTAAAGCTCCGAGTTCGGGCATTTCCCAAGTTTGATGACGTGCACGAAAACCTACAGCCCTGCTTTCCAGACCCCCAACACAACGACCCAGGTGAGCATGGCAATGTGGCGCACATGATGCTTTGGGCGGAGGCGTCTTTTATGAGGGCAGGGCCAAGAGATCGGTGTCTCAATGCTTTGGAGTGATCCCTGAAGTCGTGATCCCTAAATTTCAATCGTTGGCGAGTTCGCCTAGGGAAAAGCCATGGTCTTCTTTCCATGCCAAAGTTAAGAGGGAATCCAAAAGTGGGGATGGAAAAGTCGAGACCATGGCTTGCTCCCAGCATTTACTCTTAGACTTGGTTGAAGGGAATCTTTTTTATGGGTTTAACCAGTATGTTTGAGTGTAAAATCTCGGGTTCCTGCAAAGTTTCCTGTGACTTAAAGACTTACATGTTTGTTTTTTTTTCCATTGCCAAGTTTGGGAGTCATTAGGATATTCAGAAAATGGAGGATTTACCAATGAAACATGGGCATTTTCTGGGCATTTTTCATAGCGGACTACCAGAGGGTATCGCAAAACCGGGGTACTGGCCTCGGCTCACTGACTTTCCAGGCCAATGGTTACGCCAGTGCCTTCTTCAGTCACCAGGTGCAACGGGTGTGGTTTTTAGGGACCCCATCTGACTATAGATCTTGGGCTTTCCATGGGGGGTTCCCCAATAGCTAGATGGTTTAGTTCATGGAAACTCCAAGAATAAAATGGATGATTTGGGGGTATAGGACTAGGATGATTCTATTTTCGGATTTTCCATGAACTAAACCATCCAGCTATTGGGGCATTCCGCATTTATGGAAACCCTCATATATCCACCATATAGTTCGCCTAGTTAGAGTAACAAAAACACTTTCCTAGTTTGCAGGGCCGCTGCTGGCAACTCGTTTTCTGGGTCTTCCCTTGGATTTCTGGTAGTTATACAAGACAGATGAACTGTGTGCATACCCTCTGGTAATTTAACATAGCTATTGAAAATCACCATTTATAGTGGATTTCCCATTGAAAATGGTGATTTTCCATAGTTATGTTAAATTACCAGAGGGTACATCTACATGTATGTATATGCACAGAAGTTTTCGTTGATTCCAAGCTCATGCTCATCATAGCTAGAGATACTGGGATGTATCTTGAAGAATCATCCCATGCTTCGACGTGAGTTGTTACATGAGTTGTTCCCAAACTTTTTGGGCCCAGGGATAGAGTACAACGAGCGATATTTTTGCTGGGTATCAAAAGTTGCATGTGATGGCCATCATACTACATGTTGACAGTTTTGACGCGGGGGTATTTGCTAGATTCGCCGCAGAATCACATTTTTGTTGGTGAATATCCGGTTGATATCTCTTGTAGACGACTTCTTGAAAAACAAGATCATATGGGGGTTTCCATAAATGGGGGTACCCCCAGTTCTCATCCATTTTATTTTCGGATTTTCCCTGAAATAAGCCATCCAGCGAGCTTGGGATACCCCCTGGAAACCTCAGTTGGAGTTGGCTCCGAAAAGATGGTCTTTGGTCTTGGGTAGCGACAAAATCACCCTGGAGATTCAACAGAAAACATATGGAATAAGCAGATGAATTAGCCTCTGGTAATTTGTCACATAGCTATTGAACATGGCCCAGTCGAAATAGTGGATTTACCCATTAATAGCATGGTGGATCTTTCCACAGTTTGTTGTTAACGTTTACCAGAGGGTAACGATGATTTAACGCACCCAACCAGTTTTTCTTTACAGGGATTTTAGGGCGCATGCGGAGCGGGCACAAAACCCTATGATTCTGTATGATTACTCGAGCCATCATCTGGAGATGTTTGACTGACAAGGCTAATTTTTTGCAAGGTGAAATGCCAGAGGAATGTTTCTATATACTTACATGTTTGTTGTTTATATGCTAATGGCTCAGAATTAGTAATCATAATCCCCATTTTGGGATGTGTTAGCACAAAAAACAACCATTTTTTTGTAGGTCTTTTGGCACAATAATTTTGAATCATATGCAGATGAATTCCACTTCCTCTTGATGGTTCAAGAAATCAGACCAAATTTTCTGCTGGATAAACCTCCATTTTTCATGAGTAAAACACTGGTTAGTGGTTTGGAACATTTTTAATTGTTCCATATATTGGGAATTTCATCATCCCAACTGACGAACTCCATGATTTTTCAGAGGGGTAGGGCGAAAAACCACCAACCAGATAATTAACCATCATTAACCATCATTAATCACTATGAATCACCATTAACCACCATTATACCATCAGTTAACCATTATTAACCATTATTCATGGAAATCCCAATGGAAATCCCCATATATACCAACCAGATAATTAACCACCAATCACCAGAAAGAACATGTTTTTTTACTGGTTGTATCCCAGTGTTTGGTGAGTCAAATTCAGGCGCTAAGCGCGGCGCCAGCAGAGAACTGGGACCGCGTGGTGCGTGGGTCGCCGGCCAGGCAAGGGATGGGAAAAACCATGGGATTTTTTTTTTTTCCGGGTAATTTTAGTGACATAGCGGAAGCCATGGCCCAGTTGTAGCCAGGAGTTACCATGATTTACCGAACTTAAAGTTGACATAACTATGGAAAATCACAATTTTTAATGGGTAAATCCACTAGAAATCACCATTTTCCATAGTTATGTAAACGTTTACCAGAGGGTATACCCCAGAAATCTCCGGCCATCTTCATAGGTTGGAACCATGGGGGATTTGCCCATCAAACATGGGATTTTTTCCGCGTGAGTTTTGGGGGTGAACCATGGTGAAACATGATGACATTGTACCGTGAATAGTCATGAAATCATGTTTCTAGGATGATTGAGAAACATCTTCAGATTATCCTAAATATGTTAACTTATCTAAATGTTAAATGGGATTTAACCACCCTTTTTTGATGGGGCTTTATCAGCCGTTTTGTTGATCCAACTTTTGGGGTGAAATTGGATCGCCTCGCCACCATGACCACAGCATGTGGTTGCGAAATCCTGCACCAGTTGGTAGATGGTTTGTCCCATTATGATCCCATGATTTACGGTGTTGAATTATGTTACCAATAGTTACCCTGCCTGGTGCAGGATTTCGCAACCATCCACAGTATTTCAAAGCCTATGAATAGAATGGGAATAAGCCACTTCCATCCACTTCGAAGGTTTGTAAGCACCCCCAAAGTGGTAAAACTAGCAACGGTTTACACTTTGGAGGTTTACTACAGTACCCCAAGTTGGCGGATCATACTCCTGATGCCATCCCCAGATAAGCACAGATGATGGATGAAAATTCCAAGTTCCAGTGAGGGTTGGTGATATGTAGATATACATGACATTTTTTGATTGGTGATCATTTGCATTGCAACTATTGATTCTGTATGGTGAGCTTCCCATTCTGTGTCAATCAATATCCCCTGGCGGTCATGGAAGATCACGATAATCCGTAAATCAGTTGGCCTAGCTCGAACGAACAGAAACCTAACTCGGGTGCCCCACATTATGATACATTATGTATTATATTAAAATCTCGTTAGCATCCCATGAAATCCGCAATTTTCACGGTAAAACCCGCTTTTTGGTAGGCGGACCCTTCCTGTACCTAGCACCAAATAGTTCCAGGATATCCCAGGCATGCCACAGTCATCGTGGCCTCCGGCATGTTGAACTGCCTCCAAGCTGCTCTGCAGTTCGGCGGCCCGGTTCAGGATGATTACCCTCTGGTTATGACTAACATAGCCATGGTATAGATGGCCCATAGAAATAGATGGTTTACCTGGGTTTACCTATTAAAAAAGGTGATTTCCCATGGCGAACTGTTAAATAACCAGATGGTAGATGTTTTGCCAACTAAATATGGTATTCTTCTGAAACATAGATACAGATAGTGTTGATATTCACCAACAAACTTGGAAATCTTTACATGAACCGAGAATACGGTAAATACCAGACCAAGACACAGTTTTTTTTTCACAAAAGAATATGGGGAATCATGATGGGTTCATGATGTGGAGGAATGAAAGTGTCAGTCCTAAATCTTAACCCAGGCCTGCATGAAGGTGATTTATAAAGTCGTTCAGGAAATTTGGATCCAGCCAGTCTGCCAGTGTAGCGTGGAAGTTGTAAATGGACCCTGCGGTAATCAAACCTTGGCAATGAGAAATCCACCATAGAAATAGATGATTTTCCCAGCTATAAACCTTCGGAATAGGGGATTTTTCCATTAAAAGCTCCATGTTATTCTTGCAGAATTGAACACAGCTTTGATTAGTTGAATCAATGTTGGGCATCAGCCATGCTGCCCTTCAGAGAATGCGGTCGCTGGAAATCAACTGCCAAGATGAGGCGAGCAGACAAGAAGTGGACGATCCAAGTTATTCTCCAAAGACTTACTGGATTGAAAACTACAAAACCAACTTTTCAGAATGTCCTGAAAACACTTGCAGAACGGAAGCGCAGCGATCTAATTCTTGAAGCATTTGCTCTGCTGCGAAATCGGGGCTTTGCGATCAACGAACGCGATTTCACAGTTGGGATTTTAGCTTGTGGAAGATCGAAGCTATGGCAGGATGCATGCTGACTCATCAACATGATGCCTAGTGCCACTGCAGACAGTTTCAGCTACAACGCGGCCATCAGTGTTTGTGGCCAGTGCGCTCAGTGGCAACAGGCCTCCTATTTCCTTCATACCATGCAGAGAGCCCACATCATGGTGGATCTCATTACTCATAATGCCACTATCAGTGCCTTGATGAAGGCTTCTCGATGGCAACAGGCACTGAGCATGTTTGATGCCATGCCGAAAGCCAAGGTGACACAAGATGCCATCAGTTACAATCTGATCATCACCGCTTGTGGGGAAAGCAATCAGTGGGCCGAGGCATTGATGTTGTTGGATGCGATGCCCAAAGCCAAAGTGACTCCTGATGTCATCAGTTACACTTCTGCGATCAGCGCCTGCGAGAAGGGAGGTCAATGGCAGGTGGCTTTGACGGTCTTTGATGCAATGGCAAGAGTTAAAGTGATCCCAAGCACCATCACATATAATGTGACCTTGTGTGCTGTAGGAAATGGCGGCCAGTGGCAGAAGGTACTTCTCCTTTTGGGGGAAATGCCCAAAGCAAGAGTGACTCCAGATGTCATCAGCTACAGTTCTGCCATCAGTGCTTTTGAGAAGGGGGGTCAATGGCAGCAGGCGTTGGATTTGTTTCTGAGAATGCCGAAAGCAAAAGTCACTCCAAACGCAATCAGCTACAATGCGACCATGAGTGCTTCTGAGAAGGGCGGTCAGTGGCAGCTGGCATTGTTGCTGTTTGAGGCAATGCCGAAATCCAAAATGGCTCCAAATGTCATCAGCTACAGTTCTGCCATTCGTGCTTGCGGCAACGAAGGTCAGTGGCCGCGTGCATTGATTATGTTGGAGGCAATGCCAAAAGCCAGAGTGATAGCAGATGTTATCAGCCACAGTTCCGCCATCAGTGCTTGCGAGAAGGGCAGTCATTGGCAGCAGGCGTTGAACTTGTTTTTGGCAATGCCCAAAGCTAGGGTGATCCCAGATGCCGTCAGCTATACTTCAGCCTTCAGTGCATGTGAGAAGGGAGGTCAATGGCAACAAGCACTGGATTTGTTTGAGGCCATGCAGAAAGCAAAACTGACCCCAACTGTGATCAGCTACAGCGCAACTCTTAGGGCTTGCGAGAAGGGAGGTCAATGGCAGCAGGCGTTGGAATTGTTTGAGGCAATGTCTTTAGCCGAAGTGACCCCAAACGTTGTCAGCTACAGTTCAGCCATCACTGCTTTTCAGAAGTGTGGTCAATGGCAACAGGCATTAAATTTGTTTGAGGCGATGCCCAAAGCCACAGTAGTCCCAAATCTGATCAGCTACAAGGTCACCATCAGTGCTTGTGAGAAGGGCAGTCAATGGCAGCTAGCATTGATGTTGTTTGAGGCAATGCGTAGTGCAAACGTTTGAGCAAAACATGTCACCAATGGATTCATAGTCAACCCAAAACAACCATGCCGTTGCGGGAGGGACCTCTGAAGGAGGTGCCCTTTGATCCAACATAGCTATGGTTGAATCCCCATTAAAATCCATAGAATCCCATAAAATACCATAGAATCACCATTAAAATCCATTAAAATCAATAAAATCCCATAGAATCCCCATTGGAATCCATAAAATCCCATAGAATCCCGATTAAAATCCATTAAAATCCATAAAATCCCATAGAATCCCCATTAAAATCCATAAAATCCCATAGAATCCCCATTAGAATCCATAAAATCCCATAGAATCCCCATTAAAATCCAGAGAATCCCATAGAATCCCGATTAAAATTCATTAAACTCTATAAAATCCCATAGAATCCCCATTAAAATTCATTAAAATCCATAAAATCCCCTAGAATCCCCATTAAAATCCATAAAATCCCATAGACTCACCGTTAAAATCCATTAGAATCAATTAAAATCCATTAAAATCCATAGAATCCCCATTAAAATTCATTAAACTCCATAAAATCCCATAGAATCACCATTAAAATCCATTAAAATCCATAGAACCACCATTAAAATCCATAAAATCCCATAGAATCCCCATTAAAATCCATTAAAATCCATAGAACCACCATTAAAATCCATAAAATCCCATAGAATCCCCATTAAAATCCATTAAAATCCATAAAATCCCATAGAATCCCCATTTAAATCCATAAAATCCCATAGAATCCCCATTAATATCCACTAAAATACATAAAATCCCATAGAATCCCCATTTAAATCCATAAAATCCCATAGAATCCACATTAAAACCCATTGAAATCCCATAGAATGCCCATTAAAATCCATAAAATCCCATAGAACCCCCATTAAAATCCACTAAAATCCATAAAATCCCATAGAATCCCCATTTAAATCCATAAAATCCCATAGAATCCCCATTAAAATTCATTAAAATCCATAAAATTCCCAATAAATTGCTGGGTTTTGTCTCCGAACTCTCGGTACAAAAACAGGTCTGTGCATCCACTTCTGTGGGAGATCTCAGGGAAAACCCGTGGCTGGTTGGCTGTGAAGCATATATTTTCAAGATGGCTAAAGTTAAAACCACCAACCATATATATATATATGTATACAATTAACATTATATTGACCCAACATCTCATAACCCAACATCTAAGCCCATCACACATATATCTGGATAAATTATAACGACCTCACTGTTCTCCCTCACTGGGAATCATGGTTAGTAAGGGAAATCATCCCCAAATGGCCGCAAGATTCAGGTTGGTGAATTATTATAATTTACCCAGATGAAAAAACACCTCAGATTGACCTAGATTTGGTTGGTGGTTTGGAACATGAATGGATTATTTTTTCATTACTATTGGGAATTTCATCATCCCAACTGATGAACTCATATTTTTCAGAGGGGTATATAGGTATACCATGAACCAGGATTTGTAAGGGATTTGTAAGGCCCAGATGGGAGAATGTGAGGGATTTCTAGGGATTTGAACCATTCCATAACACTGGGATTTGTAAGGCCTAGATTCTAGATGAATGACGTCACTGGAATTATGTGTTTTTTTTTGGGGCATCATTCCCAAAAGGCCCAACATTTCAGCCTTACGTAAGGCTATGATGCCAGGGGATCTGCTGGGATAGCAAAATTTACTGGGGATTTGACTGGGACATGGCCGGAGATCTGCTGGGCTGAAGCATGGTGATGAAATCACCGTGAATCCAGTGGCTCTGGTGGCTAGGAGGGAACGATTGAGAGCTATGAGTATCCACTTTCCCCATGGATATGACATGGGTTGCCAAAGAGCTCCGACTTGAATTTCGAAACCACTATTTTTCTATTTCTTATCAGTAATATATAATACATATACTGGTTGGTGGTTTGGAACATGAATTTTATTTTTCCATATATTGGGAATAATACTCCCAACTGACTAATGTTTTTATTTTCCATAGTATGTGGGATAATCCTTCCCATTGACCAATATTTTTCAAGATGGTTAAAAGTTAAAACCACCAACCAGATATATATATATACATGTATATATGTATAAATACATCCATTCTTAAATATTATGAAACTTAATGGACATTGACTCAGCTGTTTCATCTCTGATGCTGCATGGAGGTTTTCGCGCTTCCGCACGGTCTGCATCTTCGGGGCGGATACTCTGGAGGAGATGATTTTTTGATGCCGCAACGGTTATTGGATGGTTGGGAAACTCGGAAAAAACATGTTGAAGTTTGGTAAATGGTAATTTGGATTCATTTGGTACTTGTAATCTGAAAAATTCTCCTCTGGACTTTGCGAACAACGGAAGATCATGTTTTTTTTTTTTCGAAGTTCGGTACATCGGAACATATTTATCGTCAATGCGCCACGGCTTCCATAGCTATGTGCAAGAACCAGAGAGTAATCCTTCATTTTTTTTTGCGACCCATTGGGGATATGTGCATATATTAACCTAACCAGCTAAGAATATGGAACTGCGGGGTGTCTAAGATTGGGCACATGTCGCGCCCTTCGAACTGACCACATGTTTTTTTTCCTGATTGGTGGCTTCAAAACGTTTCCAAGCACTACCATCTGGTTATTTAACATAGCAATGGAAAATCACCATGCTATTAATAGGTAAACCATCTATTTCTATGGGCCATTTCCCATGGCAAACTGTTGGTCATAACCAGAGGGTATTATTTTCTGCTGCCTAGTTGGAATAGTCATAAAGATGCCTTCGGGTCAAATTAGATTGAAACCACCAGTCAGAGCAAACAAATAGCTGCAGGCTTGCGGTACCTTTCCCAGCAAAGATTCCACTTTTCAACAAGAGATCTAAGATTGACGCAACGATCATAGGTCAAAAAAGAAAGGCTGATGTCTCAATGCATTGCGTTGGGAAAACATCCACCGTAAATCATGACATTCGCCATAAAATATGAACTTTGTCCTCTAAAATCATTCAAAACACAAGTCCCCAAAAAATAAACATGGATAAACCAGTAACAAATGGTAACAAATGGTAACAAACTTAATTCTGGAATCATGGCACATGATTTTCTCAGCTCCTCTGGAATGGCTACACTAAAATTCGCAGCACGAACGAGTCGAGGACTTCAATGCTGAGACGCCTGAGCTGAGGCCCGAGACGATTGGGATGGGAGCAGAGATCCAAGAATCCAGATCTGGATTGAAAAAAGGATGGTTCAGATACCCTCTGGTAATATGATTAATATATACTGTTAATAATGGTTACATGGTTACAGTAATATGTGGTGATTATATGGTTAATGATGGTTAATGTGGGATACCCTCTGGTAATGACTAACATGGGTAATGGTAAGATCCACCGTTTTCAATGGGAAAATCACCATGCTATTAATGGGTAAATCACCATAATTGTGATCATGATACCCTCTGGTAAACGTTTACATAGCGAACTGGAAAGATCCACCATTTTCAATGGGAAAATCAACTATAAATCACCATTTTCAATAGCAAACTGTTAGTTTACCAGAGGGTAAAAAGGGCGTTATTTTTACATACATTTTTTCCTGGTGGTTTATTAGGCATCCCATCTGGTAATAATTCAAACAACACATCTATGGTTTAAGTTTTATTTATTTGTTACCCAGAGCTCTTATCGATATCACCAGCTATATATTATAATTATACATATATAACTATCTTGGTTTTTCTATGGGTATATCTGGAAGGTTCATAGCCACAGATATGTTTGGTATGAACTAGTATGAACCATCCATCTTCAGATAATTTTAAGGGGTACCCAATTTTGTATATATATATATATATGTATATATATACATATATATATATACATATATATATATTGGGAATACTATTCCCAACTGACTAATATTTTTCAGAGGGGTAGGTATACCACCAACCAGTATAGATTAATTGAATTATAGATGTATAATTCGTTACTGGTGATTTTTTTCATTTACTAAAGTGGATTATGATGTGGTTATACAAACATTTCGTTTAGGTTAGCGATCGAACCCGGGCCCACCTGTGTTCCTGCACATGATATGTTTATAGGTTGAGTGAGGGAAACGACCTAACAATGGGCTTTTCTGATTTGCGAGCTATTGTCATTTGTGCAGAATCCATTGAATACATTTTTTACAGTTACCTCTACAAAAAGTAGGTTTATTTTATCAGTCTTTTCGCCCGTCTTATTGGTGAAACCATCCTGAAAATTTCGTGTCTCCCTGGAACAACTCTGGTGTTTTGTGGGATAACTGTATTCTGGCACTGTCCCGAAAAAAACAGAAAGAGTTTCTCCAAAAATAGGCAGTTGCCAATTCATATTTCATCCAAGTGGCAAATCTCAATTTCTACCATTGTCCCAATTTTCGAAGTGCTATTTTTATATCTTGACGGGAGCCAGCTACGCCATTTTCGGAGCCGTTTTTTCCACGTTTCTATGGGACGAATCGGTACTATATTTATCATACCCTCCGGTAATTTAACATAGCTATTGAAAATAAGCCATTTGTAGTTGATTTACCTACTCAAAGCAGTGATTTTCCATAGTTGTGTTAGTTTACCAGAGGGTATTTGCTGTGATTAATTCATGCTATTTTAGGTCTATACTTTGCAATGGTACCTTCGAAAGTGATAGGATACGTTGATGAGATTTTCGGTGCTATTGACGAATCTGATCAGAAACTGCGTAGGCGCAGAGTTGAGATGGTGTCAACGTTGAAAACATGTGATTGACCCCAATCTTTGAGGGTGAAAACACTGAAGTGTCCCCATTTTTCATGCTATTTATATCCCATGTTTCATGGTTGAAATCCCAAATTTGAGGGAAGTTTAGCCCCATCTTTGAGGCTGAGGATTATAACACCATGGGTTTTCCTGCAGAACATATCCCTTGACCAGGCGTCACCTGGAAGGTTCCACAGTTCGGAGGACCCAGGGACAACATTCCGGACCTGGTCCATGGCTACTCCCCCGTTGAACTTGGCATGCCATTGGTGAATCCCCTAATTTGGGGAGCCGGGAACATGGGTGAAATCCCGTATCTGCGTGAATTCCCTAGACTCGATGGTTTGAAAAAACGCCCAAATTCGCAAGGGCAAAACCCTGTAGACTCCCCATTTTTCATGGTCAAACCAGCATTTTTCATGGTAAAACCCTCATTTTTCATGGTCAAACCAGCATTTTTCCATTTTTCATGGTCAACCCCCCATTTTTCATGGTCAAACCAGCATTTTTCCATTTTTCATGGTCAAACCAGGGTAAAAACCACCATTTTTCATGGTAAAACCATGTAAAAAACCATGGCGACATCTCGATTACACCTTGGGCGACACCCAAGGTGGCAATCCCATCAACGTGGCAACAGCTGGAAACGCAGGCTGGGGCTCTCCCAGAAACCCATCAATTTTTCCGAGATTTTCGTTGGTGGATACTGTAAAAACACAGGATTTTTTGGGTGATTTCATGTTGGTAGTTGGAATAATCTGGTTCACCCACTGATGCTGAAGGCTTGGAAAAGCAAGACAAGCCCAATAATCCAGGTTGATTACGAAGTTCAGTTGATAATCAAGCAGCTAATCACTACTGGTTAGCACTAATCCAATTCATAAGAAGTTAATTCTACGAAGATTGCCAGTACTATCTTAATACATATACCAATAATTACCAAGAGTAATAGTAATTCTTATCCTAACATATGACTGGTTCATATTATCCAATTATATCCAATTATTTACTGAAAATCAGTATGAGATTATACGAAGTTCAGGCAGGTTTCATGAGTCTATCCTCTTCATAGATGATTTTCCTGTGAAATCCCATGATAAATCCATAGTGAATCCCAGTTTTATCCACACTGGGCCCCATTGTATTCCCCAATATCCCGTCAAATATCCTATGAAATATCCATATCCGATGAGTGTAAATCCCATGGTAAATCCCCATGGGAAATCCCCCAATAATCCCATCTTTGGTCCTTTGGTCCATTGATCGCAGGTGGCGTACCAATATCTCTTCGAACTCCTTCGAGATAAGGAGGACGACGATGGGTTTTCACCACACAGCCCGAGGTTTCGGCGTTTTCCTCCCGGAAAGCCACAAGGAATGTATACCTTCGGGGGTTTCAATGGGGGGTCCGAAAATCCGAAAAGAACATGGGTGAAACTAGGGGTACCCCGATTTTAGGAAAGCTACACATCAATTTCTGGGAAAGCCATGGAATTTCAATATTCTATGTGAATCAATTCCAGAGCAAGAAGCAAAAAACAGGATTTATTGTTGTTTGGCACTCTTGATGGTTCAACGTTTAACTAAGAGACTTGCAAGGCAACAGGAACCACCACTTGCCTTTTGGGAAAAACTCAGGTTTTTCAACCATGGCTGTTGTTAGGTCTTTGGACATCAAACGGACACCGTTTCGTTTTTTTTTTCGCTCGCCAGGAGCGCTGGCATACCTTGGAACTGAAGAAATATGCTGGCTACCAGGTGGACCTGGTGGACCTGGGGTATTCCGAATTGTTGAATGAGCAGTGGTCGAAATCCCTGTGATAGGGGATCATACTATCCAATAGTCATTGGGGATTATCATCATCCATAGCAATCCCTATGAACCAACGAGTATGAAATGACACAGGAAGATTGAACACGGCTCAGATGGCTTATGACTGATGCCGTAAACTGTGATCCATGGTGATTGTAAGCCCAAAAATGATCCATTCATCATTTACCAAATCTGACCATTTTGGATATCGGAAACCATATACCGTTACCAAATAATGTGGTTTGTCACGGGGTTTATCACGTTACTAGTTGTGGTTGGGGCTAGAGATGTGAGTTTGATGCGCTTCAGCAGCCGAAATCACTTTAAACACCAAGGTTTGGCCTGAAACTGTTGCCTTCAATCCGCCCATAGACTTACCCTCTGGTAAACTAACATAGCTATTGAACATGGCCATTTATAGCGAGTTTTCCGATTAAAAATGGTGATTTTCCATAGTTATGTTAGTTTACCAGAGGGTACCATTTTTCACAACATCGTTGGTGTTACCCTCCGGTCATCCATCAGAATCGGAGATCCCTGGAGCTTTTAACGAGGGTTTTTAAGACCTCAGATGTTTGAGGAATCCCACCCCCTATATTGGTACCATATTTTTAAACCATGCAGCATCATTGGTTCACCAGGTTGTAGAGGGGATGTATCTGTTGTACAAGTTATGTATGTTGGTTTCATGATGGGCTACATCCTTGTTTTCGATGAATACATTTTTTTGATGTCCGATGAAGTTACCCATATAATTCCAGTAACATCTCCGTTAGATCTCCATGAAACCATGACATCCGTATTTTGCGTCGTTGAAGCACCATTTCTTCGCTGTTTATCTAGCTTTTCATGTTTTTTTTCCCGATCCCTGGGGGGTTCTGAAAACACAGGGGCTGAAAGAGAATGACATGCCTGGACTGAAGCGTATGGGTGTTCCTGGGCGAAGTTGACCGAGAAAACATGGCTGTGACCCTGGGGTAAAGATACAAAACGAGGTGGAACACCCATGGGCAAACGTTTCGTAAAAATGATCTACGAATGGCAGCTTTTCCACATCTAAATATATCTATGTTTTCAGGAGGCTAAACATCCAATGGATGAGGGATTTCATCATGTTTCTTGGGATTTAATGGGATATAAATGATAATATGACAGGATATTGACCAAGCAGGTTAGGTAGTTTCCTCAGTGAAATAAGTGGATTAACCCTACACAAACTGCACTAACAAAACAAGGGACATCGATATAACCTACTTACTAAGTGCCATGATCCGCCGAGACTTCATCTATCGAACACTATGATTTTGGTAATCTTTTAGCAACAAACAACAATTACCCTCTGGTAATTTGTCAAAATAGCTATTGAAAATGGCCATTTATAGTGGATTTTCCCATTAAAAATGGTGATTTTCCGTAGTTATGTGAAATTACCAGAGGGTAAATGTTTCAACAAACTGTGGATCTTCCGGCAGTAAACACCAGCACTCAATTTAAGGAACTGGGTCTTCAGTCAAGAAAGCTAGGTTTTTCAATATGTTTCAATCGGTAGGGTAGCATAGCGATCCAGTGGATTAAGAGTCGATTAACAATCTTAAGATGGATTCACCCAAAAGGTCAGTACCTCGCTTAGGCCTACGTTTTGGCTGGCTTAGGCCTACGTCACAGATACATACTTATATTATATTTGCAATAGAAAAATATATCGATATATCCGAACATGATTTCGGCAGACTTGCACAAGTGGATTTAAAGATGATCATCGGGACATTCTAATTAAGTCATATACTTACACATGCATTCTATGCTCACTATCTATCCTTTAAATATATAGTATTCGTCCGAACTGACTAGTCAATAACAGGCGCCAGCTCATCAACACCAGCATCACCATCCATCACCATACATCACCATCATCATGATGACCATCCTGATCGTCTTCATCATCATCACCACAATCACACCCATCATCATGTCCAGCACCAAAATCCATCACCTACTTTATTTTTCGTTGATCAAACATCAAGTCCATCACACAAATCATCACAAGAATTACCATCCTCACATCCACCATCAATATCATCATCCTACAGGTGTGTAGCCAATGGACTCCAATATGATTTAGGTTGTGTTCTGTACCTCTAGTTAGTTGTTCCCATTGTCCCCAGTCGCCATGTGATCCTTTTTGTAGCTATTTCCGTGTCTATGCAATGCTTAGTAGTGTACATGTATGTGCCTGGTGCCTGTAGATCACTCAATTCATTTTATCCCCTGTGCCACTCCGTGGCTCAAGACATGGTAGCATAGCTCGGGCTGCTCTTCGGTGTGACTCGTAGGTGAGTCTTAGGACGGTATCCAGGGCCCCTAAAACGGGGGAGTGCTACCTCACCCCAGTCCCCAGTTCCAGCCCGCAAATATACACCCTAAAGGTGTGTAGCTCCAATATGATATAGGTCGTTTGTACCTCTAGTTGTTCCCGCTGTCCTCAGTCCCCAGTCCCCAGTTCGGCCCCTAAATATAAACCCTAAAGGTTTGAATCCACATCCAAGATTGTCGGCCTAAGTGATCCAAAAAGTCGTCCTAAGTGATCCTTGGACCCAAAAACTCGGTAGACATAATATCTGAAGATACTGTGGATGGAAGAAATCCTGCACCACTTTGGATGGTTGAAAGCCTATTTTTTTCATGGGATGTTTACCACCGTTTTCAACTGGTGATTCGGATTTCGCTGCCTCATCCACCGTATCATTGGGAAAACCATGGTCTTCCTATGGTTTTCCCAGATTTTTTCTCCGCAGTTGAGGTGGACCAACGTGTACAGCGCCTGGACCGTGACCGCAATGACGATGAATTGGCTCGGCTGCTGAAGAAGCACGAGGAGGTGCTGGCGGGGGAGATGGAGTTGGGTAAGGAACCTGACAAGGTTTTTTTGAGGGATTCTGAGAGATTTCTAAGGGATTTCAACGGTTTTTGAGAGTTTCAAAGGGTTTCTAATGGTTTTGGAGGGATTCTAATGGTTTTGAAGGGATTCAAGGGGTTTTTGAGGGCTTCTAAAGCATTCTAAGGGTTTGAGAGGGTTTCTTATGGGAATTCTGAGGGATTCTATATGTTTAACTTCATTGTAAATAGAGGAACTAACAGAAGGTGGGTCATTGAGGGTGGGTCATGACCGATTTTCTCATTAAGGTCACTACTGGTTGATGTGAAACTCTCCAAACTGACTGGCTTGAAATCCTTAGCTCCTGTTCATTTGTTCGGTATTCTCCAAAGATGTATATGATGAAGTTTTCCACAATATGGATCCAGATTATGGTGATACCCCCAGTGTCGTATACACCCATTAATCAGCTACAAGGGTGCTGCGCTCAGTTGTGAACCAGTCAACTCCATGGCCAATCTGAGAGTTTGACCACCAATTAACACGGCTGGTTTCATTTGTCACTTTTTACTCTCTCATGAGAAGGGAATACAAGAGAATGACACGGGTTTATTTCAATGGCAATGTTTTTTTTTTAATGGGAAATCCACCAGAAATGGGGAATCCATAGGGGGAATCCATAGGGGGAATCCATAGGGACTATCTTTCGTATGTTTTTGAGGAGTTCCTGAAGCACCGCCAGGCCCGATCCAAGGCGGAAGATAGCGAGGAGGAACCGGGCATCGACTGAGCATCGACGCCGCGAGCTTTAGCAGTCCACCGCGCTCTGTGTAGGATGCCATCCAGAGTTGCAGTTGGGGAGCTGGTGATGTGATGTGGATTGGATGCCGAAGTGAATTTCCGGGTGAATTTGTGGTCAGTTTGGGCACATCAACCATTGTGATGCCACATAGTGCAACAGGAAAATCCCATGGTGGGTTTACAATGGTGGGATCTTCTAACCATTGAGTTTCTCTGAAAGTGATATGCAACCAGGATATGATTTAAGGGTTTTCCCAACATTTTCAGAGAAACCATGATAAACCCATTTACCGCATGTGTCAAGCATCGAACCGCGCTGATTTTTGAAACTGGATTTCTGGGTGGCCAACATCTTCGCGCGATGCGGGCGGCGAAAGGTCGAAAAGAAGAGAAGCTGTTTGATGGGGCACCATCGACTTTTGGGTGCCTCCCTTTCCCTGAAGGGGATTTGACTGGTTTTGCTCTTGGGGTCACTGAGATCGGAGTAATGTTAGTACAGCAATAATAAACCACCAATATTTTGATGGTTCATACCACCCATTGATGGTAAAAGTTCGGTATCGTTTGCTATTGCTTTACTGTAACATTAATGGTGTTTGATGATGTTTGATGCTTTTTAATGGTGTTGAATCCCACTAAGCTTTAGGAACAACAATTTCTGTTCTTTCTTTGCGGGGTTACTGTACATATATGGAAAACAATTTTCGGGAGTGGCTCGGCAGACCTGTTAGTCGGCTTACCAAAAAAGGGGGATCTCAGACTGACGTTCTGTGAGAAATTGGACACCCCACAACAAGGTGACAAGTTCATTTGTGGGTGCCTGTAGCAGAAACCTTGATCCATCAATATCTTGGAAAACCTTTAACCTTTGGTGGGTGCCTAACATGTTTGGAGGAGCTGAAGACTCAAATCGTTCTTGTTTGGGGTTGAACATGCACACTGGACTGATATGGACTGATCATGTCGTGTTTCAGACTCTTTGCCCGCTGGCTTTCCTTTTTGTAGCTGGAGAAATGGATAAAACAACGAAACATGGCAAGGCTGACAGATTAAGGCCATAGATCTACGATCATCTCAGAGATCATCCCCAAATTTTGTGCCAGCCGACACAGAAAGTCAATCGGAATCTTCCACAGAAGTGAAAGTGCCAAAAGGAGCCGTGGGGATCTTCTCCCTAGCACTGTTGATAAAAACCTCTCAGCAAAATGGATCAGATGACTTCCACATTTTACTCCCTTTCAAAATTTCACACTCCAAAAAAACGTGGACCCAACAAACCACCCAGCAGCTGAGTTTCTTCGGGGCCGAGCTTCCCGTTTTTTGGCGCCTCTTTTGGACCCCGTCGCTGACTTGATTTTGATGGCCATGAGGCCCATGACGCGACACTGCGCGGTAATGGCCGTGGCCCTGTCGATGGCTTGGGCAGGTGGGGGTCATAGGGTGGAAGCGGATGCTGCGGAAACTATGGGAGAATCTGTGCTTGATTTGAGAGAAAATCATATCTCGGAAGGTTTTGGTAGACACATTTATATAATTTTATATACACCTTTAGATGATTCAACTTTCAACACATCAATCTTTTCACTTTTTTTTCATGTGGACGGCATGCGGACGACAGAAACCTGGCCAGGATACCCGGAGAGCGACGAGGATCAGATTCGAAAGCTCTTGGTAGAAATGACCACCGAAGCAGCTTGGACCGCTTGGATCTGCGTCGCGAATCATATCCCCCGGACGAAAAGAAACCGCTTGGCCCAGGTTCATTGGATCTGTTCATGAAGGGGAAACCTGTGATCTGATGGAATCACAATATGGAATCGGCTGCAAATCAGTCAGAGTCTCGGGATTTCGTTTCGATGTTTCCTTATGATTTTCTGCCTTCTATAATGGACGTTGGCACTTTGAGAGGGCCACTGGCAGCAAGAACTGCAAAAAGCTACCCGGAGATACCGGGAGCACACGCGTTGCCAGTGGGGCTTCATTTTCATCATGATATCACTAACGTATACTAAAGCCACAGGTTTCAAAGCTCATAGTTTGGCAATTCAATCAGTTCTATCATGTTCTATCATGTTCTACCCCCCAAAAAAAATCAATTCTCTGGATAAATTATAGCAACCTCACTGCGACGCCACTGGAAATGATGGGTAGTGAAGGCACATTTGCCAAACCAACGACTCCAGTGCCTTCAGCTGGTTGCTGAGGTGCTTCCAAAAAAATCACGGCCCGAAATAGTCACCAATATCTATGAAGCCAGAGTCCGGATGACATTTGGAATGTACATATCAAAGTGCAAAAACCTTCTCTGTGTTGGTTTTACATATGTATCAATCCCCCAAAGATAGAAAGCGTGTTTCCAGGATGGCATAGATGATAGTTACCTACTTGGTGGCTCATCCCACTTAGTGGGTTAGTTCACCCCAGTGATTGATGTGGATTAACCCTACTTATCCCATTTATAACTGGGGTGAACTAACCCACTTACGAGCCGTGGGTAGTTCGCCACCAAGTAGGTAACTATCATTCCAGGTTTTCAACTTTTCAATGGCTGGATGATGTCGGATGGTTGGAAGGGGGATAGCCGTTTTGATGTAATCTATCCAGGAATCCTTCCGATATTCCCATTGTATTCCCCCAAAAAAGGCGTGTTCCCTTATCATATCCCTACTGTGTTTCCCGAATTTGTTGAATTCTTGTACTTCATCCAGAGTCTCCATTTGTTGCTAGTTCTACCCCCCATTCCATCCCCACTCAATCCCCCTTAAATCACGAAATCCCCATAGATCCCATCCTTCCACTTGGTGGCCCACGGCTCGTAAGTGGGTTAGTTCACCCCAGTTATAAATGGGATAAGTAGGGTTAATCCACATCAATCACTGGGGTTATAACCCACTTACGAGCCGTGGCTAGTTCGCCACCAAGCAGAGATAATATCCGCGCCGGGTGACCTCCTCAGCTTCGCCCAGGAAAAATTCCATCAGACCTGCATCGATAACGAATGCCCCGAGCACCGAGCCAGGCGCCGGGGGATGGAGGACCTGGTGAACCTGGAGGACCTGGAGGACCTGCACTGTTGATCTACTCGAATCTACCTGGATGCTACAGAAATTCTGGAAAGTTTGCCTCATCCCATTCAAAAACTTCTAAGCCATGGGATAAGTATCATATAATATGAAAAAAACCCATCTAGATCTGGTATGAAGTACTTCTTAGTATCTAAGACCATGGCTTATCCCATCAAATTCATACTTCAATGGTGTCAGCCATGGGTCCCATCCGCCCCGTCGCACGGGAGGTGGTTGAAATGCGATCCCGCTGGGGGTGGTGGTACAGCTGGTGGTGGAGATGGTTGGTTTAACCTCAAGGAGTGTTTGAATTGGGTGGATGAATTGGGTGGCTACACCTTGGGAGTTTCAGCTTTCCCGAGTTTTTTGGGCGGACATCCCAAAAATTGATGGGTCAGACATCCGATTTTTAATTTGTGAAACAAAGGTCATTCGAATGTATCCACATCTTCGAAGTTGATATCCCAGGTTTCGGTGGTTCAAATCCGATTGACCTTGCGCGTTTTTCGCCGTTTTTCATCGTTTTTCCTTGGTCAAAATGACCAAGATCTATGAATTGCTGACCAGGGGTTTGAGGTTTCTACTGGCACCAAACAATTATACATGAACATCAATTTCCAGGAGATCATGCTTGATCTTTCCGTGAAAGTTTGCTGGGCGTCATGCTCCCGACCGCTGCGGTTCCGGAATACCCACAACTCAACATGACCCCTAGTTCCCAGGAATTGGCCACATGATACCTACCTGTTGGCAACGATGATTTCCGAGGTGACCAAGTTTTCTACATATCTAATCTAATCGTATCTGGGGGTCAAGGTCAAAATTGAACGCTCCTGAACTCACAGATCTTGGCAAAATCCTTTCTCTTTGATATCCACCTGGTCACCTGGTTGGTGGTTTGGAATATTTTAAGCGTGATTAACCCTCTGGTAACGGAATATTAATGGCTGGTTGATGGTTTGGAACATGGCTTTTATGACTTTCCATTACTATTGGGAATGTCATCATCCCAACTGACGAACTCATATTTGTCAGAGGGGTAGGGCTCAACCACCAACCAGGCCACTTTTTTGGGGTATCCTGTTCCACACCGGATGGTAGTTTTCAATACCAATGTATGCCAAACAGTTGAGATGACCAAAGCACTTTCTGTTGTTAGATATCCCCATGGTTATAGGCAATTTTTCACCTGTGGTCAATATTGGTTGATATTGGTCAAGATTGCTTGATATTGGTTCATATTGCTTCATAGTGATTACTAATGGATAAACTATATCATTAATCCCATCACCTTAATATTGAAAAAACCATGTATGGTCCCATTTTTTTTCATTTCATTCCCTACATCCAGCCATGGTTTCTAGAGGATGATTGGTGAACTGAGTGTTACGGTGGCTAACCAATATTGACCAATATAAACCAATCGTAACCAATATGGGGATGGGTCAAAACCTATATATCATTATCAATTTTAGTGGGATGAACATTCATAAATCCGATCTATTTTGGCGTTCATTATATAGTGCTTATGGGTTTTGTCACCGTATGAACCACTATTTTTGAAGCAATTTTCGCTGGACATTTCCGATGACATTTCTGGCCATGGCACAGGATATCTCGAGGCTAAACATCCGAGGGATGCGCATGCGCGATGGACCCAAAGGCATGACGTGCAGCTTGACGAAGTGAACGAAGTGACAGGCTTTGGATGGGGATGGTGCCCCTTTTTGTTGGTATCATGATGGGGATTCATCATCTGTACATGGGGTCAATACCCCTTAGTTCAATAATGTACTGTATTATATAATATATAAGCCGAGTATTCACGAGTTATATCCCATAAATGGAGAGTAATGATAATCATTAAGGGATCGATTCACATCCATGGACAGGGAGGATATTTCATGGGAACATCATCTATAAAACTGAGTTCGTTGATCTAGCTAGCCGAACTGTTGGATGTTTGGTGATGATATCTATACTGAGATGGGTTTATAAACTAGCTTATAGCTGGAGGCACCCCCTTGTATTATACATTTACATGTTGATTTCTATTGGTTGGTTCAGGAAGGGGTTTGCAATCAGTTTGGTATTGTATACATGGCCCATTTCGTTCAATGATTTACCTGTTCAGAATGATGATTTTCCATAGCAAAGTGTTAAATTACCAGAGGGTAAGTAGGTAATCGAACCGTATAATCTCATTGCTATGACCTACCAATGGATATTTTGGGCACTGCTTCGTGCCGGGGATATCCATTGAAACCACCCAGCAGATAAAGTCAGGGAGATCTTCCTTAGGTCAGCGCCAGAAATGAAAGGCAAATTCCACCGGATAGGAAACCACCGCAACTTTCGTTTTTCCCCTTACTCTTGGGATCGCAAAACCATGAGTTTCGATGCTAACATGTCTTATTTTGGATATTTTTTTGGGGGTAACCATCAGGATTCCCACCCGGTATGGCAGACATGGTTTTGAGATATTGCAAGCCAGTTATCAACGAGAAAACACGCAGTTGCGGTTATGAAATGTTATAAAATGATATAAAATGTCCCATCTACAACATGGTTATAACATGGAACCCACATAAAATAAGTCTATGTGACCCATATGCCAATATTGAAGTTCGAAAAATCCTCTTCCAGACCATCCTTTCTTTGTTCGTCGAATCCTTATTTCTTTTGCCGTTTTTTTAAAATCCTACGGTACTTGGTTGCAGTTTCCTCTACAGAATCAGGGGTGTTGGAACCCCAAAAACCCATCAAAAACCACCATGTTTGATCTCGAAATCCACCTCAGCCTCCCTGAAATGAACCAAGGTCAGGGTGGCAACGGGCCCTTCAGCCCGCCTTGTCCGGAGGACGGCGGCAGCCCGTCCTTTCCGTCGCAGATCACCCGAGCCGCCACGTGGAACGTGGAGCGACTCGGCTCATGGTGGATTGCGTGGGGATGTTGAGAGGGATTTAACCATCCACAATAGGGATTGAATGGGATATAATTTCATCATCAAATCCCTCTGGGATGATGAAATCCCTATTGTTTATGGGATCTAATGGGATTTATTCATCCCGTTTAATGGGATTCAACGTGTTTTTTTGGTTTAAATGGGTATTTCAACATCAACAATTAGGATTTTATTGGGGATTTTGGCGACTTTTGGACCTACATTTGGGTGCTTTTTTGGGGTTATGGCTATGGCTGAAAAAACTATGGGACTCGAACTTAGGAAGTAAATGGAAGTAACATGATTTAACTAGTAAAACCATGTAACAACTAGGATATAGCTGGGATCTAATAGGACAATATAGGACATAGTTCCTCAAAGAGCAAGCGGCTATCGTAATTTGTCTCGTGAGTATGACCCAGATTTTACTTGTGCATTGGGAAGACATCATGAAACAGCTACCAGCCAGCGGCGACTTCGTGCTGCCGAAGAAGAATTGTTCCAGCCGCTGTCACTGTCATGCTGCCGCTGCAGAGGATTCGCCGTCCGCTGCCGTCCGGGACCAGATGTTTTGTCAGATTTCACCAGATTCTGCCAGGAATCCGCCAAGTGGAGAAGCCGAGCTGCAGCTCACAGTATGACACAGAATAAGAATCTTTCGTCCGAAGGTCCGCAGGTCCACCAAAGAGGCTGAAGCTTTAGCTCCACAAGCAATAAAAGAGCAAAATGGTTTGGGCAACCTCAAGTCCTCTTGTACAAACCCTTGGTGTCAGGTGAGACGGGACTGATCTTATGTCCGTAAGGTTCTTGTGACCTGAATGAACAAAAAAACAATGAAACCATCATGAAACATGGTGAACAATGGTGGTGGCCTGTGGTGTCACTTCACTGGAAGTTGGGTTCTGTTTGGGGTTCATTGTTCATGGCAGTTGAAAGAGGAAGAAACAGCAGCAACCAATTCGGACTCCAACAGATTGGCTGGTCATGGTCCTGTGAATGTATGCAGCCTCCAAATGTGATGCTTCGGACATGGAGCTGCAAACTCAGGGGTTTCCTAAAATGGGGGGTACCCCGAAATCATTCATTTTAACAGGATTTCCATTATCTTATCAACCATCCAGCCACTGGGGTACCCCCAAAATGCAGGAAACATATTGGCTATGGGTCAAAACCCTGGTACCTAGTAAACCTCAAAATAGCTGGTAAATAGCTGTTCATCCCACTAAAATTGATGGTAATAGGTTTTGACCCATTCCCATATCACATCCCAACTTTTCCAGGGTCCACAGTTTTTGAACACGGCAAGCTGGGTTTCAAAGTGTCCACATTTTGCACGGCCGAGGCTAGAAGAGTCCATCGGACGCGCCATAGGCGTGAGATTTTGGGACCAAAATTTGAGCAGGCCATCTGGTCAATCCTAGATACTGAAGATCTGAAGTTCTTCAACTGGAAATTCAAGTTTTCTCCATTTTTTTCAAGATCTTTTTAGGAAAATTCCATCCCCCGATATGAAATGCCAGGGTTTCTGTGACTGTTTTGGTCCCCAATTCAGCAGTCCATAGAATCGCGTGAAGGCGACCAGGTCATGGTAGCACTTGCTTCAACTCATATTGAAACCTATAACCATATGTAGCACCAATATGTGAATACCTACGAATGGTGGGACGTTTCCATCAAGCCATGTTTGATTGCCAAAGGGTAGGCGGTGAAATACTGACGTCATCTGTAATTCATCGATTTTGGTTACCTCTCGGGGTAAACAGTTCATGCTCCTGTCGATTTTCGCAGAAAAAAAACAACCATTGACAAAAAACATATGTAGCTCACGTAACTGGCTAAAGTGACAGCTGTTCACAGAGATCTCCATGTCTCCTGTCATCCGTTTGGCTGAGAAGGTGTTCCTCTGTTAAATGTTCTATTTGCATCTATTTGCATGAAAACGAACCAGGTGCTTTCTACTTCCCTGACAAGTGCCAGTTTTTCTTCATCACCTGAAGCGTGTTTTTTCTACTTTGTTTCACTTGGACGGTTCACAGAAGTTTCTTTCTTGGTTTTCCCATGGGTTTTCCCATATTCTCACATAGACATGGAAGTTCAAACCCCAACAAAACTCCCACAGTTTTTCCCATATTCTCACATAAACATGGAAGTTCAAACCCCAACAAAAATCCCACAGTTTTTCCCATATTCTCACATAAACATGGAAGTTCAACCCCCAACAAAACTCCCACAGTTTTTCCCATATTCTCACATATTTCGTTGGGTTTTCCCATGGGTTTTCCCACCAAAAATCCCCAGAGTTTCCATCAACTCCCAGCGCATCTTTCAGGCCTTGTGGCCAGCAAGCTGGACGTCCATGCAGCCCTGCTGCCCACCATCAACATCCTGCCCTGGCTCAACTGGGGCCGCGCGCAGGTGGTGTAGAGGGGAACTGTTCTCCCTCACTGGGAATCATGGTTTAGATATAGGGGAATCATCCCCAAATGGCCTTAAGATACAGATTAGTGAATTATTATAATTTACCCAGATCAGATTGGGAGTTGGAAGCTTGAGAAGTGGTTGAGAGCTTTGGGAACTGTTTTCGGTGATGTTTTTTTTTTTAGCTGCTGGTTGAACATCCGTTGGCCGCGTCGGTTCGGGGTGAGATGACCCGCTGTCACAGGAAAGTTACGGCGAGGATCCCTTCTTCAGTGGCAAGATGGGCGCCGCCGTGGTCAACGGAGTACAGCGCCATGGATTCAAGTGATGGGTGGCGATTTGAAGCATGATCTGAGCTGGTTGGTGGTTTGGAACATGGCTTTTATGACTTTCCATATATGGGTATGTCTGAAAATGGGGTATACCCCCAATTATAGCCATTTAGTAGGGATAATGATCATTAACCATTGGGTGTAGGGGTACACTATTTTCAGACAAACCCATATTGGGAATTTCATCATCCCAACTGACTAATATTTTTCAGCGGGGTAGGTCAACCACCAACCAGTGAATAAGGTATCTCAAGTGGGTCCATTCCATAGGTCAAAAAACTGGCATGTTTTTTTACATTGCTAAGTGGATATCAGCGGTGTGCTGTTGACCAGTATGCTACCATGGATTTCCCTCAATATGAAACTAAAGCCCAGAAAACCAGGATTGGAATTGGATCTGCTATGGTCTATGAACATTTGGGTAGCCTAGAATGTGGGTGAATTTGATCAAGGTTTGGTCGGTCCCACCCTTCCATCATGGACATCAAACTCTTGGCTTTCTGTGAATACGCTAATCATGTTACCCTCTGGTAATTGAACATAGCTATTGAAAATGGCCATAGAAATAGTGGATTTACCCATAGAAAATGGTGATTTCCATAGTTTTTTGCATGTTTACCAGAGGGTATAAACCGTCCCAGCCAAGCATTTCGGGACATCTCATGGGTATCCCCCATTTTCAGACAAAGCTGTATACATCGGGGTAACCCGACCCCAATCAACGCCAATCAGATCACGTCTGGCATTTTTTTCTGAAGGAATTGGGATGTTACCCAAAAAGTGACCATCAGCCTGGCTGAACATTGAAATGATCAACACCCACCCCGAACGACCCTCTGGCAAACGTTTACAAAAAACTATGGAACATCACCATGCTATTAATGGGCAAATCAACTATTTCGACTGGGCCATTTTCCAGTTCGCAAACTGTTTGTTTACCAGAGTTTAAAACCACCATACCTGTGTGCAGGGGTCTGATAGATAATTATAGCCGCCTAATAGTAGCCGCTATGAAATATACGTGTCCAGGCTCGTGGGTCAACTGGCTGGACGTGTGGTATAACCTCCGGCGATCTAGCATAGCCATGGCCATTTTCCATGGCCAGTTTAGATTACCAGAGTGTATGTGGGAATGTCACATACGAACCAGCTATGTATATATTTACACACGCTCTATATATATATAATACAATATCATATATATATATATTATATATATATATTCATATAATAAAATATTTTATAGTACAATATTATATAATACAATATTTTAGTACAATATTATATAGTACACTATCATATAATACAATATTTTATAATACAATATTAGATAATTCAATACAATATTATATACAATATTATATACAATATTATATATAATATATAGACTCTTTTTTGCAGGGCATCTAAGATTGGCCAGGCATGACCAGAAGGTGATGGCCACAGCCACTTGCCGGAAGAATGTTGGGCGGTCACCGGACAACGCTGTAAAAATTGACCAAAACTTGAGAGTTGACCAGCCATTGGACCCCCCAAGACCTCATCAAAATAGGTCATACCCTCTGGTAAACTAACATAGCAATGGAAAGATCCACCATTTTTAATGGGAAAATCCATGTAAATCCACTATTAATGGCCATTTTCAATAGCAAACTGTTAGTTCACCAGAGGGTATATCACCAACCATAGTTCTGGCATTCCCCAAGACCGCCATGGCGTTTAAAACTGGATCCCCCCTGGGGCACCACAGAGCCGCAAGGCTAAGCACTTCTTGGCCAATAACATCGAGAACACGCGGTGCCGCGGCATGATTTTTGTTGTTTTTTACACGCATTCAGAATGGTGATTCAACAATCAAACATGGGGTTCTTTTGATGGGATGATAATGATGATATTCAATATGGGGCATGGTATATCTGGCGAATTTTTTCCGCCGTCTATCGGGACTTACAGGGCACTTCACCAGCATGGGAGATACCAAAAAGATGCCGTTGAAGGCGGCCGTTGAACATGGATAGTCCACAAAAAGGACAACGGCCCCCTCAAATCATGGGGTATATATATATATACACTGTATATGGGAATTGAGGATTATATAAGCATGAAAATTTGGGGTACAGGGGGTATCCTATTTTCAGACAAAACCATATCTTCAAGTTTCCATCCCTTTGAACTGGGGATGATCCACCATTCCTGTCTATTTTGGAGGACCTTCACTGGGCACATGACCCCCATTTCATATGGGGTCATGTCTCTCGGTCATTTTAGGGTAGTACTCATATCAACGGTATTCTCCGGGCACGGGGTCATTGCAACGGTGATGCCGTATAAAATTGATGCCTGTGTTCTTCCAATGCAGGTCAAGTTAGTTCAGATTGTGGTTTCCAGTTGCCAGATTGGCAGCGCATCAAGGGCATTTGCCACCGCGAAACATGTCTATGTCTTAGGCGAAATATGCTGTTATTGCAGTTGTTGCCAACAATGTCTGCATTTGATACTTAATCACAATCTGTTGCTCAAATCACTCACATCATGCTCAATCCATTTTTTTTCTTACAATTGTCATGGGATTTTCATGGTTCAAATCCAGATTTTTGCTGGCCAAGTGCCATGCTTTTTTCCAGCCAAGCTCTGGCAGTCCGGACGCCAGGTGGTGGGTGAGTGCTGAGATGGACGAACAGACCTTGCACGATGTCTATCTCAGGCCTTGAGTGGGTCGTCCTGCTGCGATGGCTGGGAAATTTCATGGAAATCCTCTATGAATATGGATTTTAAAGGATTTTCATGGGAAAATCATGGAAGTAAACTCTGGATTTTTAGAAGTTTAACCACGTTTGATGATATAACAGAGGGTTTATCTGGGATTCTCCCATTTACAACTGAGTTATAACATGTTACTAAGCAGTATGATGCTTGGGGGGAAGGGGAAGGCCGGACGTTTTGCCAGATTTGGCAGCGTTTGGTGGGGAATTGTTTGTTGGTCAAAAAAAAGCATGAACTGGTTCGTTATACATGGACGTTTCCTAAGATGAGGGATCCCCAAGTCACCATGGGTTTCAATACTCAGTCATGGTCTAAGTTTGGAGGGTTTGAGGGTACCCCTATTTTAGGACACCTCCATATCAAGCATGAAACTGGTTGGTGGTTTGGAACATTTTTTCCCATATATTGGGAATTTCATCATCCCAACTGACATTCATATTTTTCAGAGCGGTAGGTATACCACCAACCAGATAATTAACAATCATTAACTATCAATAACCATAATTAATCACTATTAATCATCATTAACCACCATTAATTAGAAACCAGCTCAGCTAATGGATGAGAATCCCACCTTGTCGTCTCCTGATTTGATGGGGGAAAACATGAGGAAATTCATGGGAGATGTACGAACGAAGTGATTGATTAAGGAATTCCTCCACGGATTATTGTTTTATATTGTTTTTATATACGGGAACCACGAAAAACAAACCAGGTCTTGAATTATGATGAAGTTCAGCCAGATTTTCATTCTCGATTTTTGGATGACTCATGGTCATTGGTTTCATTCCCTGTCCATTGCTGTTCTTTGTGATGTTCCATGTTGGCTACTAGCCAGCGCTCCAATTAATGGCCGGGCACCATCCCTAGAAAAATGCATTGATTGTTGGTTGTACCACGATTTTGATGACTTCTAAATTTCCATTTTGCGGAACCACATTCCCTTCATTTTGATAAAGGAAGACTTTTTTCCAATGGGAAATTCATCAAACATGGGATACCAGGAGGACTATGGAAAAAAAAGGGGCACTTGGGCGGAAACAGTCCAGGAATTTCATCTGAACAGACCTACCCTCCAGTAAATTAACATAGATCCTGAAATTCACCCATTTTTAATGGAAACTAGTCTTCCAACCCCTATCTGCCAGGATCTATGTTAATTTACCAGAGGGTAATTTTGCAGATTTGGTCACCACCAATTGCTAGGTGCGGTGCCATCATCTGTCACCGAGAGTTGGATCGATTTTTTTTGGCCCTTTTGGGCGGACGAAAAAGCGGCACCAGTTTGAAGCTTACGCTGTCTCGGCTTCCAGCTCACCTTTTGTGGCGACCACCCAGTTGAGGATTGGGTAAATTGACCTTTTTTTTTGCGCCTACGTTTCTGAACTTTGGCAAACACCTCCTTCAATCTTCAGTTGGTTAAATCCACAAGTCTGCTCTAAACAGTTTGCTGTTGCAAACATCCCAAACAGTTTCCTTGTTTTTTTTGCATAGCAACGTCGCCAAAAAGTCACTCAGTTTTCTTGATGGTTAGATCCCATATTTTCATGATCCACATTTTACTATCGTTAAATGTCAAGCTTCATGGTAAACTGCCCATATTTGCCATGGCCATACTAAACACAAGTTCTTGACGGTAAAACCCCCTTAATTTTCTTGGTTAAATCCCACATTCACATATTTTTCGTGTTGAAATCCATTTTTTTCATGGTGAATCCCTGATTTTCCGTGTTTTATTCCCATTTTTTCATGCTTCAAAGCACCTTAAATTGGGTCCAACAAATTGGGCAGGGCTTGGGCCTTGGTGGTGGCTGACAGCTCACCGGAGCTCATTATGACCTCCTACAACAGGCGGTGGGATGGTCATTTGTTACAGAGCTATGGTATATATATGTATATATATATATACATATACATATATATATACACACATATATATATATATACACATACATATATATATATACATATATATATATCCGTAATATATATATATATATATACATACATAGAGGTCCCATTTAGTTGGATGATTGACCTATTTATTGAATTGGTGATTTTCCATAGATACGTTAAATTGCCAGAGGGTAAGCATCAAAAATTGGAGTTTCACCGATCCAAAATCGGGGGGTTTACCAGCAAGACAAAGGATTTCACCATGAAACATGGGCCCCAAAAGTGCCAATCAGCCAGCGATTTTCTATTTCGGTGGCTTTATCTACCTTTTTCTGAACTTTCTACATCTTAGGAGCGCAGTTCAGCTGATAAGTGGGCATGGGTGTGGGATGGACGAGGGCACTTCTAAGTCTTATACATTGTTTTTGAACTACTTACCAACTTACAAACTGGGATGCACTTGCAAGTATGTCAGTTGGTGCATTTCACTAGCTTAGCAGCTTAGGTGATGTCTGTGAATGAAATATCTACAGTTGAATCGATATACATTGGCCAACTTGGAAGCAGGTGAACAAAAAGGCATAGTAACTTTTGGATCTTCATATGTTTTTTTCAGCTGAGGTTGTAACATAGCTGATTCCTTGTTCGCAGTCGTATGGCTTACATGTGAGTTATAAATCACTGCCTGTACAAGCTAGGATGCACTCAGACTAGTCCCCAACATAGTGGTGATATCTAGGTAGAAACCCACTATCCAAGTTGGAGAAAGTTATGGCAGCTGCATTACCCGTGGCTTTTTGAGCCTCAGGGTTTCTGGGTCAGACGGACTTGAACGACGAGTCGTTTGGGTATGGGTCAGTAGGTACCCTGACTCACAGATAGCTGGTCCTTTTTCTTCTTTTTACAGTCATTTTACCTATGCTAGTTTTTGCCTACGGCGCCATTAACGACCCCTGCGTTTTTGGCATCTTTTGCTGATCGGAGGCAAGTTGCTCTTGAAATTGATGCATGCACAACTGACGTGACGTCACTGGGTTGGGGTGGGGTGGGGATGTTAACTTTCATGTTAACTTGCGTCACATGCACAACTGACGTCACGTCACTGGGTTGGGGTGGGGTGGGGATGTTAACGTTCATGTTAACTTGCGTCACATGCACAACTGACGTCACGTCACTGGGTTGGGGTGGGGTGGGGATGTTAACGTTCATGTTAACTTGCGTCACATGCACAACTGACGTCACGTCACTGGGTTGGGGTGGGGTGGGGATGTGAACGTTCATGTTAACTTGCGTCACATGCACAACTGACGTCGCGTCACTGGGTTGGGGTGGGGTGGGGATGTTAACGTTCATGTTAACTTGCGTCACATGCACAACTGACGTCACGTCACTGGGTTGGGGTGGGGTGGGGATGTTAACGTTCATGTTAACTTGCGTCACATGCACAACTGACGTCACGTCACTGGGGTGGGCTGGGGTGGGGATGTTAACGTTCATGTTAACTTGCGTCACATGCACAACTGACGTCACGTCACTGGGTTGGGGTGGGGTGGGGATGTTAACGTTCATGTTAACTTGCGTCACATGCACAACTGACGTCACGTCACTGGGTTGGGGTGGGGTGGGGATGTTAACGTTCATGTTAACTTGCGTCACATACACAACTGACGTCACGCCACTGGGTTGGGGTGGGGTGGGGATGTTAACGTTCATGTTAACTTGCGTCACATGCACAACTGACGTCACGTCACTGGGTTGGGGTGGGGTGGGGATGTTAACGTTCATGTAGCTGGCCAAGAAGAGTCGACGCTGAACAACTTGCAAGGGTGAGTTGAAAAAGAAGTGTTGCTCAATGACTGGTGGTCAGATGTAACTGAATTTCAACAAAAGGAAAAAAAAAACAATAATTCGTTTCAGGGGTATTGAAAATCGATGAACGTTTCACACGAAACGCACTTTTGGTAGTAGGCCCCAAAGTAACTACGATTTGACGTTTTTATCACGTTTTTACAAAACCTTGCAAATACCATGATTTGGTGAACCAAGCATCATGGAAAATCAATGAGTTACCCCGGGTCGCTAACCGCGCCGTAGCCTAGTTTTTGAGGTGTATACTTTTGCATCACGTGTAATATTTGTTTGGGTGTATACTTTTGAATTACCTATTATATTTTCTGGGTTTATACTTTTGAAATAACTATCATATTTCTTGGGTGTATACTTTTAAATTACCTATCATATTTTCTGGGTTTATACTTCTGGACTAACTATCATATTTTTGGGTGTATACTTTTGAATTACCTATCATATTTTTTTGGGTGTATACTTTTGCATCACTTATGATATTCTTTTCGGTGTATACTTTTGCATCACTTATCATATTTTATTGGAAGTATACTTTGAATTGCCTATCATATTTTTTTTGGTGTATACTTTTGAATTACCTATTTTATTTTTTGGGTGTATTCTTTTGAATTAAGGAGGTTTTCTGCATCAAAGATACTGCAGAGCGAGGGATTATTCGCGAGCAATTGGCGAAGATTGTTGTTTTCATCTCCAAAATGGCTGAAAGATGGTGCGAGACTTTCAGAGAACAGCATGGGACAAGGCTGCAGCTTGAGACGTTCAACCGATGCGAATCAGTGGATCATCAAACCAGCCAACTAAGCCTGGATTTGTTGATGATGTGACAGCATTTTCCAAGTTGAGGAATCTACTCTTTTTCTTTTTTCTTTTGATGGCAAAAAGAGTGTCGTAGTAGTGTTGTAGTAGTAGTAGTAGTAGTCGTGGTGGTGGTGGTGGTGGTCGTCGTAGTAGTAGTAGTAATAGTAGTAGTAGTAGTAGTAGGAGTAGTAGTAGGAGTAGTAGTAGGAGTAGTAGGAGTAGTAGGAGTAGTAGGAGTAGTAGGAGTAGTAGGAGTAGTAGGAGTAGTAGGAGTAGTAGGAGTAGTAGGAGTAGTAGGAGTAGTAGTAGTAGTAGTAGTAGTAGTGGCGTAGGCGTAGGAGTAGGCGTAGGAGTAGGAGTAGGAGTAGGAGCAGGAGTAGTCGGAGTAGGAGCAGGAGTAGGAGCAGGAGTAGGAGCAGGAGTAGGAGTAGTAGTAGTAGTAGTAGTAGTAGTAGTAGTGGTAGTAGTGGTAGTAGTGGTAGTAGTGGTAGTAGTAGTAGTAGGAGTAGTAGGAGTAGTAGTAGTAGTAGGAGTAGTAGGAGTAGTAGGAGTAGTAGGAGTAGTAGGAGTAGTAGGAGTAGTAGGAGTAGTAGGAGTAGTAGGAGTAGTAGGAGTAGTAGTAGTAGTAGTGGCGTAGGCGTAGGCGTAGGAGTAGGCGTAGGAGTAGGAGTAGGAATAGGAGTAGTCGGAGTAGGAGTAGGAGTAGGAGTAGGAGCAGGAGCAGGAGTAGGAGCAGGAGCAGGAGTAGGAGTAGGAGCAGGAGTTGTAGTAGGAGTAGTAGGAGTAGTAGGAGTAGTAGGAGTAGTAGGAGTAGTAGGAGTAGTAGGAGTAGTAGGAGTAGTAGGAGTAGTAGGAGTAGTAGGAGTAGTAAGAGTAGTAGGAGTAGTAGGAGTAGGAGTAGTAGTAGTAGAAGTAGTAGCAGTAGCAGTAGCAGTAGCAGTAGCAGTAGCAGTAGCCGTAGCAGTAGCAGCTTGCGGCCAACAAGCTCGCCAAGCAAAAAGTGCATGGCTTTGTGGCGCATGCGCAGCAGGAAAACACCACCTAATTTCGTACCCAAACGTAGCAAAGGAACCCTAAAAAACGACTTAACCTCTCTTCTGAAACTTCACTAGAACTGAGATTTTTCAACTTGTTACGCATGTTTGCCACATCTTGTGGCCAACAAGCCCGCCAAGCACAAAGTGCATGGCTTTGTGGCGCATGCGCAGCAGCAAGACACCACCTAATTTCGTACCCAAAACGTAGCAAAGGAACCCCAAAAAACGACTTAACGTCTCTTCTGAAACTTCACTAGAGCTGAGATTTTTCAACTTGTTACGCATGTTTGCCACATGTTGCGGCCAACAAGCCCGCGAAGCACAAAGTGCATGGCTTTGCGGCGCATGCGCAGCAGCAAAACACCACCTAATTTCGTACCCAAAACGTAACGTCTCTTCACTGAGATTTTTCAACTTGTTACGCATGTTTGCCACATCTTGCGGCCAACAAGCCCACCAAGCACAAAGTGCATGGCTTTGTGGCGCATGCGCAACAGCAAAACACCACCTAATTTCGTGCCCAAAACGTAGCAAAGGAACCCCAAAAGAAGGCCTAACGTCGCTTCTGAATCCCTACTAAAATTGAGACTTTTTGAGACCTTTCAGTTTTTTGTGGCCAGCGAGCCTGCCAAGCACAAGCTGCACGGATTCTAAATCTAAGTTTTCTCTATCTCCCTATGTCTAGAAATATCTATATCTATATATATACCTATATCTATATATTATCCGTGTTCTATCTCTAATTTTCCATCTCTATATCTATGTCTATAGAATCTGCTGTAGTAGTAGTAGTAGTAGTAGTAGTAGCAGCAGCAGCAGCAGTAGCAGTAGTAGCAGTAGTAGCAGTAGTAGCAGTAGTAGCAGTAGTAGCAGTAGTCGTAGTCGGCGGCATGCGAAACGCTAAAACTCCATGGTAGTAGTAGGCGGCATGCGAAACGCTAAAACTCCATGGTAGTAGTAGTAGTCGTCGTCGTCGTCGTCGTGGTTGTTGTTGTTGTTGTTGGCAATGGCAATGGCAAACTCTTATTCCCTGGCGCGCTCCCCCTTGCGCAGCCGGGGTCGGCGGATATTTTTTTGGGTGTATACTTTTGAATTACCTATCATATTTTTTGGCTGTATATTTTTGAGTTACCTATAATCTTTTTTTGGTGTATACTTTTGAATTACCTGTCATATTTGTTTGGGTGTATATAGACTTTTCAATCTCTTGGCCTATTCCTCAATTTCCCTTGCTTTCGCTACTTGGAAGGGAGTCCAATCGACTGCTGTTTTTGGGGATGGGTCACCATCAACCAGGCCATGTTTTGAAAGTCTCAGCGGAGGGAGATGTTATTGATGAAGGCAAGATTTACGCCAACCTGGCGATCCCTTGTTATGTGCGGGTTGCCACGTCCTGAATGGTCTGAGAAGGTCTTGGATGATCACCTGGCTGCGCGCAGATCCCCGCCGCGCAGCGCCGGCAGCGCATGTGGCCTCCATAGACAAAGACATGCGCGTTTCGGGGCCCCAACCGGGATTGCAGCCTGCGTGCCGCTCAGTTTTGCAAGCAAGGCACCCCCCAAATCCCATGGTTTTAATTATGTGGTTCTATTATGATGTTGCTTGTTTATGTTGGCGCATCCCCCTGTCGAGTCTTGAGACGAACACAAGCTTGCCAGGGCGCAAGGGAAGTGGGCATTCACAGACCCCAAATTCATCAACATCCTCCGGAACGACTTGGGCTTTGATGGCAGCATCATGACCGATGCTTGGTGGAAAGGCGCAGGCGCCTGTCGCGCAAAAAACTCGGTTTTGACAATAAAGTTTTGCTGTTCCTGGAGTGGTGTACGTCTATAGGCATAAAACCAAGTTTGGAACGAAAAAAGGCCAACCAACACACGGGACTTTTTCTGCTTAACGAGCCATTGCGCGACCACGCGTTTTTTGGCAAACTGACCGCACTTTCAGCTGGCAGTTTTGAGGCTGCGCGATCAAACGCTTGCCAGCGCCTTGTGAGGAAACTCACCATATTTGAGAGAGATGTGGACAAACTACAGTGGTTGTTCTGTTGATCATCCAACATGTCTTTCCGAATGCCAATCTGACGGGTTCATTCTGGTGATTTTTCATCCACAACTGGACTTGTTGCACTGTATTCAAATTTGTTTTTCGAATTTCTGCTGTTTGTGTCCTGTCTTTTTGTTCCATCACAGCTGTTCTTTTACATGTCAGTTTTGTGGCGTTCAAGTTCTCATGAGGAAGTGCGTCCCACCAGTCAGTTCATATTTTCAAGGCACTTCCTGGATCTTGCTGGGCAAATTCACATTTTCACCCGGAGTCTTGATGATATATAAAAACAGTGACATATTAACCAAAGAAAGTGGGTTCACCAATATTTGTTGTTTTTTTTCAGTTTTCGTGTTCTTTGCTCTTTTGTTGCCTTCCCGTGGCGGTGAATCAGGATTGGTTCGCGTCGTGGGAGGCAGGTGGGAGTCTAAAGGTTGGGTATATTTTGGGATATCACGGGACAAAAGCGGATAGACAACGACTGAAATATGATATATGGATGAATTTGGTTTTGTTTCACAATGGGAAAAACCAATGCCATGCAAATTTCAATGGAAAACTGGTTGTTTTGGGAGGTTCCCCATTTTCAATTTTCATTTAGCATTATGTATATATATATATACAATATATATATATATATATATACACGCATACACGCCGAGTAGCATCTTTTCTAGCCTGTCAAACACATGGCCTCAAATCATTTCAGAATTTGAATAAACAAACTGGTTATTGACCCTGACTTTGTGGCCAACTGATCCCCATGAAATTTGATGAGGTTTCTACTCTGGACATCGTGGCCGTCAAATAAGGTATTTCTAGATTTTCTAGATTGTCTATATGATCAACATTAGGAATGAATCCAACATTTGAGTTGGTGCCACTGAAGATTTTGTTCACCTCCAATTTTGAGGTATGCATGGGCCTTGTATGTATATGCATGTATATGTATGTATATGTATGCATATGTATGTATATGTATGTATATGTATGTATATGTATATTTCAATGAATTGATGAGGTCGGAATTTTATTTTTCATGTTTCGTAAAGATGCTCTTTGCATCTACAGGCCATCACCGGTGGCATGATCTTGGGCGAAATTGGCAAAAGCAGTCCCTTCTATGGCAGCAAGGGATTTATTCCGTCCAACAGCACCTTGGATCCAGAAAAAAGAAACGGGCCCCGAGGGTTTCCTGATGATTCTTCACATTTTGTGACAAAAGAATAGCAAACACATTATTCTTATCTTCTTCTTGTCAGTTTTGAGTTGATTTGATCAACAATTGAAAAGGATGGGTAATCAAACGTAGACAGGCTACCCCTGTGCGTCAGTTTTGTGGTTTTCTTGTCTGGCAATGAAAAATGCAGTCTTGAAATTCTTCGAATTCTTTGACGCATCGCATGGCTTTCATTTGAACAGAGACCCAAACCATTTGGCAATTTAACATAGCCATGGTATAGATGGCCCATTTATAGATGGTTTTCCTAGCTATAAAATGGTGATTACCCAAACCCTGGTTGATTTGTTGATACCTCATTGATTGGGAACTGTGAATTCATCCCGATGTGGAAATTCCGGTGCGAAAAGTGTTGATCTCCGCAGTGTTTCTGCTGCAATTCGGTGAAAAAACTGCTACACTACAGGTAAGGCACCTTGCTTTAATGGTGAATCATTTGCATCTCTAAGTGATTTCTTTCAGGTGTAAGTGGTTGATAGGAGAACCACACCGGCACAAAGTTCATTGATTCCTGGTGGATGTCGCCGAGTGTTGAACCCCATCCATATGTATGATGTATAGCTGTACCTCACCCGTCAAGGGAAACCATTCAAGCTATCGGGTTCGAGGCCTTTACAATGCTGGAATTGACATGGAGATGCCCATGTGCAACGCGACGTTGGTTAAGTGGAAGCGGGTTGGTCTAAAAATGGGTTGGATCACTAGGATCACTAGCCCATTAAAGGTGCAATGATGCGAAGATGACGATAAATCATCAAGTCATTGATTTTTGAGTAGCTTCGTTTTTTGACAAAACCCATATCTTGGTTCCTTCAACCGGTGAGTTGGCTAGTCGAATTACAAAAAAACTTTGCCATAGCAATCCAACGTGTCTATAATATTCTATAATGATGTAACCCATCCTGTTGAAAATATGATTGTAGAGATATGATTGAAAATATGTTTGTAGAAGGGCCAAGGCATCCTTAAGCGGTGCCACCTTGGGATCAAGGTGAATCATTTTGTCGGTCACGTGAGATCCGACGTCTCAGTATTGTCTGTCATTTTCCCACCGGCCCTTTGGGAATCAAACATGGCAAGCGAAGGGAAATCCCTGGTAAACGTAGGGAATGGATGGGAATGGGGGTTGCTGGGATGATTATTACTAGTGATTATGGATCATTCCCGAAAATTCCCTGCTAAGCACCAGTAAGTAAACGGAGGTTTTGGATTTTCCAGCAAGCCATGCAGCCGATTACCAGAGGGTAACCTTGCCATTGCCAGTGCACCAGGCAGCAAGAACCGCGACGCCATTTGTCAGGCAGCAAGAAACGGGCGACAGAACCGCGATGCTGTGGAATAATTTTCTGACAGGGCTCACTAGAGGTGACTGTAAGTTTCTGGTTGGTGGCTTGGAACATTTGGACTATTTCTCCATTACTATTGGGAATTTCATCATGCCAAGTGACTTTAATTCCATCATTTTTCAGAGGGGTAGGGCGAAAAACCACCAACCAGGTTTACCCTGACACTGGAAAATCTCCCATTCATAGATGGTTTTCCCATCTAGAAACTTCCATTTCGTTCCGGAGATTTGCCAGCCACAGTTGATTAGCGGTACCTTATACATGACTCGAAGATTATCCCACTTACTAATAGGTTGGGGCAGGGGCAATGCGACGTTGCTGGAGTGATCTGGAGTGCGTTTTCTGCAGACCATCATGTGGCAAAGGTGGGCAGGGTGATTAAGGTGGGTGTACTGATGAGGATGTGGAAATGGCCTAAAAATACATCTGGAAACCAAGAGAAAATTGATAATTTAGAAGGCTCTCGGATGAAATTTGAGCATTCTCTAGAAGCGTTGCAGAAGCTGTGTCTTTGAACCCGAAATCAGTTCCAAAAATCACAATCAAAAGTCCCTACTCAGATCACCAAAATTTGTCAAGCTCCTAAAAGAAAGTGACGCCAATGTCTGCAAAATTCCTCTTAAAATCAGCAAACTCCAATCTAGCTCAGGCTTAGGCAAACTGATTTTCTCCCCAAATCAGATGCTGTCGCAGAGATTCATATTGCAGCAACCCCTAAATGAGTTGACAAAGTGGAAACTATATGAGGTAAACATCATTAAGAAATCGAACCCAATGGTCATGTGTGGTGGTCGCTCTTCGAGGCACAAACCTGTGCTGGCGACGTGGAAGAGGAGCCAACATCAACCATGGGATCCCTATGTGTGAAAATAGGGTACCAAATCTGATGGTCATGATTGTCCCCATCTGGTCGGTGGTTTGGAACATTTTTTATTTTCCATAATATCTGAGATAATCTTTCCCATTGACTAATATTTTTTCCAGATGGTTGAAACCACCAACCAGTGATGGCCATTTTATGGGCAGACATTTTTTCTACAGCAGTTTCAGGCACTGCCTGGGTGACGTCACTGGATTCTCAACAATGGCGAACACGTCACTGGTTCGGAACCATGATTTCTTTTGCTGCGATTCGGAAGGATCGTTTGAGAGTTTAGTTTTCACATGTTTTTAGCCATTTTGAATCATTCTGATGTTTTTTATCTTTCACCAATTGTTCCTGCAGATATAGTAGGATTTCATGGGGTTACAGTAATACAACACGATATGTGTTCGTCCCAGAACCAGGGTGATCCCCCAACTTATGCACATTCAATGAGGAAAACGATGAAGAACCATGATTTGGGGGTACCTCATTTTTAGACGTACGGGTCAGGCCTTTTCGGCTGTGACCCAAAGCAGGATGCTGACCATCCTGGAGTGGACAGACAATTTGCAACCCATGGTGCTAGGTCTGCTAGGTGTTCCCCAATGACTGGAGCGAGGGGAAACAGCACAGGATGACATCACTGCGGGTCACAGCGCAAGAAGTACAGCTGCCACAGGGAGATGACGTAAAATTGGCCACGTAGAATGATTTGGCAACTGCTTCATATCTGGGTATGGATCAATACCTATTAATACCATTTTTAATGGGATGAACATCCATTTACCAGCTATTTTGATGTTCACTAGGTACCAAGGTTTTGACACACTGCCATCTGTAGAGAACAAAACGGGTGGGGGAACCAACAAGCACAGTGATCAAAGAATCATCAGGCCAGCAGAAGGGCCAACTATTGATTGACCACATATTTTGGTATATGTTTTGGTTGCTTCATTTGCTGCCTTGGTTAATTAATGTTAATTAATCTTGGTAGGTCGTTCTGAGAAACCTCTTTGGCCCTGTTTTTTGGGAGGATGAAAACCTCGCCAAGGCGTCATATCCACCGCACAATCGCAAGCCCAACAGGTAGTAGAGCCGAAGAGTGTGAGAGCAGGATGGTAGTTCGATGATATTTACCTCATATTTCCAGGTTTCTCACTTTTGGGCATCTTGCCGCAAGGGTTGCAGAAAATATTCGCTCTCCACTTGGATGTGCATTCCACTTAGTAAATAGCACCCGTAAAATTATAACATGCGTATAACTAGGGGGTTGCATTAACTAAAGGTAGAGTAATGCCACAATAAATTACTATAGGGTTTACATGATTACATACCATCATAAAAAGATAGATGAATTAACAACCATCCTCCAGTAGATTAACGAAACAATATGGAAAGCCCACTATTTGTAGATCAGTTTCCCAGGGGAAACTCATGGATTACATTCCCATTGTTGGTTAAATCCATCGGTTTTCTATTTTGGGGGTGCCTTAATTCATACCGTTATAAGTTATATATATATATGTGTATATATATATGTATATATATATAATAACATATCATTAGTCCCCATATATCCCTCAGTAAGAATCCATTGGTCCTTTTCATCCCACCCTCACCCCGGTCCTTTTCCGTTTTGTTCATTGGGCATCCCGTTTCGGCAACCAATGACCCTGCGATGACATCAGGACTGCACAACCCTGAAACACTTGGATCGTGTCACGGATCGCATCCTTCGCTCCAAGCAGAGGCGTGGACCAGGATATCACAGGATATTGTGGGATATATGATATAATATAAAATAAGTAAAACAAAACAAAAAAGATATAATATAATACAATATCATATAATATGATACAATATTCATATAATATGATATAATATACTATAGTGTAATATAACGCATCATAATACAATTTGTTATACTATAATTTGACATAATATGATATGATATATATTATACTTAATGATTTAGTATAATATAATGAATTATAATGTAATATGTTATAGTATGTCATAGCATAATATGTTATAATATAGTCTAGATAATGTATTATGATATAAATTCCATATTTGTAGATAAATAATTTCCTATGGAAAGTATGGTGTTTCCACCTTTTTTGTATGTTTCGCCTAGGGTAACCAACAAACATGGTGAACAAGCATGGTGGGTTTTAAGTAGCACACATGGGAATGTATTGGATATCAGACCATGAGATCCAACAAGATAGTTTGGTGTGCGATTGGGGGAAACCACATGTATGTATTACTGCCCGGTGTCCTCAAACATGGCAAGCTGGGAAATTCCGTATAAATCGAGTTTTTAATGGAACATCAACTATAAATGGCTGATTTCCTATTGCCATGTTAGATTGCCGGAGGGTGGGGCAAGAGATTTTGGAGCCATACATGTTAGATCTGACGGGACGGCCCTTGAGTTGAAAACCAAAGAGACCAAGGCTACGATCATCCCTTTGATGAAGAATAATGGTTACCCTCCATTATTTATAGGGGTTCAACCATCCTTTTGGTGGTGAATAAGTGAGATAAACCCTAAAAAAGTAGTGGGATAAACCATTATAGTTTATAGATGGTTTACCCTCTGGTAAATTAACAGTTGGACCCTCAAAATCACCACTTTTTAGTGGAAACTCATCTTCCAACCCCCAAGTCATGCCAGGGTCTACGTGAATTTACTGGAGGGTAATGAGATGTTTTTGCAATCTTTTTCATGGGTTAATGGTTCACAATGGTTGATCTAGTGAATAGATCGGTTTTCATGATGGGTTATATCAACGAAATAATCATGGCCAGCAATGGTAAGAGTATGGACATATGGGGATAGGTCGAAAGCCTATTATTACCATATGGAGGTTTTCTGACATGGGGGTACCCATCCATCATCCATTATATTTTTTCCATGAAATAAACATCCATTTTATTTTCGGATGTTTCATTATAAACCATCCAGCTATTGGGGTACCTCCATTTTCAGGAAACCCTGATATGACTGGGAGAATCAACATCCAGCTAAACCAGCTACTGTAGGGTACCATCCGGGCGCCAGGCTTTTGACTCATAGCCATACAGCGCCAGGTATGGCTTGCTCGCAGCCATGCGGAACCACACGCAACGCATCACCTGGGACAACAGCGACTTCGACAGGTGGCTGAGATATTTGGAGCGCTGAGATGGTGGTTTCAGCATCAAAAAATGAGGGATTTCATGGGGATTGAACCATCAAGAGGGATTTCAAGGGGGGAACTATAGGGATTCAGCGATTCCAAAGCTTTTGAAGCTAAGTCGAGGCAAATTTGTTGGCGTGAAGTCCTCGATCATTTGACGATTTTGATGGACAATGCCAAGGAAACATGGAAAATACGGGGGTAAGGTAGCCATATTGCTTGGGGTATTGGGTCTTGGGGTATCCTCCATTTCGAGACACACCAGAAATGAGAATTGAGCCAAAACCAATGAATGCCGTACTTGGGTGGATGAATATTCATTTGCCAGTTCCTTTCAAATCCATCAGGGTACCAAAGTTTTGACACATCATACATACTTATACGTGAAACTGGATCAACTTTTGTGTAGAACCAAACAGACCCACAGTTTTTAATGTTGGTGATTTTGTATGGTTAAAGTTAAAGCATACTTATTTTCTGATATCCAATTTTGACCCATACCAAGTATACGTCGAAGTGTAGGAAATTTCACGACAGGATGGGAAATCCCGAAGCAAGATAGAACGAGATCGCCAAAACATGATTGGATTCCATCTCAGTGGATGGAAAGATGTCATGTAGAACTAGATTCCAAATAGATTCCATCCATGTCACTGGTTGCTTCAAATTCCCCATGTTTTGGTGACATCCTGAGCATCACGGCGAGCAGCGCAGGTTAATCCTGGAAGCCGCGCAGGAGGGGATCGTGCTGCTGAAGAATGAGGATCTGCTGCCAAAGACACAGGAGGGGTCTCCGAGGGCCTCCGAGAATCCCTGGATTCATTGGATGGGCACCCAAAAAAAGGCACTGGGTATCCGAACTCATTGATTTATGGTGATCTTTCCATATGGTAATCATGGACTTTGAGCTGCTACGTCCCAGATGTCCTTGGTGATGATGTTTTCTTGGTAGAGAGATGGGTATATCAATAGCCGGTATCATTATCCCATATTGATCCCATTGGTTTCGGATCATTCTTTCCCAGGAGGCACTATGATATTGTTGTAATTGTTATTGGACTATTTTTGTTGTTTTTATATTCCGTGATTATCCCGTTATTATCCTTATCATTCCTACTATTAAATACTTTTTATCTTGAGAATAATTCACTACTATAATTCAGTACCATCATTACTATTATCACTATATTGGATGAATCACTATTATTCCCATTATTATACCACTATTATTACTATGAATCCCATTACTCACCATATATCGCACTATTTTTTGATAATGGGGATTAATTATCCCACTATTGTTTTTATATGCCATTATAATCACATTACTAGTATCTTTATCACCACTATTATCCCTACTATGAATCCCTATTATTCCCACTTTTGCACCCACTATTATTCCCTACTATTATGACAACCATTATCACCCAACAGTAATGATCATTAATGATGATCACTATTATACCCCTGTTAATATTGCTTTCGTTGCTTAATCGGGATTATTAATGATTATTATATTACCGTTAATAATCACTTAAGCATTATCATCCAATAGTAATCTCCATATACCACTATATTTTCTACTATCACTGTTAATATCTATTAAAGTCTAGTCATCATTAATAGCACTATTATAGCCTATTATAATATCACTATCACTATTTAATGATCCCATCATGCTAGTGATATTAAAATAGGCATATCAACGATTACCATTCATATATTGATATGATCAATATTATTATATAATCACAATCATCTATTAATCATTTACTATTATCTATTACTATTATCATTTCTACTATCATCTATTATGATATCATTAACCATTAGTATATCGATATTACTATAATGAATAGATATTATATCCTCATCTAGCAATCAACTAGATATTACCATCAATACTCTTACTACCACAATTTCAATAATAATCATTGGACTATACTAGTGCTGATGCCACTAGACTATAACATCACTATTTTACTAGTACTAATACCACTAGACTACAGCATCACTATTATACTATTACTTTTATCATCTATCTTTATCCTATTATTACTATTACTAACAATGTCACTATATTTTATACTACTAATAATATCACTGGACTATAGTTATACTATCATTAACAATTATGACTCATAGTAATGATGCCCTACTAGTATACTATTAATCATTAGACTATGATACTACTAATATCACTAGACTATAACATCACTATTAATATCCTATTACTATCATATTAATAATAATGATTTCCTACTATTATACTATTAATCGTTAGACTATGATAGTACTAATATCACTAGACTAAAACATCACTATTATTATCCCATTACCACTACCATCTATTACTAACCATAATAATCTACTATTGATTACCTACTTGCTTAGTAATAATTATACTCATCTATTACCTAACCATCTATTACTAATCATAATGGCTATAGTAATAACCTCATTATAATCATAATTATAATCAGAATATCATAATCTACTATTAATCTACTATTGATTACCTAGTCTTGCTATTGATTCCCTACTACTCTTCATAATTGACAATCCATTTCCTACTTACTATTACCACTATCATAATTTACAATAACCAATAGTGTGCTATTAATATTCCCCATTGACCATTAATAATAATCAATAGTTGGTTACTTTTATGTATATTTAATTAATAATTAATAGTATATAACTATTGATAGACATTAACATTAACATTAACTATTGATTAATCCCCATTACCTACTACTCATTATAATCCTAATAGTAATCCCCTATTGATTATAGTACACTATATTATTAATAGTACACTATTATTCCCTACTATTAATAATAATCAATAGTTGGTTACTTTTATGTATACTTAATTAATAATTACTAGTAACTATTGATAGACATTAACATTAACATTAACTATTGGTTAATCAGAATATCAGAATCTACAATTAATCTACTATTGATTACCTAGTATTGCTATTGATTCCCTACTACTCTTCATAATAGATAATCCATTTCCTACTTACTATTACCACTATCATAATTAATAATAATCAATAGTGTACTGTTAACAATCCCCATTGACCATTAATAATAATCAATAGTTGGTTACTTTTATGTATACTTAATTAATAATTAATAGTAACTTTTGATAGACATTAGCATTAACATTAACTATTGATTAATCAGAATATCAGAATCTACTATTAATCTACTATTGATTACCTAGTATTGCTATTGATTCCCTACTACTCTTCATAATAGATAATCCATTTCCTACTTACTATTACCACTATCATAATTAATAATAATCAATAGTGTACTGTTAACAATCCCCATTGACCATTAATAATAATCAATAGTTGGTTACTTTTATGTATACTTAATTAATAATTATAGTAATACCCTATTGATCAGAGTACACTATATTAATAATAATAGTATATACACTATTATGCCCTACTATTAATAATAGTAACTATTGATTCCCGACTATTAACTATTGATTAAGTATGGGATAAATATCTATTAATACTATTAACTATTGATAATTAATCCCCATTGCTTTCATCCCATAGGCTTCCGTCTCTCGCCTGGCCGTGCTGGGCAGCGCTGAGCAGCTGGAGCTGGGCGACCACGGCAGCAGCGCCGTGAAGCCCTCGGGCAGGAGAACTCACCGGTTGAACATGTGGAGTTCACCGGGAAAAATGGGTGATTTCATGGTGATTTCATGGTGATTTCATGGTGATTTCATGGTGATTTCATGGTGATTTTCATGGTGATTTTCATGGTGATTTCAGTGGAAAAAATGGGTTGGTTTAAGGGAAAATCTACAGGAAACCATAGTTTTTACCATTAAATGTGGGGTTTTCCTGTAAATTTTCCCCTAAACCAATCCATTGAAAACACATGGGATTCACTGCGGAAAAATTGTGATTTTGCTGGAAAGAATGTGATTTTTCTGTGAAAACTTGGGATTTTTGTAGTGAATATCATGGAAACGTTTTGTTTTTTTGACCATGAAACATGGGAAATTCACCAGGAAACATCGGGAAATCATGGGGATTTCTTGGGATTTTATTGTTGATAGGAAATTAGTATTGATATGAATCAATATCTGCAATTTCCATGAGAATCATATATTGGCTGGTGGTTTGGAACATGAATTTTTGATTTTTCCATTCAGTTGGGAATAATAATCCCAACTGACGAACTCATATTTTTCAGAGGGGTTGAAATCACCAACCAGTATAGAATCACACACAAATTTAGCCAGATTTTATCGTCACCAATAAGCAATGCATAAACAGTATGGGGATTTGCGAATTTGCCATCACTGATGAGTTAGCCACGAAACATTGGGATTGCTGCCCACCGCAATCGCCAAAATGAGGTTTAAACCGTTGGATTATTGGGGTACCCTTTTGCAGACAAACCCATATGGGATATGGACCTCAAGATGGTGACATACCCATTTTTTTCCCGCGATTGGCAGAGTTTGGTCAACCAAAAAACCGCGGAAATTCGCAGCTTGTTTTGGGCAGGCTGACAACAGCGGTTGGATGAACATCCTTTTTCGGCACAAGAAAAACACCTGAATTTGTAGGGCTCAAGTAGGTGTTGAGAATTCTGGATAATTCTCTAGGTTGAAATGGAGACAATTCCACTCCCTCATTTTTGGTGTCGACCAATGAGCACAACTGGATCTGTGTTGACCTCAAATCCAAAAAACGATCCAAGCTGCGCTCACAGAGGATGGTGAATGTGCTGGAGGGTTTGAAGGAGAAGTGCCCTACGGAGCTGCTTGTGTTTTGATTTGTTGAGATCTGCCCTGGAAGCAAAGGACTGGTGGATTTGAGGAAATTAAGATGTATTAAGATTTGGGTACTGAAATTTAACCCATAACGACCCCTTTTTGGACGATTTCAAATCTAAAAGTGTTGCTGTTCAAACATCTGAGGTGCTGTTTTTCATACGTTGCACGCAGGCATGCAACGTGAAAAGATTGTTCAGTTGCAACACCAGGATTTCCACAGTGACAGGTTAGACGCAACATGACCCGGCAGCCCAGGTCCTAACCCCCGACATTTCGCCGTTTGAGCTCAAGATACCACCACTGATTGGCCATGATGAGCCAGCAGACCATTGCGATCGCCCAACTCGGAAGAGCCACGCAGTGGCGAGATGCCTGTCTACTCCTGGACAGAATGCAAACAGCCAGTGGGCTTCGCCCGAACATTTTCAGCTACAGCACAGCAATTAGCGCATGTGAAAAAGGGGGTCAATGGCAGCAAGCACTGACACTTTTTCAAGACATGCTGGAGGGAGGTATACGTCATGATATCATTAGCTACAACGCGACAATCAGTGCATGCGAGAAGGGGGGTCAATGGCAACGAGCACTGACCTTGTTCCAGGAATTGCCCGAGGCAACAATGAATCCCAATGTCATTAGCTACAATGCAGCCATCAGTGCGTGTGAGAAGGGTGGTCAATGGCAGCAGGCATTGCTTCTGTTTCAGATCATGCCTGAGGTGGGATCGTCCAATCAGGTACCCCCAAATCCATTGTTTTTAGGCCTCATTTTCCTTCATTTTCCCATTTAAATTGTACCCTCTGGTAATTTAACGTAGCTATTGGAAATGGCCATTTATAGTTGATTTACCCATTAATAATGGTGATTTTCCATAGCTATGTAAACGTTTACCAGAGGGTAATTTTTTGGGTAAATCCACAGTTTTCAGATCATGCCCAAGGCTGAAATGAACCCCGACGTCATCAGCCACAGTGCGACCATCAGCGCGCTTGGCAACGGAGGTCAAGGGCCACAGGCATTGAGAATTTTCGAGGCTATGCCGAAGGCGAGAATTCGTCCGAATGTCATTAGCTACAACGCTGCCATCAGTGCTTGTGAAAATGGCAGTCAATGGTTGCAAATCTTGGTCTTGTTTGGTGCGATGGGTGAAGAGAAAGTCAATCGAAATGTCATCAGCTACAGTGCAGCTATCAGTACCTGTGAAAAAGGGGGTCAATGGCAGCAGGCATTGGATTTCTTTCAGGAACTGCTTCGTGCGAAGATATCTCCAGATGTCATTAGCTACAACGCAACAATCAGTGCATGTGAGAAGTGCGGTCAATGGCAACAGGCACTGACCTTCTTTGGCAAAATGTGCGAGGCACGAGTCAGTCCGAATGTCATTAGCTGTAGTGCTGCCATCAGCGCTTGTGAGAGGGGTGGCCAGGATCACCACGCGTTGGCCATATTCGAAGCAATGCCACAGTCACGAATCTGTCCGAATGTCATCAGCTACAGTGCTGCCATCACGGCATGTGAGAGGGGCAGTCAATGGCAACAGGCGCTGAGTCTCTTTTTTTCGCTTCCGGAGGCAAACATTGCTGCAAGCGTCATAGCCTTCAATGCCACCATGAGTGCATGTGAAGCTGGATTGTAGCCATAGACGTCTCGATTTTTCGCCGTTTTTTAGATGAATTGGGGTGAACGATTTACCATAGTTGTCCCACTTCACATGAACAACTCTTAATACTAAAAAAGGTACGAGTCCACCAAGGAATAGGGTATCAGTCCTTTACCATTTGCCCTTCACATGAATAGGGTATCAGTCCATACCAAGGAAAAGGCTGGTCAATGGCAGTATGCCTTACTGCTGTTCAACACCATCGAGGCAGAGCTTCAACCAGACGTCATCAGCTACACCCTGGCGGTCGACGCATGTGAAGCCGGAGGTCAAGGGCTGCATGCATCGAGCTTGTTGGAGGCGGTCCCCACGTTGATTCTTTGGGATGCAGGCCGAACAGGACCTTCAGGAGCTTGCCATTGAGATGTTGAGAAAAGATCCTTAAAAAAGGACATTCTGACATCAATGGATGGTAAACATCCAGGTCTATTTGGATCCGAGTGTCAGGATTTGGGCTCTGAGAAGCCTCAGAGTGGTCACATATCATCCTCCATTCGAAGTGGATTCCAAATTCTTGGATGTGCATCCCAGGAATCACATGTGGTCAATAAACATCAATAAACCCATAATAAACCCATAATAAACCGATAACAGTTATATAACTGGTCTCTATTTATCCATTCATTGAAGATACAACTCAGGGAACTGTGGACATTTTCCAGATATCCCGTGGTGATAGTGGATATTTCACTGGTGATTTCCGCAGAACGGGGGGTGTTGACCAAACCCGCTGGTCATTTTTCACGGCTGGGCTGGCTGGAACCTGATCATCACACATGTTTGATGGTTTATACCACCCATAAAAATGGTGATTTTTGGAGATGGTTTATTATTGTTTTAACCACATTACTGTAAATAGAACTGATAGATAAATCATTTTGCTTAAACTATCTCCAAAAGATTTTTCTATCAGTAATTTTACTTACTCCATCATCAACTATGGCCATATCCAGTATTTTTTTGTTTTTTCCATTGCCATAATGGACTATCAGAGGCCACCAATCTTCAACTGGTTGGTGGTTTGGAACATGGCTGGATTATTTTCCCCAATAGTTGGGATGATGATCCAATCTGACGAACTCATATTTTTCGAGGGGGTTGAAACCACCAATTAGTCAATTTCAGTCAAAACATTGAGTACAAATGAAGATTGGTGGATTGAATGATTGATGAGTACAATTTCAATCCACCAGTACAAATGAAAATGAGTACAATTATTGATTTAGGGTGGTGCCCCATTTTCCTTGGGTAGCGACCCGGGGAGCCTCCGCTTGTGGTTGACTATATCATCCATGAAATAAGCCGAATGAGATATATCCGTAATTCCCTTTCTATCCCAATTAATTACCACCACAACTTAAATCTGGGCCAAACTGAGGATTACCGATTTCTATATAAACTTAAATTAATATTGTTTTTTTTCAAAACTCTCGTGGTGTTAAATCCGAGGACCCTCCCCCCTCAACCCGCAACCCCACAAGCCGCAATGGATGGGAGGTACTCAGATGCAGAGGTGATCATGATTAACAACGATCTCTCGTCTCCGGACGTAGCAGCCTGGATTGGGAAATCATGGGATTTTTTCATGGATTCTATGGGTTAAAAATATCGGTTTATGATGGGAATTTCAACTATGAATGGGGATATACTGGGTATGTTATTTAAGTATTTGTATTACTGTAGATATTTTTTTTCCGAGGAGAAATGGTGATTTTCCAGAGCAACCTGTTACATTAGATCCAGGAAAGACCAACTGCGAGGGGTTCTCCGAATTTCTCCGAGGCCGCCTTTGTCAAAAGTTGCGATTTGGTGGTCATTGATGTGGGCTTGAACTTCACATTTGAGGGTGAGTGGCTTGGCATCAGTTGGAGGATCCTTCGGAATTGGCTGAAACTCTGTTTGCGAGAGTCGCATGTTGTTGATTCTCCACCCGTACCGACATATCGGATAGGCTCAAACTATGTAGCCTCTGGTAAACGTTTACATAGCGAACTGGAAAGATCCACCATGCTATTAATGGGTAATTCCACTATTTCGACTGGGCCATTTTCCAGTTCGCAAAGTGTAAACGTCATTATCAGAGGGTACCCCTAAAATGGATCAAGCAGATGCACCGTCTAGCGCCACAGATCAATGACCCAACTCCAATGTTTTTTTTTCTTCGTTTTCCACAGGTTCCCGAGTGGGTCAACCTTGCTTAGATACTTTAGGTACTTTCCCAACCAAAACAACTATCAATGGTTTGTGAACTTTTGTTATCAATGGTAAAATTAGATAAAATTAGTCCCAACCAGCTCAACATGAGTTTTGTTTTGGGTATCCAAGATTCACCATGAGAAAGGCCCCATTTTTCCAAGGGTAGTCTCCCCTTTTCCTGGCTGCATTGGCTCACCATGCCAGGTTCATTCCTCCTCAAACTGGTGGCGACCGCATGTACTTGACCCTGCCACCCGGCGGAGATGGTGGTGGTTATAAAGTGTGCTCACGCTGGGACGTCAACAAAACACGGGAGGTCTGAAATTCCCGAAATGCTGGGTATTAGTGGGAAACCACTTGGTGTGGTGTTCTTGGTTTGAGGTCAAGAAGAACGTGAAGAGCAGGTTACAAACACCCCAAAAACTGGTCGTCATTTGGTGGGTCATCCATGGCACGGGATGACCATGAAGTATCCCCCATTTCAAGAACCACCCCATATATTTATTTGATATGATATCATATATTTATATATATATAATTCATAGTATATAATAGCGAGAACTATAGTGATCAACCATATTTTTCGGCCTGCAACACATTTTCAATCCACCAACCAGTCATAGCTTCACGACAGAATTTCGTCATAGCGGAGCCGAAGCGAAGCCGGAGCCGAAGCGAAGCCGCGGAAACATGTTGGGTCAAATGGACAGAATTGAACAGGATAAACTCACCAAACTTCATCACTAAATTCACCAACTTTTGTTCAACATTTGGTCAATCCAATCAACCCTAATATTGGAATAGGTAAAATCACCAAAGATGCACCGTTGGTGAAATTCCCGGGATTCATGCAGGGTTTTCACCTGGATCTTTGGTTTTACAGACCCGAAACGTCGAAAGGTGCAGGTCTCAGCCGCCTACCAGCTGGAAAAAAATCCAGTACTTCCAACAGACAATGACCATCAATGACCAACTAATGGAGGGACGAAAAGAACACAGAACACACTTGGACGTTGATGCAGTGTACATGTGGAGGTTTCTTAAAATGGTACCCCAACAAATCGTCCATCTATAGACGAGTTATTAGGGTAGCCCCATTTACGGAAAGCTCCATGTACAAGGGACCAAAGTAATGGTGAGAGGTCTCCGAGGTCTCCCCCATTTTCAGACACACCTTAGGATCCCCCTACTGGATCCTACTGGTACCATTGATTAGATACCCAACTATATCCCATGATATCTCAAATTGTATGGACTATTGATTATATAACATATGATTGATGATGATGATGATGATAATAATCATGATGATGATGCACCATTCTATATATTCCACTAGAAAGACTAAGATGTTGTAAGATGTCCCATTTAAAAATGTATACACGACATGGAAAAAATCACCATGTTTCCCAGTGAACTACTGAGGCACCCACAGGAGGAGGAGCTGATTAAGCAGGTGCGGCCCCCGTTGATTGGTGATATTATTCTTGGGATATCATGGCACGTTTTTGAAAAACCACTCTGAGTGGGGATGTATGATGATGTAATTTATGATAATTTATGTAATCATCAATGTTCAAAACTTCCAGTGGTTGATGATTGTAGTCACTGAATATGGTTATGTAAGTGATATAACTATAACTGATAAAGGATGGGTTATAGTTTATAGTAACCCCAAAAAATGAAGAAGAGGTTCAGTGGGAGTCAACTAGGAAACTGCTTTTATGGGATGTATATATAATATATGTACACAGAACCGACCATTTGAGGTCTGGGTGTGTCTGAACATGGGAAGATATTTAGGTGGATTTGCCCCAAAAAGACGAAACGATTAGGATTTCTGCCATCATTTCTCTCATCATATTTTTTCAAAAGTGTCCAGCATTTCCGAAATCATTTTCCACGTGAATCACGATCTTTGCATCTAACTTTTCTCAGCATTTTCCTATGTTTTTCCACCGTTTGCTGCCAGATTTTACCAGGATGTCCAGCATTTTTCCCCACGCCAGGCCTCCAAACTGAGCTCAAAGGTAGTCGTGGCCATCACTTCAGGAGATGAGCCAACCATAGAGGTGATGTCAAAAAATGGCGATCCTCTATTGACATTTTTTTTTTTTAAATCACATTTTTTATTGTCAATAGAGGATTCACAATTTATTAACACTAGACAATTTATATTGTTTCTATTGACATAACCTATAATTTTATCCTTGAAAACCATCATTTGGATGGAATAAACATCATTAATGTCCAACATTGGTTCACCTAAATCATAGGTTGGCATCAAATGTTAGCTGGTTGTTGGTTTGGTGGTTTGGAACATCTGGGATGATTTTTCCATTGGGAATGTCATACTCCCAACTGACTAAGTCATATTTTTCAGAGGGGTAGGTATACCACCAAGCAGCTATAATTTCATTAACATATTTACAACTTTGGTATGGCAATAACTATAGTTATATATTGTAGATTACATAACCATTGCTAGGTCAATCAACTGGATGGCTAGAAACTAATCTAACACAGTAGTTTATGGGGTTTTATGATAGCTGATTCAAAGACCAATGAAATTGAGATTTATTGATTTTTCCTCATGAAGCAAATTAGTAAGATTTGTAACCCATAAAGATATGATAATTTCCGGTTAATTATATGGAAAATCATCGCTGAGAATAATCAAGGAGAATACTGGGGAAGCATCAACTAGGGGGAATGGCAACCAAACATGGTAAGTTTCATGGGGAATCATCATTTTCAATGGTCTATAGATGGTAGTCTTCTAGAGTTATATAATGTTATATATATATACATATATATATATATATACATATGATGTGATGATGTGAGTAAAGAAATAGGATACCACCCCCAATTTTACCGTAAATGGGTTGTATAAACTGCCAAAATCCGGGTGATTTATTTTTGCCTTGCGAACATTATATATATATATTCTGTTTTTTACTGATCTTGTATTTGTGGGTCTATACAGTTGGGAAATGTCGTGGACATCAGGGAGAACGAATCATTTTTTCCGATGGGTCCAGGAGAATCCCTTCGATGGAAGAATGGGGGGTTCCCGAAATGGGGGTAGCCCCAAATGGTTGGTTTATTTCATGGAAAATCCTATTAAAATGGATGATTTTTAGGTATATACCACCATTTCAGGAATCATCCATAAGAGGTTTCCTAAAATGGGGGTACCCCGAAATCATCATTTCTTGATGGATTTTCCATGAAATAAACCATCCATTTGGAGGATCCCGGGTTGGTACCGAAGGAGCTTCAATCATCGTGGAGAACTTTGTAAATGAGGCGGCTCAACCTGGGCCTGGGCGGCAAGAGATGGGACTGATTTCTGAATGAGGATTTCACTAGTGAAAAAATGAGGATTTCACTTCCAAAATTGGGATTTGACATGATTTAACTCTCAAACATTTGGATTTTTTCCATGAAAACTGGGATGAAAAAGCCAGCAAACGTGGTGCATGAAAAACACCATTGAGTTTCAACCGCACATGGAAAAGTAAGCCCGGGATTTCACCCGCATTTCAACCGGATATTTGGGACTCCTATGACCAACAAAGATGTCAGTATTTGGGTAATGGCAAAGTCATTTGTGAATGGCAATGGGAGGCCAATCTACCCTCTGGTAATGACTAACAGTTCGCTATTGAAAATCACCATTTATAGTGAGTTTTCCCATTAAGAAATGTGATTTTCCATAGCTATGTTAAATTACCAGAGGGTACCATAAATGTCTGACTTTCTGAGTGGTTGATCGATGAAAAACCGAGGAACGATTCCTCAATTCGCCACAACCGAGGAATGATGGACGGTGACGACGGGAGTATACGCAATCGACCGTGATTATTACATGATTTACTTGTTCAACTCTCCCTTCCTCTTGTAAAATTGCAGTTCAGTGGCTCTCCCTTTATTTTTTTTTGAATTCAGAAACTGGTGATGCTCAGCATTTGGTGACCTAAAAACAATTTTCCATCATTTTCCATAATTTACCCTCTGGTAATTTAATATTATATCTATGGAAAATTGCCCATTTATAGTTGATTTACCTATTAAAGATGGTGATTTTCAATAGCTATGTTAGTTTACCAGAGGGTATCACAATTCACTAGCTTCGGATGGTGACCTAAAAAGGAAACCTGCAACCTGTGCCCAGTGCCACGTCCAGGTCCAGGCCATTCTGTGGATGGGCTATCCCGGACCGTTTCCTGGCGGTTAGTGCGGGAATCATCACTGAAGTCATTGGATTGGTTTAAGGGAAAATCTACAGGAAACCATGGTTTCTACCGTTAAATACAGGGGTTTCCTGTAAATTTTCCGTTAAACCAATCCAATGATTAAGGGAAATGGTGAAGAATGCGAAGAATTCTGGTTTAAGTGAAGTGTGGTGACTCGCACGGGGCAACGAATTATGGTCTTACACAATATGTTTTGGTGGGACTGGTGGGATAAATAATATCCACGATGCCAACGAAAGGGAATTCCTGGGTTTTGATTTGCAACAATTTCTGTGAAAGGCTTCATTCAAGAGCTAAAGACTGGGATGTTGAGCAATGAAAAAACGGGCAATGTAACCAATGCGAACGTATGAATTCACCTCGCCTTTTCTTTCACGACCAGACCCCACCCGATATCTCAATGCCAGGCGGGGGAGAATGATTCCACTTTTCTTATTCTAACATATTCGATATATTTGGCAGTGTGTCAAAACCTTGTACCCCTGGTGAACATCAAAATAGCTGGTAAATGGATGTTCATCCCCCTAAAAATGGTATTAATAGGTATTGATCCATACCTATTTGGTCTTAGATCAAACAATAGCCAAACAAGACCCAATATTTATCGCAAACAACCCCTTTCCCAGCAAAAGGTCTGGTCTCACAGTCAAAAAATGTCAAACAAATGTGAAGGTTTCCTAAAATGGGGGTACCTCCAAATCATCCATTTAAGATAGGATTTTCCACTGTAAACCATCCATTTTTGGGATCCCCCATTTAGGGAAACCCCCATGTGGGATTACAATTTCTTAAGAAATGCCAGTTTTATTTCGAATGGCTGCGACGAGGCACCTATAGGGCTGTGTTGCACGGCCATCAATAGAAATCCCAGGTTTTTTAAATTCACAGGTTTTTTCTCTTAATACTCATACTTCAATGGTATTGTCGTTTTCAATAATTCTGAAATAATGGCAAATTTCGAACAATGTTTATTTTTATTCTTTCGTTTGTGCTTTCACTTTGGTAAACCAACATCAGCCATCAAATTTCGCAAGGTTAGGAGGACTCGCGCTGGCCAACATCCTCAGTGGAGAGGCGCGATATGGCTATGAAACCCTGGCACCCTGGGTACCCTGGAGCTGGATGATGCTGGATGTGTATTCCCCCAGTCATATGATAGTTTCACAGGTTTTGACCCATACCCATATTACTTGCCAAAATTTGGTTAATCATAGTTTTTTCTATTAAGCAGCAAGATAGCCATGAATTTGGGGCATCCACCACTTTTGGGCAAACACGATAGGTCAGTTCTCACTTCGAAAAAAACATGTTTCTCTGTAAGGGTCCGGTTACGGTACCCAGAACCAGTCATGCCGCAGAAGGTCAAGACTTGATAAAAATTACCCTCCGGTACTCAAACGTGGCAATGGAAAATTCTCCATTTAGAGATGATTTTCTTATTGAAACCTCCATCTATTGAGAGTTTTCCGGTGCCACCTTTGATTACCAGAGGGTAGGTAGGCTATGTTGCTGCATGTCGCATACGATGTAAACATATCTAAAGGATATAGGACGAATCAAGCAGATTTTCCCAGGACCATGTGGGTTGAAAATTGGATAAGTAACGAAAGAATGCAACAGATTGGATGGTTTTCTATTCTTTGGAAATCACAAGCACCTACTTGGAAAATGGTCAGCAAGTGGTGTGTAAGCGGCCAGAGAAAGCCCACTCAACGATGATCACCAGGGGTGGATCTGCTCATTTTTGGGGTCCTGTATGTCTATATACTGTATTATATATAGATGTTTACACGAGACAACTATGTCTATGTATTCTACAAACATAGATGCACATTCTCTGTCTCTATATTCATCTCTCTTTCTTATGTATATCTAGAGTAATCCCCCAAAAGATAGCAAAAAACAATTTATCACTATTCTAGTAGGATTTCTTACTTTTCCACCTTGTTTTTGGGTTACTATATATTTTTTCTGCAGTACCCATCCCTACCACTCCGAACCGTTCCGTTGTGTTTCGCTCGTCGTCCCAGCGCCTTGCCCCTTCGCCTCTAGGTGAACCCCTCTGGGCGGATGCCCAGCGTGACGCCCAAGAAGGCGGAGGCGGCTCTCACCAGGGATCGGTGGATGTTTTAGCGTCCAATGGCTGGATTTCAAGCAACCAAACATAGAGATCTGGTTGGTGGTTTGGAACATGAATTTTAATTTTCCCATTCAGTTGGGAATGTCATGTTCCCAACTGACGTTAACTCCATCATTTTTCAGAGGGGTAGGGCGATACCAACCACCAGCCAAACAGTTTGAGTTTTTTTTTGCAAAGAATAGGGATTTTTCCATCAAATCACAGGGGGATGGATAGACATATCCCACATATAAAAGAGACTGATATACCCTCTGGTAATTTGTCAAAATAGCTATTGAAAATGGCAATGACTAACATAGCTATTGAAAATGGCCATAGAAATAGTGAGTTTTTCCATTAATAGCATGGTGATTTTCCAGTAAACGTTATGTGAACGTTTACCAGAGGGTAACTTATGGTGTAATTAACCAATAATGTCAATTGTTACACTGATAGTGACACTATTATCATTGGCTCATTAATTGCTACGGTGATGTCTTTCCAAGAACTCAACTAATATCCCAAACTATTATATAATATACTTATATATATAACACTTATTAGTGTTGGAACTGGTTAATACAAGAATAGAGCAACCATTTATAGCACTAACATTAGCATGAACGCCTCTTGCGCCAGGACTACTTGCCCAAGGGAATTAGCGCAGCGCAGCTCGGCAATTTTTTTCCACATGAATCCCTTCCCAATCAATGGAGATTTCATGGGAATTTAAGGATGTTTATGGGGATTTAACCATCAACAGTAGGGAATTAATGGTATTTCATAGGGATTCAATATTAAACACACACCTAGTAACCATAGTTTAATAGGATATTTACACATATTTTGGGCCATAGAATGGGGGGCGGTTGATATTAGGATGGGATTACTTAACCACCTTCCCATGGGTAATCCAACCAAGTTGAAGCCACAAGTAACTTGGTCGGGATCAACGCTTGGTCTATGACTTGTAGGATTTGAAGTCAAGACAGTCAGGCTGCATCTATATCTGGTTGGTGGTTTGGAACATTTTTTATTTTCCCATATATAGGGAATAATCATCCCAACTGACTAATGTTTTCAAAAAGGGTTGAAACCACGAGCCAGATATGATTGGAACATATTGGGACATCAAGTCCACATACTTGGTCCGTTTACATTAAAATCAAGCGCGTTCTTTTTTGCTTTGTTGCGGGGTCTCCAATTCCCCTTGGCGGCTGCCCACATGTTTGTTTCGTCCAACAACATCACAACAATGGGGTATAAACCGACTTTATGGCAAGTTAAATTGTTATATTTCAATAGTTTATTTGATAGATTTCCTTTACATACTATATATATATATCTTTCAATCTCAATATCGTCTAGAGATTATGATAAAGTACCTTTTTTTCAGAGGACATGTGTTTGAAATTTCATGGCAACTTTCCGATATATATATATATAATATATATATACATCAATTATATTCTGGGGATTTCATGGGAATATATATATATATACACTATATACTGTATATATATATATATATATTCATATAATATGACCAATAAAAAATCAAGATTGGCCCACACATTTTTAAACAAACGGTTTCTCTGGGACCCCCAGGCCCTGGGCCCTTGAAACCGTGGACGTGACGCCGACGTATCCCTACAGCCACGGGTTGGGGCATCCTGGGGTGCGGATGGGGGATGAACTGGGGCTCAACAGCTGGATGGTTTCTTTTCATGGAAAATCCTATGGAAAATCCAAATGGAAAAAAAAAACTGGATGATTTGGGTACTTAGCCACTTTTTTTTTCAGCTAGTGGATGAAAAAATGAAAAAATGGATGATAACTAGGGGTAGCCCACACTATTTCAGGAAACCTCTTGCCAATGGGATGATGGGGAATCTAGGGCACCATCCCTTCCGGAGAAAGTGGCATTTTTGGGTCCCAACTGTTGGAGAAATGAAACATGGGGATGGATGGGATAAGATTGGCGAACCAAGACCTAGACAAAGTGATCGGACCAAGAATCCAGCGGGACCTAGACAAAAGATGCGGATTCGAATAGCAGAACTAGGGATGGAATTGGTGATGTCAGCAACAAAATTGACGATGTTGCCAAATAGATAGACCTCTTCAAAGACTGAAGGACCACGAAGGACCTTTTGCACATATACCGCAGTCGCACATCCGGAGGTTTAAAGTTGATGATCCCAATAGGCTCCCAGTCCAGTCCGCACCCAGGTTTAAACACATGTGGCAGAATGGCATCGCACCGCGATATCCTTTTGGTCCCTTGGAGCATTGGACTGTCAGGGTGGCTAGTGGCCACGAGTTGGATGGTCTGTGACGGGAAATGCTTCGTCCCTAGAATAACAAACCCATTATGCAATGTATATAGCGACTATACCAATCTGTGATAATCTGTGTATATTTATGTTTATAAAAATATATTATAGATATGTATGTGTATTATGCATATGAGTCTCTCTCTCTCTCTCTGTATAAGATAAGCAAACAAAAATACATCTGAGTGACTGAGTGACATAGATATTATGTACATATGATGCACATGTACAGAACTTGCTTGGAGCATCATCCCACTTACATAGTAACTTGTTAGCAACCATAGTGATAAGCCATTTATGGGATAATCGGGGACTGACTAACCAGGGTTATCAAAAAAAATGCTAAGTGGGGTGATCCTCCATGTATTATATCCCACCATATACCCAGTCTATAAACCCATTAAATCCTTATAACTTATAAGACTGCAGTTATATATCGATAATATCTAAGTTATATCTCAGTTCTGTCACCATTTACTGACATCTGGTTGGTGGTTTGGAACGTTTTATATTTTTCCATATATTGGGAATAATAAACCCAACTGACTAATATTTTTCAGAGGGGTTCAAACCACCAGCCAGAACATAGATGTTTTGTTTTTTTTCCCCACTGGATGGTTAGAATCAGTTCGCAGACCAAACCGGCCCCTCTAATTTTTCAAAAAGGAGAGTGACAACCAGGCGGGATGATAGTTGTGATTTGTGGGATGATCCTCCAAGTAGTACAACTGGATCTTTAGCATGGTTAAACACCCCCCTTTAATCCTCAAACTAATCATCCAACAATCAACCAAGCATCATTTATCAACCATATCCACCTATTGCTATACATGGCAGTGTGTCAAAACCTTGTAACCCTTCTGTTCACATCAAAATAGCTGGTAAATGGATGTGAATAACCCACTAAAAATGGTATTAATAGGTATTGATCCATACCTACATATGGGGATGTGTCAAAACCTGTGAAATTACAGAAAAAATCACCATCCACCAGCGAAAAAAATTGGGGACACCATCCGGGTACTGCCGTAGGTTTTGGGCTCAGTTACACGAGCTACAGCTATTCCGAGCCCTCCACCGCTGCTGCTGGGTCTACGGTGGAGGTGACGGTGCAGGCGTCGCACTCGGAAGTCATGGGGGATGTCATGGAGATGGGGAGTTTGCCATGAAAAAATGGGGCTTCTCCTGGGATTTCATCGGAATTCACGGAGAAAAACCCCATGAACAAAATCATGGCTTCGATTGGATTAAAAATACCGGGATTTCAAGACATGTCTGGTATGTTGAGCCTTTGGTTTGATGGGCAAACACGATTCAAGTGAAAGTCAAACGTTTAGGAGGGGAGAGATACATATATATATATATGTATGTATACATACATGTTACATGGTGTTTTGATCCTTTTCGATCTGCATATGATGTACACCAGATTGTAGAAGTACTCATATCTAGATTTGATCATCAGACACAAAACTACAGCCATGGATCAAAAATCGTTCACCCTGGGAACCACGGATCCTTTGATTTTTTCCTCACATGACGGTACCTGAAGTGGGCTGCTTTTCTCAAGAATTGCAGGAGCCGGGATTTCCCATGCTTAGGGAATTTGGGTTTCGCGCATTTTTTGTGATGGCATTTCTTGGTGACATGTGATTCTCAGTTATTGATAATAGATCTATAATCCTCAATCTCAATCTCATAGATCCAGATGTCCCCATGGAGGTGACCAACCAGGGTGAGCGAGTTGGGGAGCCAAACTGGGGATGGGTCTCGGTCAAGACCCTGGTACCTCGGGTTCACCCGCGCGAAAACGTGGATTTATGGATGTTCATCCCAGCAAAATTGACATTTTTGGAGGTTTTGACCCACCAAATGTGTTTTTGTTAGGAATGTTTTTGGGGATTTACGGATTTTGCCATGAAAAAAACCTTGGACTCCATGGAACTTTAAAGGAGATGTTTGAACGGAACATACAAAGTGGGGCCTGCAGTTGATAGGTTTCTGTTGGTATATAACTGCAAATAGCTGTGGTTATTTTTTTCTTTTCTGCAGTTGAATAGGTCAGCAGAAACCAAAATAACAGGGTTGCTTCATCGATGTATCGAAGCATGGGACCTGGCAATACAGTGATCCCATTTCTGCTGTATACATAGCATTTATGTGTATACACCTCATATCTATACAATTCTATACATATATATATATATACATGTATATATATATATATAATATGTGTATCATATTAACATATACGTATCATATCATATGTTTCGTATAGGTATCATATATTCTACACCTTTAATATATGTATATGCACTATATTTATACGTCTGACCTGGGTCGATTGTATGGCGGCGTTCACCAGGCTGGTTTGGAGACAGTTCAGGTTTATGCCACATGCAAGGAGTCTTGGTGCGTCGCAGGGTCTTGGTGTGACTGATGGGGTGTATTTATTGGGAACCATGTGGGAATATGACGGGATACAATGGGGAAATCATCTATACATGTGATTTTTAACTAGGAAAATATGGGTTTATTAAAGAGATATACGTATTTTTCTATATATAATATACTGTACGTACATAATGTAGCCATTGGACGACCACAAACACCGCTTTTAATCTATCGCGGTAAATAAAGTGGTACCGGAACATGTCAGAGATTTCAAGCTTTGCCGAACAAATTGCCTAATTGAAACAAATACATGTGGGTAAGCTGTTTGAGATGTTTTCTTTTGAAGTGATTTGGAGAAGCCTGGATCTATCAGCTTTGAACTTTGGTTTCAGATTCAGATTCGCATTCTGAGGCATTTGGTCAAGATTTGGAAGGTTGGTGGCTTTGTGTTTTTCTTCATGGCCTCTTCAGACAAACATTCAGACAGCTCGATGGCTCCTTTTCTTTAACTGATGATATGCCCAGGCTCTTGCGGTGAGTTAACGTTAACGTGGTTGCTTTGCTGAAGAATCAGAGGGCCGCATTGAATCAGCTGGACCTCCTTGGGACGAGGTCAGTTTCCAGCGTGGTTCCCACTGGTTCCCACGTCCAAAACCGGCCGCACTCGTCTGCCCTTGCTGCAGAACAGCCGATCTCCGTTTTTGTTTGCAGCGTCTTTGATGTCCGAAAGATGGTCACTTCAGGTACGGCTGGATTCATAGGGAAAAGGATATCCAGGTGGCGACTCGAAAAATCCCAGGTCCTGAAACCTTTTATCATTCAAAGGTTACCCTCTGGTAAACTAACATAACTATGGAAAATCACCATTTTCAATGGGAAAACTCACTATAAAAGGCCATTTGCAATAGCTATGTTAGTTTACCAGAGGGTAAACGTGACAATGGGAATAGCCGATGAATGCGAAATCAACCGGCCGATGATCCTCTGTGACTTAGTTCCTTTTCTGGCGAGGTGAACAAAAACGCCCTGATAGAAGTTGATAGAAATTCTGTGTTAACCATTTTTTTATATAGGGGACATATTCCAGCTAGTATTATATATATATAGTATAATTATAATTGATTAAATGATAATAATAGTAATAATAATGATAGTAATAATGATTAATCATGATTAATAATGATTAATAATAGTAATAATAATAGTAATAATAATAATTGAATGATATATATTAATATATGTATATATTCCCAGATAATGATAACACCATTCAATGAAACATCTAGTATCCCTACTAATGCGATATTTCCCTGTTGTACCATTTTTATTTTTGCTCCGGGGGCAGGACTGCCGAAAGAGGCGGCTCCCCATTATGTTGGTGGCGTTCAAGAAGGCTAGGAACCGTTCGCACTTGGATCTTGCCATGACTCTAAGAAGATTGCACTAAGAAGCTATATGGAAATCCATGAGAGTTTCCCTAGATATCTGCTGGATTTCAGTTTCTAGCTGGGTTTCCCTATTTATTGATGGCTTTCCCTAATTGATCATCATGTTCCCATCATTTTCCATGTTCATAAGCCCTAATTTTCTCTAATTTTCCCAACAAATTTCCCTAAATAATCCTACTTTTCCCATATGGCAGTGTGTCAAAACCTTGTACCCCTGTAGTTCACATCAAAATAGCTGGGATTTATGGATGTTCATCCCACTAAAAATGGTATTAATAGGTATTGATCCATACCCATATTTTTCCCTAAATGATCCCAGCATTTCTGGATCCAGGTGAAGATCGAGGCCGGAAAAACGAAGGATGTGCAGCTCACCGTGCAGCTGAAGGATTTGGCCGTGAGGGCTGCCCAGGATGCCCAGGATGCCCAGGATGCCCAGGGAGAAACGGAGCTGAAAACAGCTGGTTTTACCCCAGAAAACATCGATGAAACTTGGGGAAACCATAGGACATATCCATGAAAAAATGGGGGTTTACTATGGTTTAAACATGTACGAGGCGCAACCCTGACGTTGCGCCGCGTCTGACTTCAGGTGGATATGAAGATAAAGTTACTGCTATTACCCCAGTCAACATATTGTTCATAGGGGGTGGCGAATTTGAATCCCTGATGAAGATGAAGTTGATGTTACTACCCCACTCAACATATTGTTCATAGGGGGTGGCAAATTTTGATCCCTTATGAAGATACAATTGATGTTATTACCCCAATCAACATGTTGCTCATAGGGGGTGGCGAATTTTGACCCTGATGAAGATAAAGTTGATGTTATTACCCCAAGCAACATCTTGTTAATAGGGGGTGGTGATTTTTGATCCCTTATGAAGATAAAGTTGATGTTATTACCCCAATCAACATGCTGTTCGTAGGGGGTGGCGAATTTTGACCCCTCATGGAGATAAAGTTGATGTTATTACCCCAGTCAACATATTGTTCAGAGAGGGTGGCGAACTTTAATGCGATGATGACCACGATGATGATGATGATGATGATGATGATGATCATGACAATTGTAAGTGTGGAGCAACGTCTGGGTTGGGGCGAACATGTTTAAACCATCAAGAACTACGGTTTACCTCTGGATAAACCGACGCATCCAACATGCTGAATTTCACAAGGGTGTCTTCTGTGTGGATCCCTATCGATTTGTTGCTGGTGGGATTCTATACTTCCCCTCATTCTTATTACCCTCTGGTAAACTAACATAGCTATTGAAAATGGCTATTTATAGTTTATTTACCCATAAAACATAGCGATTTTCCATAGTTATGTTAGTTTACCAGAGGGTAGTTGTATCAATTAGCAGTTTATATGAATCGTTTTCCACATCCATTGTTGACACTATTGTATGCAATCAACTTACACAGCAAATCATGATTATCAACTGATAGAATCAAACACAATCTGTTCTATATATATATATATTTATTTATTTGATAACTCTAAATACAAGAAATGATGAGATATGGTGGTTTCCTGAAATGGCACCCCAAAAATGGATGGTTTATTTCATGGAAACTCCGAAAATAACGTGGATGAGAACTCGGGGTATCCCCATTTGAGGAACCCCCCATATCAACTCGAGAATCAACCAACTGATCACATTTTGCTGCTTCGTCTCCCAAGCACTTGAGGCCTATCAGGCGCCGGCTGTCGGGCTGGAATGGTTGGCTGTTTCCCTTGAAATCGTTTCAAATGATGGTGGATATATGGCAATGTCTATGTTTACTGTACTGGAGGCTACTTTAATTTACACTTTCTATGAATTGGATGAGAGGAAGGAAAAGAAGGATTAGGGATTGGTTTGGAGTAAAAAAGTAAGAACATGAATCAGAATTCGGAATTCAAGTTATTAAATAGCAAAACCAATAGTTTGGGATGATGATTGAAATGATAAACAGAACATGTATTTCCAGGGGGGTCGACACCACCAAGTAGTGCTACATCTGAGTTCTATAGCCTTCATGAGCTTGCTGCATGCAGTCATCCTAGTTCAGTCTTCATTGTTAGTCAAAGCCTTACTTCAGCTGCATCTTGGATTTTTTTTTTCAGTTCTTCCTTTCAACTCCTTTCAATCAAGATTTGATTGGATTCCAATAACGTGGAAAGCATGAAAAAAGATCATCCCAGGACCAGAGACCTCTGATATCTTTCTAAAGCCCCCAAACAGCAATATTTGATGAATTGCTTCACTTCCAAATACCTGTATATTGAGCTACATTTACCCCAAGATGCCACAGGATTCATTGCATTTTCACAGAAATTAGTTCATTTACCATCATTTACCTATATGACTGGATGGCACACACACACAAATTGTTTCGTAGTAGTTTTGGGGACTGGATGGATTTTTCACCATATCGAACTGAATTATCGCGAAGATTCAGGGACCTTCCTGCCGGTGCAACTGCTCGTCGGGCGACGAAAAGAGCTCCGATTGGCTCACGATGTCAGTGGAATGATGGCTAGGATTGAGGCAACTCTCCAAAATAGCGGACATTTCTAGGGAAATTGCCCTCTGGTTATTTAACATAGCCATGGAAAATGGCACATAATTATATAGATGGTTTTACCTATTAATATCATGGTGATTTTCCATGGCTATTTTTCATAACCAGATGGTAGATCATGAAAGGTCCCCATGATATTCCCGTACATGAGTTGGCTCACTGAAATATTAGATCCCCATGATATCCCCAAGTTTGGTGAATCTTCCCGTCATATTCCTAGATCCCAACTCGATCCACATTTTCCCCAGTGAACTCTCCCGGAAACCTCAAAACAAGATGTGGTAAACCAGATGATTTTGGGGTAAAGCCCCCGATTTTTCGGTTTTCCACATCGTTCCACTAACCACATCTTTCCTTTATTTTCTGGTTATGACTAACAGTTCGCCATGGAAGCCATGGCCCATAGAAATAGATGATTTTCCCAGCTAGAAACCTCCATTTATGGTTGGGATTTTCCATGGCGAACTGTTAGTCATAACCAGATGGTGTTTTTCACCATCAAATCACCATCAAAATAGTGGTTAAATCCCATTAAATCACCATTAAATCACCATTCAATCCCATTAAATCCCATTAAATCACCATTAAATCACATTAAATCCCATTAAATTTTCATTAAATCCCATTAAATCCCATTAAATTTTCATTAAATCCCATTAAATCCCATTAAATCACCATTAAATCCCATTAAATCCCATTAAATCACCATTAAATCACACTAAATCCCATTAAATTTTCATTAAATCCCATTAAATCCCATTAAATTTTCATTAAATCCCATTAAATCCCATTAAATCACCATTAAATCACATTAAATCCCATTAAATTTTCATTAAATCACATTAAATCCCATTAAATTTTCATTAAATCCCATTAAATCCCATTAAATCACCATTAAATCCCATTAAATCCCATTAAATCACCATTAAATCACATTAAATCCCATTAAATTTTCATTAAATCACATTAAATCCCATTAAATTTTCATTAAATCCCATTAAATCCCATTAAATCCCATTAAATTTTCATTAAATCCCATTAAATCCCATTAAATCACCATTAAATCCCATTAAATCCCATTAAATTTTCATTAAATCACATTAAATCCCATTAAATTTTCATTAAATCCCATTAAATCCCATTAAATCACCATTAAATCCCATTAAATCCCATTAAATCACCATTAAATCACATTAAATCCCATTAAATTTTCATTAAATCCCATTAAATTTTCATTAAATCCCATTAAATCACCATTAAATCACATTAAATCCCATTAAATTTTCATTAAATCACATTAAATCCCATGAAATCACCACTTTTTATAGTGGTTCCACATCTTTCAACGTTGACGTTCCTTCCTGGCCACTCCCGGCAAGTCGATCCAGGGCGATGGCAGCAGCCACTTCTTTCTCTTAGAGGGCGGGGTCTACGAGTTCCTGGTGCCGCCGGGCGGGGGCGGTTGGAAAAAACCGATGGTTTCCCTATAGAAATCATCATTTTATAGTGGTTAAATCCCATTAAATCACCATTAAATTCCATTAAAACCCAGTAGAAATCATGGGTGATATAGATCTGGGCAATGATATAGTAGGGGAAATGATCCCCATTCATGGCCTTAAGATTCAGGTGAGTGAAATATGATTTCATTTACCCAGATAGATGATGAAAGATGGATGTTTTTTGGAGTTTGAAAATTGCTGGTTGGTTTGGTGAAAATTCCAGAATGTTTCTGAATATCTATTGATAGTAGATATATATATATATAATATGATATAATTAATTATGTAATATCTTGTTTGGGATAACGGTTGCAGTTGTTGCTACGACTTGTACATTTCCATGTGTGCCATGGTCTAAACGTGGCTTGTCTTCCCATGAAAGGGGGTGGTTGTCAGTCTGTTAGTAGGGATTTGTATACCCATTGTAAGGATTCCCATCGTGTGATGGATGACCATACCCCATATACCATGTCTTGACCGTGGCCCACATAATCCCAACGACAATGGTATGATAATGAGAACTATATAGAACTGTCATACCAACTATAAGAATCAACTACTATGCATTATAATCATGGTTTCATTAAAACATTATCAACTATAATAATGGATATAAATTACTGTATATCATATATCATATCATCTCAATCATAAAGGATAGATAACCATTCCTAGAATCATATATATATATATTTATCACTCCTTTTTACAGTACATAGGGCCGGCCCTTAAAATGGCCTCCGGGAACGGATCACAAAGTCTGCGGGACGGGATGCTAGGGCTGCTAGGGCTGCTAGGATGCGGCTTGTTGAGAGTGCGTCACAGCTTGCGGTTGCAGTTGTGTTGACACTGGAAGCTGCATGAAAAATCATCATCCTGATGCTCAGATGATATTGCTAGAATCCATTCTTATAATATAACTTATATCGATAGATAATCATTTCACTATAAAAAACTTCAAAACTTCAAAATAATCATACTATCACTATTGGGATAGATTATTGAAACCACACTCATGATCATAGTATCTAAAACCAGCATAGTCATAATGTAATAGTGGTGCTATAAACATTACCAACCATCCCCAAATGGTAAGTTTATGGCATTGGGTTTACCACATTAATTCAATAATTATCATCATCACGGCAATGATGAAATTAAATGGGTGCTTAGATGATATCATTGGGTTTACCACATCCACTTCCACATCCACATCATCATCATCATCATCATCATCATCGTCATCGGGTTTGCCGTCACCAGAATGCTTCGATTCCACGGCATTTCCCCAAAAAGTGTCAGCTGCCCAAGCTGCCCTCGCAGGTGGGTCCCTGCTTGGGTGAGGCTGTGCTGCGAAGCTCAATGACGCTGGATGAACAGGTCCAGTGCTTCCCCTAAGATGAACGCCTTGGGAAGGTGGTGAAGCGTGGAGATGTCTATTTTGGGCACTTTGGTTGTAGAAATATCAACATTTAAATACCGTAGTCAATTATAGTACATGTTATTCATAGTTGATTGTTTAGAGTTCAATTTCGTTGGGAAGGCCAATAGTTTTGTTGTTGCTATGGCAAAAGAAGACCCAGCGAAAGTGGGATCAATCATAGTGGGATGAAACAAACTGTTCACCGCTTCGACCGAGATGGGAATTGTAACCCCATGAGAACGCTTTGACAAAAGATCTCTCTACTGTCCCTTTTTGCAACCAAAATTATATCATCAAATTTTGGAAATCCGATTTTCTCAAGCCCATATTGAATATATATATACACATTCAGATATCCAGTAGGGGCCCTTCATAACGGGATGTTGTGATGATTTGTAGCTTTCATGAAACTCGAGAGACTGGCGTTTTGATCCGCTCCAAGTTGTTGATTCCAAGCCCAAGTTGTGGTTTGATCTGCTTGTTTTTTTGAGGGTGATCGCTATATTTGCTTATATGACTATACATGATTATATCCCTGTTAGTTGACTTCCGAAAAACCTCGCTCATTATAATTCATTATATGCTCATTAGTTCCAGTGGGGTACCACATGGACATGACAAGAAGGGCCCCGCAAGTTTCTTAGTTGATTGGCGAACCCATCAAACCGTGGACATTTTCCAGGAAATAAACCCCGACCCAATATTTTTTTTCACCAACCTGCGAATTGCCCCATCAGAAATCAATGAGAAATCCGTTTTTTTTGGATGAACTCTCCATTTGGAGTGGTTCACTTCCAATTACCCTCTGGTTATTTAACATAGCCATGGTAAAAATGGCCCATAGAAATAGATGGTTTACTTATTAAAAATGGGTGGATCTTTCCATGGCTATGTGAGTCATAACCAGAGGGTAGATCATGAAGGGTCCCCATGATATTATTCACCATTGTTCACCATTAAATAACCATTTATAGTCACCATTTATAGTGGTTAAATCACCATTTTTTGGAGCTCCGTTGCAAAAAATGTTCCAACCTGAATTTTTACGGTGAAGTCCACAGATCTCCGCCAGACCTTTCGCTATCCCGGGAAAGCGCGGCGCGAGAACTTTGCACCTTGGTGGAGGGCTGCTGTGGCCCAGGTGGGTATAGTAAAAGGTAGGTGAACTGGGGGTTATTGTTAGGTATTGTTAGGTATGAAAGGGGAACATCAAGGAAACCAGCTTGGTATTTTTTTTGGAAAGAGTAAATGGGGAAATCTTAGTGTTTTTGTAGGATATCTCAGATGAGCGGTGGTGATTCATTGGTTGAGGAGTGGGACGTCAGCATTTTTGTTGATCAAATGACAAAGTTTCAGAATTTCCGTTGTTAAAATGCAACATTTCACCATCTTTATTGGTAAATGATTTGGTAAAATCCGAAGTTTTCATCACTAAGATCCTCATGATTCCTGCCAACATCCCAAGTTTTCATATTTGTTCGTCAAGTGCAACATGTTCACCATTTCTTGCTGCTAAAATCCCATCACCATCTTTCTTGGCAAATCAACCCATCACCTTCGATCATCTAAGGCGCCTGTCTTCGAGGCGCAAAAGGAGTGTCCCAGCTTCAAATGCGTGCCGGAAGCGGAGCATCTGCTGTTGAAGGCCTGAAGTTTTTGTTTTTTTTGTCTGAAAAACATGGGGATTGTTGATACATGTTGACATATCATTAACATATAATATTGATGATATATGATATCATAACATGATATATATATATAGCATTGATATAACATTGATGATATATCATCCCAACATCATTTACATGAAACATCTGGCAGACATAGTTGATCATCAGTCTGATCGCCAAGGGCTGCTGGAATTTACCGCCAAATTGGGAGCCAAGGAGCTAGATGATCAACAGCTTGAACCTCTATTTCAATGGATGGGTTTGGACATAGCTGACCCTAAAGTCATTGGTGAGACAATGTTTAAACATCATTTAAACATCATTTTCCCTATTTGAAATCTATTAAAGTGCCAATTTTACCATCATTTTCCCATCATTTTCCCCATATTTCAGATCTATGAAAGTGCCATGCCGCTGGTGGCCTTTTCCACACCCTTTTTCCGTGCAAAAACAGGGCTGGCAGCTGCCCGACAAGTCTCCGTTGGACTTGTTGTTGGCGGTCAGTATAGCGGGGGGTCCAAAAAGGGTCCCTTTTTTCGCCCCAAAAAAATCCCGAAAATCCCACGAGATCCATATCTCAATGGATTGCTTTGAGGGAAAATTTACAGGAAAACCGCATATTTAATGGGAAAATCTATGGTTTCCTGTAGATTTTCCCGTGAAAACCAATCCAGGAAGAATATCTTTATTGTTGGTCGATGAGAAATAAATCAGTTGAATACCGAAAAATGGAGGTGTCCGTTAAAATAGAATAGAGGGACCCCTAGTTATCATCCATTTTTATTTTGGATTTTCCCTTATAAGTCATCCATTTTGAAGTACATCCATTAAAGGAAACCTCCATATGACAAAGGATCAAGGTTAGCACTAGCACTATTTGAGAAGATGAACGTTATTGGAGATCTTCGTTGAAAAACCGTAGAATAGATGGACGTAACAGTATGTATGTATATGATTGATTATAATTGTATATGTATGTATAAATTGTACAGGTGACTTAAATCCCCAAGATTATAGCTAGCAATTTGTCTTTTTCTGGATGGGAATTTACTCTTCTGTCTTGGTGGGGTTGATATAATATCAGATGTCTTCAGCCATACTTGGTCTTTTCTTGTTTTTTTGTTTGGCGAGTCTATGTGGGGGAATTATCTCAGAATCTCTTCCATCTCAGAACCTCCTATTATTAAAAATACTACCCTGCAAACTCTGGTTTAGTATTGGATTTGTTTATTTTGGGGTCCCATATGACATGGTGTAATTGTGGGGAAGGGGTTACTTCAAATGGGACAATTTATAGCCAGCTTTATAGAATGTAGAGTCTTGCCAGGTTTTGAAGCTTTGCCAAGTATGTCCAATTAGAAATAGTGTCGCTTTGACAATAGTGAGGAACTGATATAAAACTGACAAGTGATCTAGTTAGGAACTGATTTATAACTCATACTTAGGAATCAGCTTCCAAATTTAGTAATGTGGGTAAAACAATGTCATAAACCATTCCCCAGTCATCACCATTTTTATAGGTGGTATGTTTACCATTCCCAGTCATGGGTGGTTTATGGCATTGCTTTTCCCACATAAAAAAAATAATTATATAAATCTCCATTGTTGCTGGTTAAATCACCATTTTCCTATGGTTCTCCTATGTTTTTCCCACCTTAAACAGTTCGGAAGCGATGAGGGGATTTCATCAGACCATCTCCCACGTGAAACCTGGAGCTCCAGGAATTATTTTTGCGAATGAGTTATATCATGTTATATCCGAAGTTATAACGGTTGTAATATGTTGTAATATGTTGTAATCATGCGACCCCCAACTGTTCAATGTGAACATACTGATTTTTTGTCGACCCCTTTGTCTGTGACTTAAATCGAACACTTTTTTTGCTGGATAAATCCACATTCTTATTCCAACAAAGGCCCATTGAATATTATTAAATCCTTTGTTTGGCCGGTTTAAAGTTAGCCAGCCAATGAAAACCCGACTTCTAATCTCATTATATAAACCTCATTGAATCCTGTTTTTTTTCCACTCAACCCTCAAAAATCCCAGCCAAAATGGAAAATCACCATTTTTCATGGGAAAATCCACTATAAATGGCCATTTTCAATAGCTAATATCACCCCCCAACTGGCACCCCCAAGCCTAAGCTCCGAGCTGAACTGCCAAGGCGCGGAAACATGCAGCGATCAGCGTGACCTGTCTCGCTGTGGCTTTGGCGAATCGATTCCGAAACGAAGAAAAATCGGTGTGGCCAAAGATGGTCCAGATTGGTGGATATTTGAATTATGGTAAATATAGATTTAAATATCCACCAATCTATGGTAAATATCTATAGTCTGGATATTATCTATTAAATGGTAAATATCTAAATATTAAATGGTCTATATCTATGGTAAACATGAGATTGGTAGTATCTAAATATAGATTTAATAAATAGTATCTATAGATTGGTAATATATTTAAATCTATATCTATAGAATCTATAGAATCTATAGATCATTCATACAACTTGTAATGTTGTCATCAAAACTCACCAATCAGTAACTAGCAGCTGTCACAAGCTCTGTGTCGAGTCCACAAGCACTTGACTGCTGATTTAGACTGCTGTATTGCATGGAAACCAACATTGATTTAAAACAGGAAAAAATCCCAAAATGGAAACCAATGATGCTGGTAGTGAATGGGGTTAACCAATAAAGATACATATAAATCCCATCAGGAATCATCATTCAAGTAATATCAGGATTGACAGGAAGTCCCATAAAATCACCATCCGCTGGTTGATTATATGGGTTTATATTAAAATAGGGTACCTCTAAATGCAATGGTTTATCATCATTATCACTATCAAGATGGTTATTTCATGGTTATTTCATGGTGATTTTGTTTTTTCCCATTAAACATGGTGATTTTCCAGTAAACGTTATGTAAACGTTTACCAGGCCGGGTATACCTCATTTTCAGACACCCATATTACCCTCTGGTAAACGAACATAGCTATTGAAAATGGCGATAGAAATAGTGGATTTACCCATTAAAAATAGTGATTTTCCATAGCTATGTTAGTTTACCAGAGGGTAAGTCCCATTCAACCACCAACTTTTTGACCGTCCTGCCGTCGGACCCCAAGAGCTTTTTTGAGAATTGCCAGGTCGTGGCATTTGGCCCGGGGCTCAAGGGCTTTCGCCGGGGCATTTCACGGTTTTGGGCCTTTGAAGCATCCAGCCGAATGGGCACTTGAACCATGAAAAATGGGGGGGATTTTCAGCATCCAGCGATTTGGGATTTCTTGAATGGGATTTCTACATCTGGTTGATCATGTGGCTTTTTTTTTTGGGAGATCTGGATGAATCATTGGCATCACGTCGCGTCGCTGGAATGGCTGGATTTCTGGTTTTCAGGAGAATCATCTGGGTCAATTTCATAGCGAGCCCTGTTCTCCGCTGGAAATCATGGTGAGTACCCTCTGGTAAACTAACATAGCTATTGAAAATGGCAATTTATAGTGGATTTACCCATTAAAAATAGTGATTTTCCATAGCTATGTCAGTTTACCAGAGGGTAAGGGGAATCATCCCCATTCATGGCCGCAAGATTCAGGTGAGTGAACTATTTTTTATTAAACCCAGATGAATGGGCAAATTTTTCAGGTTGGTGAATGTTGAGGATGATTTTTTCCAGGAAAATGATCACCAGGTAAATTTATGTAGCAAAGAAACACGGGGATGAAACATCCGCCATTTTTACCGGATTTAACCAGAAAAGCATGAGGATTTAAATGGATTTGACGCTATAGATTTGATCAACAGGTAGGGATTTATTTATCAAACAATGCTACTTAATCATCAACATTTGGTATATTGGAATCTAAGATGGGAATGGACTTGCCATTTTTTCTGATCACTTTCAACAAGATGAATGATGCAACATGATGCAACGATATCCTCTGGCTGCTTGAAATTGGGGAAGTTTAATCCCCAAACATTCTCCATTTGCGAAAGTTAGATCAAGATCACCAAGATCTGTGACAGACCAAGATCCAAAATCCGGTGGGCGTGCTGAAGGTGATGTCTTCTTTTCCGGAAACGCAAAAACAATTGGAGTCTACTTGCCATGGTCATAGCTCCCAATGTAACATGTCTTGCTGGGAATTTCAGGACCCTAAAATAGAGGTACGTTAGTACCATGTTTCTGGCCATATTTTCTGGGGTATCCCCTTACATATAGGCCTTACATATAGGCCTTACATATAGGCCTTACATATAGGCCTTACATATAGGTAGCTGAAATGGCCATCCGGCCACGATTCGTTGTGTGAGGTCTGCTGCTGGGGCTCGGCTGCTGCTGCAGAAGATGTTGCCGGTGTTGCAGGAAGAGCGAGGCGCGGTAGCAGAACGACTCCTGGCTTGGAAACACCCAAAAATCAACGGCCATGTCAGGAACCTAAATTGGAGGTACCTACCATATATAAGGCCTATTGTTCAGGCCTAAATTTCAGGGAACATCCCCATAAAATATGGTCAAACATATGGTACTAACGTACCCCATTTTAGGATCCCGAAGATCTCCCGATTTCATGGGGATTCCATGGGATTATCACCCAACTCATCTATGATGGATTTACATCTAATATCGTCTAATATACATTTAATATCATTTAATATCAATGGATAAGAGGCATTTTCTACAGTTGATTTCGGCATGGATGTCACCTCCAGAGACTTGAAAGGTGACCCAGATGTAGCGGCTGGCGATCACGGACCATGATTATATGTATCAAAGAGACCATTGCCACAATGCAAAGAGCCGATGGGAAATAGATGGGAAATCGCATCCGAGAATTTCCGAGCCTGATTTTTTGAGCGACCTGACAGGTGAGTGAGAAGAAAAAACAATGACTGGCTCGACCTTCCGAGCTGTGAGTTCTTGCGATGGAGTGCCTTTGGAGTGCCTCTCATCAATCACGATGCTGTTGAAGCCATAAAAACTGGTTACAGCAGATTTTTTTGCAGTTGAAACCACGGTTCTTGTTTCAAACAAAAACACATGGGAGTGGTTTCACAGCATCACCAAAAGTCAGTCCAGGAATCATTCAACCATCTTTTGAGGCTTTCAGCCACTTCAATGGTGTTAGGAGCCCAGTTTCAGTCGCATTTCGTCCGTCCTTTTTCCAGTACAGTCGACGAACACTGCCACGGCTGCCACAGGGCAGGACCTTGAAATCAAAGGCCTGAAATGGCAATACCATGCAATACCAACAATGGTCATTTCATCTACTTTGCTGGAGAACACCTTGGAGAGTTTAATTAGTGCCTTCATATTTTGGCTGTATCAATCTAACCCTAAACCCAAAAAATCCGCTTATTTAAATTTAGTACCTTATTGCCATATATTGCCAGATTCACCTAGCCTGCTGAAAGAGGCATTTCTTGACAGGGTATCTACTGTACTAAGATGAGCCATGTTCTCATTGCGATGCAGACAATCAGGGTAAATCTGCATTGAACAGATAAACCTCGAAGATACCCTCTGGTAAACTAACGTAACTATGGAAAATCACCATTTTAATGGGTAATTCCACTATTTCAATGGCCATTTTCAATAGCAAACTGTTAGTTTACCAGAGGGTAGAGCTGTATGAAAACTCTTCAAACATGTTCTCATGGATTCCTTGGATCGCTGAAGCACAGCAGGTGTCATGGTAGGTCCTGGTAGGTGTCATGGGGTGATGGCAACGCAACGCAACGCAACGCAACGCAACCTCGAAACGTTCACGCGGCGTGAGGAGTCAGGAGCCCGAGTTTTCAATGGCATCTGCTGCAGAAAAAAAACCATGGTGCAGGTGTCTCCCTACTGATTTCGATGGGGATACCCCGTTTACTGGGTGGTTTCGGATGGAACATCCTTTTTGAACATCCCCGAGGGCAACTGGATGAGGACTGAGGGGCACCCCAAAAATGACTTAGGAAACCTTCCATGACTTAGGAAAACAGAGATGGGTGCTCTGTCGAAATGGAAACCTACAAGGTTAGACGGTTTCCCGTCCAACCTTCGAGGTTTCATCTCTGGCCGATTTCTGGCGGGGAAGGCTTCTGCAAAGGGGCTTGGGACCAGTTTTCGATGGTCAAATGATGGTCAAATGGTTGTTTTTCCTCAGATTTTCTGAGCCGGATTGCTCCGATGATCATTGATGATTGATATATATTGATATGATTGCGAAGCCTGAGATCTGGTCGCTATGAATCTCAACGAGGATTTTTAAGGAGTCCAGTCTTAGCTGGTTGGTGGTTCGGAACATTTTTTATTTTCCCCATATATTGGGAACAATAATCCCAACTGACTTTCATATTTTTCAGAGGGGTATATAGGTATACCACCAACCAGTTAGGTTACCTGATGGTTACCTGATGGTTTATGGATAAACATGACGCAGTTCAGAGGCTTCATTGTGGCTCCATTTGGAGAATTAAAAAAACACACTCAGAACGATTGCAGAAAAGACCAAAAAAGAATCCAATAGAGAACTGTTTGATCTGGAATATTCGAAAATTCGTGGGTCCACTGTTCAATCGCTTACTACTCTTAAAAATGCTGGTTTCAGCTCGCAAAGAGTACCCGCCTGTGCCACAAGAGTAGTGTCCAACCACAATTTGATGAACGATTTTTCAATTTGTAAATAAAGGGCTGGAATGCCCAATCACAGTGATATTTGGTTTATTCCGAATAGTTTATGGTGGTAGGGAAACAACATGAAACAGAGTATTTCGAGGAAATCATCAATCCGCCACTCGGAATATCTTCCCCACAAAATGCTTCCAAACCGCAAATCTTCTGGAACACGCCAGCTGACAGAAATATCATTTCAAAATTAACATAAAGTTAAATAATGGAACACATATGGAACAAAATGCTACATTTGTTCTGTTTTATATCCATTATTCAGATATTATTCAGTCAACAATATCTTGGAAAAGACATGAGTGCCCAGCATATCCCACCATTAGAAAACTGGTTGGTGGTTTCAAACATGTTTTATTTTCCATTTCAGATATGGGAATTTCATAATCCCAACTGACAAACTCCATCATTTTTCAGAAGGGTTGGTATACCACAAACCAGAAAAGATCGCTTTGGAAAATCCTATGGGTTTTCCATTTCTGTGTTGGATGGTAAACTGAAAACATCTCCCGACTGTTCGTTCTACCCGAGCGGGATCAGATGGGGGTCTGGTCGTCATGGGGCACTTTCCAGATCTGGTCATGGATCAAAATTATTGCTACAAAATGAATAGTTTACTATTATACTATTATATATATATGTATATATATATAATATACTGGTTGGTGGTTTCAAACATGTTTTATTTTCCATTTCAGATATGGGATAAATCCTTCCCATCGACTTTCATATTTTTCAAGATGGTGATTGCACCACCAACCAGTATATATAATGAAAAACACGTCCTGCCATCGGTTCCCCATTTTTGAGATCTCCATGTCTTTGATCTTCTCCTGTCTGGAATGGTTATAGTAACAGCTGTTGATCCAAGCGATTGAATCGGTACATGTTTGCCACCAAGGAAATTGGATCATTTACGTCTTTACTTAGTGCTTAGTTCAGCCCAAACAAGTGGATTAACACATATTACAGTAACGCTACAAAAAAACATACCTATAAAATAAGCGTGGTTATATCATGTTATATCCCACTTACAACAGTAATTTAACATATAGTTATGGATAGACAAGTCATTTTAGCCAAGGTCCCTGGGCCCAAAAATCGTTTGGGCTCCCCCAAGTTGACTGGTGACTTTATGATGGAACATGATGTTTTAAACATTTTTAAACCATTTGCCATAATCTTTTCACAAAGCCTATGTTTTTGACAGGACAACTCATGGACCCACAATTTGTTCTTCGGCCAATTCACTGGTTTGGTAGCCATGACCATGAGACTGTTGTCATCTTCAGAACTTAAACATGCGATGTTTTGCCAACAAGTTTTTCTTTTTATCAAGGCGTCTAGCCATGACAGTCATGTCAATACAAAATGTCATTTATGTGTTTCAGGAGTGATGTGAATTTCAGCACACAGGTCATTGAACGTGTTCTAGCAAGATCATGAAATTAATAATAAGATAATATATGTGAATGCATCAGTCATTAGCCAATATAGACAACTGCCAGCTTACCTTTGACTCCACATGTCCATATGTCACTGAATATGTAAGTTCTCATGTCATTGAATTGCAGAACGCCAGATAAATGTCAGAATAGAATGCCAGATAGCCACTGTGGGCACGCCGGACCCGAACATCAAAGAAACGCATTGTTGCCACTACCTGCAAGGAAGGACGTGAACAAGAACCAGACGGAAGACATATGCGTTTGCGCGCCAGGCGCTGCTTATCCGGAGCAGAATGTGGGTGATGCCCCCAACCATTCTAGAAAGTTCCTGCGAAAGCTTTGGGCGCGCTTCAACATTCGCCACACCCAGTATGGGCAGTCAGATTTTGAGGGATGGGCACCTATGAGCATCTTTCAAGAGATGAAGGTCCAGCTGTACGAGCTCGTTTTGGGTTCTTTTGGTATGCTAACCAGGGCAAGGGTTTTGATCAATTGCTAGGTTTGAGCAAACACACGCTGCAAAATTGACGCTTTTCTTGCATAACCTCCATGAACCAAGGCAACCGCATTTGATATTGGGAATGCGGAGATGACACAATGGGAACTTTAGATCATTGAGCACCCCTAGATTCGATAGTCTACCAATTCAAATCGTGCTATGCCTGCTGTGGGAGAGGTCAGTATGACTATGATTGAAAACCATTGAAGCTGTAAATTTTGGATGGTTCGGGACTGCCGAATGTACAACAGCCATCTATTCGTAAATCCATCATAGCTAATACGGTGCGATTTTTCATCTTTGTTGCTGACAAAATTCTTACTATAGACTATAGAGTGTTTGTTGCTTGCATCAAACTTGTTAAACTACTCTTTTGTGTGTCAAAAGCCTTCAAAATGAAGATTCCCCATTTGCTGGGTATCATGTGGCCACCCACCCATATTTCAGCGTTGCAACTCTGGCTCAAGATTCATGGGCCTTTGCCTGGATGAACGTCCAACTAACTATGCCAATTATTTTGATAGGACTTTCCAATGGCCAAATCTGGTTACATCCTAAACGCAACAACCTGATTTCTGCAGCATGTGATTCACCGAACCTTCATGCAGCGCCATGCCGAGCAGCATCCGCTGTGAGAAGGTTTGGTGGTGGGACTGGACGTTTGGTTTTCCCGTTGTCATGGGTTTTTCCTCCGAAAATGGGTCGGCGATTTTCGGGTGCCATTTTCTTGGGTACCCTATTTCCAGACAAACTCATGTCGTGATACAATCTAGCTAAATGGAGATTGTTATTTATATGATTTTATATGTATGTATATAATATGTTCTAATCCATGCTATCCTTTCATAAGAACTCCGATCAACCAACCAGTTGAAAAGCCACCGGGAATCCAAAGATGTCGCCGGGATGGTCATGGGGATATCACCAGACCAGGAATCCAATGGAAAAATGCCTTCGCAACAACAAACACGTTTGGGATCACAGTATTTGTTAATTTGCCCGTGAAATCTGGCTGTATAAAGTATCTCATAGTATGTGCAAACATGAAAATAAACCATAATAAACCTTAGTTGGCTAGGTGAATGATTTCATATTCAGCTGAAACAATATCAGTTATTGTAAACTGTTTGAGATTCATCATACTCCGAAGACAGAGGGCAACAGATTACCACGCTGTGGCGCTCTGACAACACCCTTAGCTGCAGAAGCGCCAGGTTCAAACACATGTGGTACAAGCCAATGGAGAGACTTGGCAGCGTCTAACCGTAAACATGACTAGATACAACCTTGGTAAGGAGCCGAGTGGGTGATGTTTTCTTTTAAAGAGATTTGGGACCTGCATATTTTTTTTACGTCACTCTGGAAATATATATCAATTTTTGTTGAAATTTGTTGAGGCTAGCAATCTCACCGTTCCAGTTTTTTTGGTACTGCATCCAAACTTGCCGATTCCCAATTTGTGTGGTCTTTTGTCGGTAAACATGCATTGTTTGGCACCCGCAAATGTCAGCCGTCTTATAGCAGAATCCACATTTCTCTTGATGATTGTTGTTTTAAATCCCAGTCTGCGTGGGTCAAAGGCTTATTTTTTTTTGAGTTTCCAAGGCACGTTTTCTTCAATGGGGAACATCCATGGGACCCGGAACATGACATGAAAACATGGCCGGTCTTCCATCTCCAAAGTCACCCTTCCAAAAGAAACCTGGCCGCATTCTGTATTCTGAAGATGGTTCGGTGTATTAGTTTTCAAAAAAATAGTGATTTAGCACTTTTTAGCACGATAGTGAGGACTACTTGGCTAATCATCTACAAATGAGATTGTAATGAGATGATCATGGGATTATAGTTTCAGTGGAATATCATCAGGTTGAAATCATTATTAAACATACGTATACATCCTTGGTTGCTCATTGCTCATCCTACGAATCGCAAGTAGTTTTCTTCCCCCAATGAAATAGCTGGATTAGCGCTCAACAAATCCCACTAGTAAAACTAGCGAGATGACCTACTTACAAAGTTGCAAGAAGTACTTCTTAATGGTAAGTTCCTACTATTAAAATCCCATGAAACCACCTTCGTTGGAATGTTCGGTGGTGAAAATTCCGTTTCCAAATCCCTTTTCGGTCCTAGGTGTTCAAATTTTTGGTACTTAGACACTATCTGGTTGGTGGTTTGGAACATTTTTTATTTTCCATAATATATGGGATAATCTATCCCATTGACTAATATTTTTCAGAGGGGTTGAAACCACCAACCAGCTATAATCCCAGTATATCCAGTACCCTCTGGTAAACTAACAGTTTGCTATTGAAAATGGCCATAGAAATAGTAGATTTACCCAGTAAAAATGAGGTGACTTTCCATCGTTTTTTGTTAACGTTTACCACAACATCATATCATTAGATGATGAGTCCTCACTATCCCATCATAATCCCCCACTTAGTGAGTCCCATGAATATTTAATCAATATTCCACTAATATCCCACAACAACATGTTTTTTTGGGTGTTGTTGGAAAAATCATAATATATAGAATATATATATATATATATATACAGACACATCCCATATCATATATCACATATCAATCCATATCATACACCCATATCATATATCATCCCATATCATTCATATCAACATCCCATTAACATCCCATTTACAGATGCGTCCATTAGTCCTCATAAACTATTCCCAGGCCAAGTGCTAATTATTATATTCCACTCATATTCCAATATTCCATGAATACTCCATGGATATTTTCATGGGTTTAAAGGACAATCCTAACCGGAAAAACCATGGGTGTTCTTCAAACAAATGTGGCTTTTCCGGTTTTCCTGAAAATTCTCCCAGAGAAAACCAATCCACTGAAGATTTCCATGGCAATCCCATTGAAAGAAGTCGCCCAGGAGCCACACCCGGTGGTGGTATACCAACTAGGCCATTTCAGCTCGAGGCGGGCGAAGTCAGTGTTGCCGCTATGGTAAATGAAGATAAATGGGGGTTTCCATAAATGGGGTATACCCCAAAATGTTTTTTTTTTTTTCCGCCTTTGACTTTAGTGCTGTGTCACAGCGGTAGAGACAACCAGCTACGCGTGAAGTCCCCACCAACATACCCCAAAATGGATGGTTTAGCAATATCCTTTTCAAATGGATGATTTCAGGGTACCCCCAATTTTAGGAAACCTCCACATGTAACATAGTCCCTGAAAATCACCAATTTTTTTGGTGGAACATGTGGAAACGAATCTTCCAAGCCGGGCACTGGGATGGAACCCAAATGCTGGTTTAGCTGGATGTCGAATTTAATAGGTTTTGACTCATCCCCAAATTGGATCGGCAAGTTGGTAGAAGCAAGTAGCAACATCTGTTGATTTTGCCATCTACAGATTGGGATTAAATGAGGGAGTTTACCTTGAACTTTTTGGCATTGGTTTTGTGTTTTTTTGGCTGAATTTTCAGGTACCACCCCCTATTCTTATGGGAGACTTTCCGTACGATGAGGAATTGGGATATCCAACAACTAGGACAGCAGTGGACCAACATGGCAAACATGATGGTAGGTGATCTCCCATCGAAAAAGAAACCAAGTCTCAATTGAGCCATGAAAAAGTACCATGAAACTGGGAGGTTACTGAAATAGAGGCTTGTTAGAATATGTTAGAATTAGTTATTAACCTGCCTGCTTTCTGAAAGCGATTCTTATGACTCACAATAGTCATACCATACCTGTCTGCCAGCCAATACAGTGGGACTTGTTAAGGGCAATCTCTTCCCTCCAATAATATACCCCGAAACGTAACTTCAGTATGGGATCTATTGTTTTTGGTGACCAATTAAGAGGGGTATTTAAACGGTATTTAATATATTTCCAATATGATATTGGTGATATTCGTCCCCATATCAGGATGGTCAATACCTTGAATACCCTTCTGCATGCTTGCCCCATTCTTGACCCCCATTTTGCTGAACAGATTTAGGATACATGTTCACTGGTTCAACCGCCATTTTTTTTTAATGGGTCTTTTTTTAGTACCCCCCAAAAAGATCGAACCAAAAAAAAACGGTCTATTTTTGTGGGATTCTACCCACTTCTCTCTTAAGATCGTGGGTTCCTCTTACCATCGGATGGGAAAACATGCAGGGCATTCACCTGACAGGCCGGCGATTCAGGTGAGTCGTGGGCAATGGATGGTAGCGGTGCACTTTGGGGCGGTCGGGGGGACCAAATCGGGGCTGGTGGGGCTGCTGGTTTGGTCGAAGATTTAGGTGGAAAAATTTCGATGGGGAAACCACGGTAACAAGGCTGTCTTGGCAGGTCATCTAACATAGGCTTTGCGCCCCCTATGCACCCTCAACAAAAAGAATCAAGCAACTTAGGAATGGTAACTAGTCATGGAGTCATGCCCAATGCTAATGCATGGTCCTGGCATGGGAACTTGATCGAGGATTTTTTGCAGCTCGGCAACGATTGTAGAGTTTTTTTTTGTAAAGATCCGGCCATGCAAGTTTGCATTATGGGGTTGGGAACCTTGCAGGGGCTCTAGTGCAAAGTATTTTATATATCTGGTTGGTGGTTTGGAACATTTTTTATTTTTCCATATATTGGGAATAATCATCCCAACTGACTTCCATATTTTTTTAGAAGGGTAGGTCAACCACCAACCAGATATTTTTGTTAATGCATTCGTGATGAAGCAAGGACGGTACCGGAGCTGGAGCCGAAGGTCAGCGCGCTGCAGAGCTGACGGAGTCGGCTTTGTCCATGGTGGACAGAGTCTGGGCGGTCGACCGCGAGGAGCGCGCTCTGGACGGTGAAATGATCATGAAATGCAGCGCGCCAATAGGTTTGACTCCAGAAACGCTGCGCTGGTTTCTTCGCCCAGCCTGGTGGGTTAATCTTTGCCGTTGCACATGTTCCATGATCGAAGTGTGGGAGAGTTGGGCAGCGAGAAGGGGAAAAAACAGCTTGTAGATGCTTGGCCTATCAATTTAATTGAAGTAAGACAGAACTTCCATAGATTTTCCATTGCAGACTAAAAGAGCTGACACAACCATGATGAGGATATGGTACCATTCACGGCTCTGAACCAAGAATCCTTGTAAATAAGCAAGAGCAATTGTGTTTTCCAAAGGTGGAACGCATTTTACCTTGATGGGTATCAAATGTAGTGATATATTTGGGATGCTCCAATGAATATGTGAGGATATGACCATCATAGGGGTTGCATCCCAACTTATGCTGTTCATTGCCATAGTTTTTGTGTTATGCCCCTACTTGGTGGCTCATCTCACTTAGTAAGTGGATTATAAACCCCAATTATAATTGGGATAAGTAGGGTTAATCTACTTATAACTGGGGTTATAACCCACTTACTAAGTGGGATGAGCCACCAAGTAGAAACAACCCCAACCATGGTTACTCCCTCATGATTCTCGTATTGAAGTCCCCCGGAGCCTCAATTTTCATGGTTAAAACATGTGAAATCCCGTTTTTTATCACCATAGAATCCCCATGAAACCTCCATAAACTCCCACAAAATCCCTAAGTATCAACAGATGGATGACAAGAGAAGAATCCCTATGAAAAATCAACAGAAATCATTGAATCTAACTGAAATCCCTATGAATCACCATATTTTTGCCGGGTGAACTCCCGATTTTCTCCCATCTCCCGTTGTGCCTTGGTGAAAGTTTTCAGGTTCAAAGCTTGGACCAACACCTGACCACCACGGCGGAGCGGCTGAAGGTACCAGGCCTCGGGGAGAGGGGAAAAGATGGGAAAATCCACTCGAAAGCTATTGAAAATGGCCATTTATAGTGAGTTTTCCCATTAAAAATGGTGATTTAACCACTATAAATAGTGATGTGATGGTGTTTTACCCTCTGGTTATGTCAACAGTTTGCTTTTGAACATGGCCATCAAAATAGTGAGTTTTCCCATCTAACAAAATGGTGATTTTCCATAGTGATGTAAACGTTTACCAGAGGGTAAATCCACTATATATGTGTACTTCCCAAAACATGATTTATGGCTTGAAAAAAATAGGATATACTGACCGGGAGTGTAAGAATTATAAACTATGGTCTGGTGGGCAATACCCTCTGGTAATTTAACATAGCTATTGAAAATGGCCCATAGAAATCGTGGATTTTCCCATTGAAAATGGTGGATCTTTCCATTGCTATGTAAACGTTTACCAGAGGGTAGTTCTTGTAACAAAACCGGGGGTATGGGAATCGATCCTTGACCTCACCGGCGATGAAACGACGTCGAGTTGCGAAGCAAAAAAAGAAGGGTTTTGGATCGTTGGCTGGCAGAATCATCAAGCTAAAAGAATAGCGTTTATGGAAATTTCTGGGAAAAATGGTGGGGTCCTGAAGTTGCTGTAAATCAGCCATTTTTATATATTTTTTGCTATGTCTGAAACTGGGAGATGCCCTGCCCCCCGACAATTTGAGGGGAAAATCGGAGGTTCTTAACGATTCCCTACCCTCTGGCAAAATCTTTAGTAGGTGAATCAACTAAAAACAGGCCATGTTCAATAGCACACTCTTAAATTACCAGAGGGTAAATCACCATCAAATCACTATTTATAGTGGTTAAATCCCATTAGATCACAATTTTTTGACAAAGAATTGAGAACTCAGCATGTCTTCCCACTTGCCAAGCGGCCTATTCCAGGTGCGACGCCTCTGTGGCACTTTGCGTGGCTTGGAGCTGGTCATGGGATTGGAGATCCAATATGAAACAGCCCATGAAACGCCAGTTGTTGAGGGGATGAACCCATAGAATTGGAACATATTGGGATCATTTAGGGGATGAATCCATAGTACTTTAGTACTAGGGGGATGGATTTTATTGGGTCCTGAACATGGATGTTGGGTCATGGTCCTGAATTCGTTTTGACAGATGGTTGGTATATTTCAGGTCCCTTCCAGTAATGAAACATTGCTGGGACATGCCAGTTGCTATATAAATGAGAACTTCCATATTTGTCTATTGCGATCTGATAGAAAATTCCCCACTTATCCCAGCCATCTTCGGGTTCCACCTCTTGAGAGCTGAAACCACCACCAACTTGCCCCAAAAAGGAGCTATCAGTCCCTTCCGGGAGGATTAATCATCCCCACTGCTCCATGTATGGTATATTTGGAACATTCCCCTAAGTGACCCAAATGTAGGTAAATATTCCATACATGGAGCATATGGGAATGAGAATTACGAAGATTTTCCAATATGATATTGAAATTCCAATTAATCCGATTAAATCCCTCTAAATCCCATTAAAACTTGATATTCCAATTAAAAATCCAATTAAATCTCCTTAAATCCCATTAACCCCCATGAAAATCGATCTTTTTCCTTGCCCCCTTAGGCCCTATCGCATCGGTGCAGACCAGCGAGCTGACGTCATCGCGGAACGCTCCTTGGGACAGGTTTTTTCACAGCAGAAGTTGGGATGTCATCCCCAAAATTGGGATTTCTAGCACAGAAATTTGGGACAAACAAACTTGGGATTTCATTTTTTTTTATTTCACAATTTCATGTGTTTCAAGAACAAACTTGGGATTTCTAGAAATTGTCATTTTACCAGGAAAAAGTGGACATTTAAGCAACGGGGAAATCAACCAATTCATTCATATGTGAAAAGTATGGTGCTAACGGCTAACTAGCACTTTTCTGGTACTGATTATATCTGAAAACATCCCATTTGTTTCGATGATCCTAATTTTGACCTTGCGCATTCCCATTCTGTGACCGGTTTTCATCCTTGTGCATCCAAGGAATCGTGGTTTGTAACCCATATGTAACTAATTCCAGTAATCCAATTGGTGATATTCCATTGATCATGGGCTTATGGGATATTACAGGAGTATGATATTCCATATAACATCATATAACATATATTACATTTGGATATTCCATTACCGCATGATATTACAGGAATCCACATAACCGGAGTATTTTATGCGGTCATTACCCACATCAAAATGCCTTTGGAACTCCAGGTGCTTGAAAGCATCATGCTTGAAATCAATTTTCATCCCATTTCCGTTGGAAACCATTTGTACCCCCACATATATATATATATACTTATATATATATAAATAATCATATATATATATATACAGTATATGTACATGTTTTCTTGTTCAACATGTTTTTTTTTTCAATGTTTTTATACATACCATTTTCCCATTCCATTTTCCGATGAATTTCTCACCAGGACTCTGTAAGTACTTGGAGCATGTGCTGAAGTTCACCGAAGTGCCAGCCTGTGAGCTCAGGGAAGTTCTGGGGGGGGTATCAAAACCCGTCATTTTATGGGCCATTTATGGGGATATAGCTGGAATATCATGGGATTATATAATGATTGATATTGGGTATAATGCTATAAGATTACAACCAACAATATGATTTGAAGAGTTTGAGTCTGTCCACAATATGTCCAACAGTATCTGTCCAACCAAGACTTTACATTGATTCTTGCTCGAGGATTTTTAATTGTTTGAGGAAAAGCTGCCCATTCCTTTTCAAGAGACATCATTTCCAGTGATTTTCGTGGTTCAAGAGCATCTTTTCCCATGGTACTTGTAATTTATAACATAGTAACATAATAATATATATATATACACATAATAATATACACATAATAATATACATATAATAATATATATATACACATATAATAATATATATATATATACACATAATAGTATATATATATATGTAGAGATACAATATCAATGCAATGGGTTTGGTTGGATCATCCACTATTCATCGGTTTTCCAACCCCATTGCAGGGATTTTCCCTACCTTCCCATATCCATGGAGAGTTGACGAAGATTTTGGTGGAAAGTTAGATGGGGTTTACCAACAGGTATCGTGTAATTCAACATAGCTATGAAGTCATGGCCCATTTAGTTCAGTGATGTTCAGTGATGAACTAGTTGAACTGTTTTTTCTTCCATATTATTGTACCGTTCTATCTTTTTTGGGGTTCGTTTTTCAATTTTTACAAACCAACAATTCGAAAAGCCATTGACATGGTTTACCCTCTGGTAATTTGTCACATAGCTATTAAAAATGGCCATAAAAAGAGGGTTTGTTTTCCCATGAATAGCATGGGTGGATCTTTCCAGTTCGTTATGTCAGTTTTTCCATAGAACATGGTGATTTTCCATAAAATATGGGTGGATCTTTCCAGTTCGTTAAACGTTTATCAGGCCGGGTACCCAGATGTGGCTTCCATTGGATCGTGTTTGAGGCACCCAAAGACTTGGTGCAGATCTTCGATGACTTTGTCACCAGGTGCCCTTGAAAACAGAGAGGCCTTGACCCTCCAAAAGGATCCAAAAGGGGGGATTGATCAATGGATTGGTTTTCATGGGAAAAAATGATAAAAAATTGGGGCTTTCCGGTGAACAAAAAATCCCATGATCCCTGTTTCTGTGAATTTTTTACCATCCAACTTGGTGGGATTTTTTCGGCATCATATTGGGATTTAATATGGGTGAATCAGCCAAAACGATGACTTGACACAAATTCGGATTGTACTTTTTCATGGTGAAACGTTGTGAAACATCTACATTTCACCATCCAAAAGAGGATTTCAAGATATTTCAACCAACAAGGATCAAGTGTACTCCACCAACCAGGCACCTCTGGAATTGCTGGGATTGCGAGACAATGCCACAGCCTTCCCTGTTGAATTGGAGTCCATATATGGTGGATATGGTGGCCATGCAGCTACAGGGTGAAGACATGTTATAGTACAATACATGGGGCAAACTGTACTGTTCATGAACTTTACCTATCAAACCAACTATATCAAACTATATCTAATCCAATGCTTGGGAACCAACAACATTATATAGAATATTGTGCCGTCATGTTTGCTGGTTTACAGGCATATTCAACTCTAGACATATCCACCGTAATTCCTTGTCTTTAATCCAACATTTCTATCACCGACTCTAGATCCCAATTTCTAGTGGTAAATTTCCCTTTTTCGTCGTTTCATCACCGTTTCGTCCTCCTTTTCGTCGTGAGAAATCTCAGAAAATCGTGGCTGCTTTGATCCATCGAACTGTGCTGCGCTCAGGTATTGGGTGGGCTACTTGGTGGCAAGGGGATACTGCTCCTGGGAGAAATTCAATCTGAGTGGGTGACCAGCTACCATTTATAGTTTTTTTTAGATCTGTATATATATTATATATATTTAATATTATATATATAAAATATAATATATATAATATACAATATATATAATATAATATAATTATATATATTATGAATGTTAACATTATAGATGGGTTATTTCTCCAAATAGTAATTTGGATAGAAATATAGATGGGTACATGCCATGAAAAACCATCGGATGCCCATGATATATCGGATATATCGGTGGAAATCACAGAACGAAGTGAAGATGTTCAGGAAACAGATGGACATATCAATATTTAAAACAAACAAAAAGGGTCAAATCTATGGTAAATCTATGATAAATCTATGGTAAAACTGATTTATATGGAAATTTTAAGGGATGGTAATAATATAATACATATATATATGTTAAATACATGAAAATAGAATAGATAAGGGATGATTATCTACAGGGATTTGCATAATATGGCAATCAATGTTTTATACAGATGGTAAATGTATATAAATCTATGCATATAAAACATATAAAGGTCAATTCCTAAGGATTTTGATGTGGATTTTTCTGCTGAATCTATCAGCCCATTCAATGATGATCCCAATGACATGGGTGTCTTCACAGTGAGGCAACCTCGAGCGTACCTTGAGGGCTGCCACATCCATCGCTCCTCGACGGTGTGTTTGTCTGAAAATTATGGGAACGTCCGATTCCAACGGTTACCCGGCCTGGTAAACGTTTACAGAACTGTGGAAAATCACCATTTTTAATGGGAAAACTCACTATAAATTGCCATTTTCAATAGATTTCAATAGCTATGCTAAATTACCACAGGGTAATCATCATTTTCCCTTTTAAAGTGGCCAAGTTGATCCAAGTTGGGGGGATTCTCCATTTTCGGACACAGCCATATAACCAAATAGCCACAACATTGAGTTCTTGTTGGTCTTTAGGTTCATGACCATTGGGTTGCAACGTTCCTGTTCTGAAGGGATGTGAGCCATCGGCTACATCCGAACTTTGGACCCATTCCCACAGGGGTTTGTCTGAACAGCATGGGTTACCCGCTGGTAAACTGACATAACTATGGAAAATCACCATTTTAATAAGTAAATCAACTATTTCTATGTGCGCTTTTTCCATGGCAAACTGTTGAATTACCAGAGGTAAATCACCATCAAATCACCATTTATAGTGGTTAAATCCCAATAGATCACCATTTATAGTGCTTAAATCCCAATAAATCACCATTTTTATAGGGTAAATGGTTTCTCATCATTTTCGCTATGATTCGAAGGCTACGGCTGGTGAATTTCGTCCACTTTCGTCCACTGGGGATGGGCCAAACATATTTTTCAGAGGGGTAGGTATACCACCAACCAGATATTATACGTATATACTATATATATACATATGTATATTTATATATGTACATGTGTATTTATATATATACATAATATATATTTATATATACATAATATATATATATATACATAATATATATATATATATACATAATATATATATACATAATATATATATACATAATATATATATACATAATATATATATATACATAATATATATATACATAATATATATATATACATATTTGTATACATGTGTGGCTTATAAACCACTTACGATGATTGGGATGCACATCCGAGATTTCAACATACTGTAACGGATCAAAATCTATCATTCTTATTTCTTAGCTCTGAATATTGACCCCAGGATTTTAATGAGGTGTCCCATAGTAAACCCTTGACTGGTTCAATTGGGTGGGTGAAGAGCAGATTGTCATTTTTGGGGTACAGTAACCACAGTAACAATCAGTCAAAGTTTGGCAATCAACTACAGACTTGCTGCATGTCAATCGAATTGTATGCCATTGTTTTACCGGGCAACATTTTCAGTTTTATTTTTAATTTTAATCTTGTATGTATATATAGGCTTGTCCAGGCTTCTGGAACTGCGTAAACCTGAATACGATTGGGGGGTGGGGTGGGGTGGGATGTTAACGTTCATGTGAACTTGCGGCAGCAGTTGATGCTACGCACACGCTGTGAACTTGCGGCAGCAGTTGATGCTACGCACACGCGGGGTGGGGGGGGGTGGGGGGAGATGTTAACGTTCATGTGAACTTGCGGCAGCAGTTGATGCTACGCACACGCGGGGTGGGGTGGGGTGGGGTGGGATGTTAACGTTCATGTGAACTTGCGGCAGCAGTTGATGCTACGATGATACTGATGATGATGATGGTGATGACGATGATGATGATGATGATGATACTGATGATGATGATGATGCTGATGATGATGATGAGGATGATGATGATGAACATGACCCAAATGAAACTTGTTAATTCCGCGACAAAATTTCGTCACGGAATGGACAAGTTTTACCAACCTAATTCAGGTTTACGCAGTTCCAGAAGCCTGGACGAGGCTATATATACATATATACTCTGGATTGTATATGTTTATTTTACATGTTTACTATATACATATGTATATATATATACACATGTTTTTTATGTTTATTTTCCACAGAAACCAGAATCCATCCTGATCCCAGTCGAGCTTCCAAGAGTCGTCCCCGCTCGAAGCATCGAATCTTCAAAACGGCCAAGGCCGTCCGTACGCCACCGACACCCAGGCCGTGGGGCGGCGGAGAATGGCACAAAGCAGTAGTCAACTACCCATACTGGTTGGTGGCTTGGAACATTTGGATTATTTTTCCATATATTGGGAATTTCATCATCCCAACTGACGAATTCATATTTTTCAGAGGGGTTGACTAACAGTAAACGTTTACATGACTGTGGAAAATCACTATTTTCAATAGGTAGATCAACTATTTCGACTGGGCCATTTTCAATGTCGCAAACTGTTAGTTTACCAGACAACTACCCATATATTGTTGATGGTTTGTACCAAAAAAACCGGGTAAATTTGGAGATGGTCTATGGCTTTACTAAGAATTTGACCTAAGCAGTTCGTATTTTGGGATTCCAGAAGATTTCACCACACCTTTTGGGATGGGGCAGCGAAATCCTGCACCAGGCAGGGTAACTGTTGGTAACTGTAAAACTGTAAAGAATAGGATTATAATTTAGTGTTATAATGAGATTATTAATGGGATTATAATTTATAATCCCATTATTTGCAGTGTTTCATGGTTGCCAATCCTTACCATAGTTGCCAATAATGGGATCTTTACCATCTACCAACTGGTTGGTTGCCACAGTTTGTTGAACCCTGACTTTACCCCAAAATTGCACAGAATGTCCTCGCCAGGACCGCCGGCAAACTGGCGATGTCCCAGGTGTTAGGCGAGATCCGGAGGGTCAAAAGGGGGCGAAAATTGATAGGAATTAAAGTGGAGAACTGTGGCAAACGGCAAACGGAACAACTGACCACATATAATATAATATATATATGTATAGTTTTGTTTATTTGTAATTATGTTTTCGCTACAATGAAACATGGCGTGCTGCAAAATCCACCATTTTGATGAGCTGATTTCTTGGAGCCAACTACCGCTTTAACGGATAACTCTAATGGTGTAACGACTGATAGTCAGTTTAGGGGGGACTATCGCCAAGTGGCCGCACGTTTTATGTTAGTGAACTATTACAATTGATCCTTTTTTTCATTATCCCCACTCACATTGGAGCTAGACAGCCCTTTATTTCACCTATTCTTCCCATATTTGTGTATAAACTCCCAATTTTTGCCAGTGAAATCTCCATCTCAGTGAGTTTCTGCCACTGCCATCTTGCGCCTGCCAAACCAGTGACAGGTCGTGTGAGACCTGGTCAGCAAATGCAAGGTGCGTGGTCAGCAGATTGCAACGACCATCATTGCGATCTCACGGGAATGATGATAATGATGGTAATGGCTAAAATAATGATCATGGTACCATGGTAATTCATCAATAATGATGATAATATATGATAATGATGGTTATATTATGATTATCATGGTATATTATGATGATGGTTAATGATAATGGCTAAAAAAAACATAATAAACCACCCATGACTGGGAATGGTAACCACCTATAAAAATGGTGATGACTGGGGGATGGTGTATTATTGTTTTACCCACATTATACCCTCTGGTAAACGTTTACATAGCGAACTGGAAAATCACCAGCTTTAATAGGTCAATCACCTATTTCTATGGTCCATTTTCCATAGCAAACTGTTGGTTTACCAGAGGGTATCCCCAAATTCCTGAACTTTTCAGCTGGGTGAATTACTAGAATTTATCCATGAACACCACTTTTCTGTTGCCCCAGTGAACTACTCGGGACGTTACGGTCCATTAATAGGGAGACATATCTATGAACCTAGCAGTGTTTGTTTTAAAGCCAATATTTTTTTGTGGCTTCCAGCCCTTTTGTTGGTGTTCATGTCGCGTGTTTTGCTGGGGCAAAACGACAAATCAAAGCCACACAAAAAACCACACTACAATCTACGCATCAATCAGAGGCTTCCTCTCGGAAATCATAGTGCCATTCCTTTGTCCAAATGAAACTGGGAACTCCCCATTCCAGTGAATCTAGCCCGTGAAATTTCCAAAAATTACATCACCGGCCGGCGCCACCACAAATGATGATCTATGATATTCTATGATGATAGAGATTAGTGCAGGTCAAAATCTCATGATGACCTTGCTTGGGATGGGTTTTGACATCATCTGGCTAAACCCTTGGTTCATTGGTGGTTGATTTTCCATGTCTTGCCATAAATCAGGCACTATTTGGATAGGCCTCAACATTGGGTACCCCATCATTTCAAAAACTCGGTGCTTTATCTGTGCTAAACGTAGGGTTTTTTGGGGAATCCGATGATGATGAAAATCGTGAAATGGATTGGATCGTCCCCCCTATTCACTACTAATTAAGCACCAGTAAGTAATTTTTCCCCATGCGCATCAGCCATATCCCCCATTTTGAGAGCCCATCCAGCATCGATTGCATCAGCCGCGTGAGATCCTCCCATCGAAATGCCCAGTCTGCGCGCCGCGATGCAGAGGAGTGAGCACCCAATTTGGACCGGGGTGGCTTCCCACAGTTATGGCCATTTATTAGTTACAACTGGTTATAAATGGGATTATACAATCTATAAATGGGGTTGTAAGTACCACTGTTCTCCCTCACTGGAAATCATAGTTAGGATTGGGGGAATCATCCCCTTTTATGGCCTTAAGATTTCAGGTGAGTGAAATATTTTTTAATTTACCCAGATAATCGGATTCAAATCATCTCTAGATGGGAGGTACTTTTACGGATGGCAGTGGGTCCCCACATGAAGCACGGCCAGTGGATTGGCTTTTCAGGTCATTTTTTGGAGGCTTCCGGATTGACAAAAGGGTTCCTCCGGACCCCGGATATCTCGCAGGAAAATGTGATTGGTTGACATATCATGAAATACCCTCTGGTAAACTAACATAGCTATTGAACATGGCCATTTATAGTCGATTTTCCCATTAAAAATGGTGATTTTCAATAGCTATGTTAGTTTACCAGAGGGTATCCCATATTTGAACCCCAAAAATGTCCCCATTATCCATAGTTGTCCCATTACTTCTCAATTACATTCCAATGAATCCCATCATATTTGGTTGATGCTCAACTATGAGAAAAATTAGACATCCCAAGTTTATCCCCGAAAAATGGTAACAATCATCAACCAACAAGGATTAACCCAGTGGAACAAATTAAGTCGTGTAGTTCCACTTAGCAATCAGTTACTCGGGCAAAAGGTCCAGCGATAGATGGTATCAGTCATTGGATGGAAAAATTGGAAACATATGGAAAAATGATGGAAGAAGGATGGTTAATGAATGTTAATCACCAGGTTACCCTGCGGATTGGACAACTTCTCCAAGTAGCCATCAGTTTTCACAAAGGGTCTGCGGATCAGCAGGTTCAAGGCGCTACAGGCGCGGATCCGCGGATCGGATCCGCAGGGCAGATCAAGGCATCAAATGTAGCGTGCATCCCAGAAATCTGAACTGGTCTTCAACTAACCAGGCTGTATCAAATTGCAAAAAGAAACTATATAACTTATATATATATAACACTTATATATATATAACTTATATATACAAAAAGAAGCTACAAAGATATAACCAGCTATAACTGATTCCCATCTATATAACTGCCTACTCAGATGCGAATCCAAGAAGTGACGACGACATGACCACATGATTTTGTTTGACGCAGCGGGTTGAAATTTGTTGAACACATTTTCCAAAAGCACCACTAGCATATGATCATCACGGCATCATAGAATTACATTTGATTTCTACCCACTTGTGATGCGTCACAATTTTCGATGTCCAATGATTTCCAAAATTGATTTCCACCTTTTTGTGACTAAGCAAGCACTTTGTGGCGAGTTTGAGACACATGTTTTCTGATCCACCCGAAGCCTCCAGGGATACCTGCTTGCGATTCGTGGGATGAACCACCGAGTAGAACATGATTTAGGCAGTTTTTGCCATGGTCACCCATGGGCATTCCATGTCATTTCAATGTCCCATCAGCATCCGGTAATCAGCTCCATTGCTGGAAAATCCACCACTTCGTTCGATGATTTTCCCAGCCAGCTATAAAGTTTGGCTAGTTCGGGGATGTCCTTGGTAGCCATGTTCGATTATTAGATTGTATGAACTCATATTCATATTCGTTTAAGATCCGATTATTGTGCCATACAATCCCACTTATAGAGGATTAGACCCCATGAAATTCCTCTCACAATCCCTATTCTTGATGGTTAAATCATGTTCAAATCCTCAAAAATCCCATGAAACCAAGTTTCCCAACATTTCACAGGGATGATTGAAGATTCGATTAGATCATATATTATGTATGTGTGTATATATGGCAGTGGGTCAAAACCTTGTACCCCTGGTGAACATCAAAATAGCTGGTAAATGGATGTTCATCCCCCTAAAATGGTATGTATAGGTATTGATCCATAGCCATATATATATATATATATCATATATAAATAGTCCAAACATAGGCATTTATTCGAAGATCCCATGAGAAATCCCTCATTTTTTCCATTAAACTGCACAGGCCGCAGGCACAAACCTGGCGAGCAGTGAATTGCTCAGTGCTGCTGGGGAGACCCAGATTCAGGACCGGGATAAAAAAGTGATGAATGGATTGTTGGTCCCCCAATCATAGGGTAATAATACAATAGGTAACTTGACCCCATCCCCATTTCTAGTGATTTTTGAGTGATTTTATGGAGATTTAAGAAGTAGTTTACTGGGTTTGTTTTTGTGATGTTTGAAGCGGATGGTGGGTTAATTCTTGCAGAGTTGGAATGAGGATTTAAGAATGAAGTGGTTGAATGGTTGAGTGATTGAATCTGGATTCAAAGTATCAACCAGAGAATATATCCATAAACCGGCCGTTTTCCATAACTAATGGTTGTTTACTGCAAAGTACCATTAACTATGATATATATGTATATAATATAATATAATATATATATATTTACACGGGTATGCACCAACAACGATTGGGTATTTGCAGTTGATCGGCAGGCTAGTTGCATGAACGGCCATTGGATAGTAGGATCGCCACTTACTTTCTCGGTTGTACCAGGCATATACAGTATCAGTCCTTTTTGTTCTTGGTCAAACAACATTCCAACTCAAAACGTCGTGTTGAAATGTGGTTAAATGATGTTAAATGCTCATTTCTTGTGGTTCAACATATGTTAAATTTAACATCATTTAACCATGGTTTAATCATTTGAACTCCTATTTTTTTATCCATGAATTTCCTGATCCACGAGATTTTCGGTGGTACAGCTGCACCTCAGGCCCGACCACTGGGTGGAGCGGTGGCGACACAACCACATGCCAAGTGGGAGACCCGATGATGGGTGAGCCGTTACTAAACGAACCCATTAAGAATCCCCGGTGACAAATAACGGAAAACTCTCGGGGTTGAACCCGCACTTATATGATGTGGGTTATATGTTTTTTTGAAGCAACATGAATCAAGCTTGGGGATTTAGCCATCATTTATAGATGGTTGATGGGTTTTTTCAGGGGGATTTCACAAGAACACTATGGCTCTGAAGCAGCAGGCATATGGGTATCATTGATGATGGTTGATTGATGTTGTTGATTGGTTACTCTAGGGGTTATACTATCTGGGATGTAGAGGATTGTCATATATTATCAGTATCCATTGCAGGAATCCTTTTATAGAACCAACCAATATGATCGAATGACGGGGGTTTGAACACTGCTCAGATGTCCCCATGCTGTAGAAATTGAATCCCAGTCTTGATACATCCACTTTTCTTGGTTCAAGATGATCACGCACCCCTTAGCGGCGGAAACACTTGAGCAGTTGCAAGAGCCAAGTGTGGATTCGTTATACTGGTCCGTTGATCGCGATTACTGTACAAGATTATATCACCGTCCCAATCACTATATATAGTCAGTATAGCCATAGCTAGGTTGGGGTAAAATCTAATCCATATACTCCATTGTGCTGGCAATTTATATCAAGAAGTAGCTTTGCTGCGCATCATTCTCTTGTCGGGCATATATACACACTTGAATTGCAGGCAAAAGAAAAGGCCAAAGGCCTTGTTTTTCAGGTTGGTGAAGTGTTAGATACATACATTTTTTATTATTATTATTACATTATTATTATTACTTATTTACTATTATTAATCATTATAATCATTTATTTGTTATTATTTATTATCATTATTTATTACTGCTACTATGATAGTTACAATATATTCTACCCAGATACTACTGGAGCTTGGCTTTTGCCCATCCTCAAAGCACCAAAAGACAGCCTGAGGCCTTTCATCGAAGTGGTGCCAGCATCCAAGGTGTGGGCAGTTGTCAGTTTCCTCCAACCATGGGGTGTTTACACCCCGTATATAAGATTCTACAATAAGATAGCTATACAACATTGGCTATACAATAGATATCTCATATTAACTTCTGGTAATTTAAGAGTTTGCTATTGAAAAAGACCATTCATGGTTGATTCCTCTATTAGAACAGGTGATTTTCCAGTTCGCAAACTGTGAGTTTACCAGAGAGTACATCATGGCTATACAAGATTGGCACCCTCAAGGGGATATCAGGGGGATGTTATTAGCACCATCCAGGTCTGATATTTCAGGTGGGCCCAAAGAAAATCATAGAAATAGAGGACACAAATGATTTATCGTATTTTCCATTAGCATGTTCCATGTTTCATGTTTTGCCAATCATTAGCCATTGGTTATTTTCCACTTCGGAAACCATTATATAGATATCCAGTTGGGGTAGGATTGACAATATTCATTGCAGCCCTAGGTTGGCCATCTTCCGAGATCATAAACCAACGACCTCACGTCGCGATTCTTGCAAATTTATAACATATCATTCAAAAAAGAGAACCATGGCAACTTTGGAAAGTGATTTAATGACTTTTCTCGAATGAAATTTCTGTTGCCATGTTTTTTCTCTAGCGAATCCATAGATTCACCGAATCGGAATGGGAACAAAGTTGCCCGCGGAGGTCTGCGGCAAAGTTGTGGCTGGGCGCTTTGGGCACCAGAATGGTTCCCATTTCAATCCCACATTGAGTGGGTAAGACAATGTCATGAACCATGCCCAATTTCACCATTTTCATAGTATAAAATGTATAAATCATTCCCACATGGGTGGTTTATGGTATCATGTTTCCCATTAAACATGGTGATTTTCCATAGTTATGTTAGTTTACCAGCGGATAACCAAGGTTCCCATTCTTAAATCCCACTAAATCAAATTTCCTGACATCATTGGCCACCCGGGAGAAACAGCCAGGTGCCGCAAGACGCGTGTCCTTTGTGCAAACGGCACTTGAGGCATTGGGAGATCGTCAGGACAAGGCTGTAAATGGCAAAATTTAAGGCTTATGGGACCACACATGTCAGTTTTTTTGTTTAGTATAAACCATCTAATTATTGGGGTACCTAATTTTGACCCATGCCCATATACTCTCACAAAACATAGCACCCCCAAAAAGCAACAGATACTTTCATATTTGGCTATAAAACGGGAATATTATGGGTTAGTAATCTATTTAGTAAATCAATATTTATATAATATATTTGGATTATAATGGGGTGCTACAGCCATATATCGCCATAATATATTTGGATTTAGTAAATATTGTATAATGGATTACTGTTATCAATATTTAGTAAATCAGCATTTATAATATGGGCTATATTATGGGTTAGTAAATCATAATAACCTATATTATGGGTTAGTAATCTATTTATGTAGTAAATCTATTTATATAATATATTTGGATTATATATGGGCTACAATCTTTAGTAACTCTTTTTTTGGGGGTAAGATTGGCCATTCGGATGCATATCTTGGATCGCAGATCGAAGATGAGTTTGGTTTGAGAAGGAAAAGCATATCTTTGAAGGGAAACACAAGGGCCATATATTGCCATTAGGGTGCTTATGTTTTGAAGGGAAACACAAGCCGCATATTGAAGAGATGTTCTATTCAATATGCCGAGGTTCTATTCAATTTGCCGAGTAGATCAACCAAATCGCCAGTTTTTTTTCATTTTTTTCGCCATGTTTGATGCTTCCATCCTGATATTTTGTGGCCAGAATCCCCCCAAATTCACAGAAAGACCCTGCCATGAGTTGGGGGCGTCCAGGCAAAAGGAGACGGGCTGCATCAGGCGAGGAGGGCGCAGGAGGGCGACGAGGGCGCAGCGGTGATGTGCCATGAGTTTGGAAAACCTATGGGGAAAGCCTGTGAAAATGATCTACAAATGATCTGCTTTTTGCAGATCGAAATCTTAGTCTACAGGAGGGCAATCCAGCAGTTGCGACAAAAAAAATCGCTGTGAATATTAACATGGATTTTTGACGGCCCCCGAATCAGTGAATCTAACAACAAAATATGAAGATACATTGGGATTTAAGCACCACAAATTGACTTTTACTCTAATGACACACTAAATCAATGAAAATATCCTTTGTTTGATGGATATAAAATGACATATAAATCCATCAAACATGTCGTTTTATATCATCAAGCAAAGGATGTCTAGGGATGTTATACATGGATGTCTTGGGGCATGTTCTATCCTGTTAGCCAAAGAATAGCCCAAGATTACAGGCTGGTGGATGATTATAATTTACCCAGATATATACGATCATATATCCATACATACATAATATATATATATATATTTATACATACAAAGATCAATATATATATATATATATTTATACATACAAAGATCAATATATATATACATATATAGTATGCATATTATATATATTTATATAGATACAAAAAAACAATATATATATATAATATATATATATAGATCTACACCCCCGGCCATTGTGGAAAACCAGAGGCTTCGCTCCTGCGGGCATGCCTTGCATGGGGAGTGCTTTAACGTTGCTTGGCGTTTTTTCGTCAGGACACTGGAGAAAACCGTGGAACTGGGGAAATGTTGGAATATATGGAACATATTGGAACATATATATATAATGATATAAAATGATATATAATTATATATATATAATCATAAATATATATATATAATCATATATATATATATATAATCACATATATATATATATATAATCACATATATATATACCCGCTGGCCGCCTGGTTCGCCGTCGCTTGACATGCATCTTTGGGGGGGTGGGGGGGGCGGGGGTTTGGGCGGAGGGGGTGGGGTGGGGGGGGGGGTGTAATAACGTCCTGTCGCGCGCTTTTTTTTGGCTGTAAATGTTACGTTATCGCTTTGTTTTCAGGGTGGAGATGCTATACGTTATCGCTTTGTTTTCAGGGTGGAAATGCCACGTTATCGCTTTGTTTTCAGGGTGGAAATGCTACGTTATGGCTTTGTTTTCAGGGTGGAAATGCTACGTTATCGTATTGTTTTCGGGGTGGAAATGCTACGTTATCGCTTTGTTTTCAGGGTGGAAATGCTATACGTTATCGCTTTGTTTTCAGGGTGGAAATGCCACGTTATCGCTTTGTTTTCAGGGTGGAGATGCTACGTTATCGCTTTGTTTTCAGGGTGGAGATGCTACGTTATCGTTTTGTTTTCAGGGTGGAAATGCTACGTTATCGTATTGTTTTCAGGGTGGAGATGCTACGTTATCGCTTTGTTTTCAGGGTGGAGATGGTACGTTATCGCTTTGTTTTCAGGGTGGAAATGCTACGTTATCGGTTTGTTTTCAGGGTGGAAATGCTACGTTATCGTATTGTTTTCAGGGTGGAGATGCTACGTTATCGCTTTGTTTTCAGGGTGGAAATGCTACGTTATCGCTTTGTTTTCAGGGTGGAAATGCTACGTTATCGCTTTGTTTTCAACAGTATCGGCAGGCCTGCCATGTTCAACAGGATCAGTCCGAACAACTCCAGCCGAATGTTACGATGAGACCAAAGTACCTGGCTGCCCTGAGAAACTTGGCTTTCCCGCCGACGGCGAACCAGGCGGCCTGCGCGTATATATATATAAATATAATCATATATATATAATCATATATATATAAAATAATATATATATAATCACATATATATAATAACATATATATATATAATCATATATACACATATAACCCTATATATATAATCATATATATATATATGTAATCATATATATAATCATATATATACATATAATCATATATATATATATATATTCATATTTATAATAATATATATATATAATCACATATATATATACACAATATATATGTTGGGTATGTAAATATATGTCAAATATATATATATGTTACATGTATATATATATATATAGATATCTGTAAAGCTAGAACCATTTGGACATAGTTGGAATATTTAAAAAATAAAGCGATTGAATCATTTGGACCTGTTTGGAATGTTTTGGGATAGTGAAAACTGATGGTGTCGTTGGTTCCGTCGAGTTTTCCGGTCAAAATCCCTCCAGTGAAGGTGGACCTATCCCCCGTGGCATTCGGGCGTACTTAGAACATATTAAAGAAATCCAGCAACTAGAACATCTTAGAACATTTTCTTCACTGTTGATACTCCATGGTGACAATGGACAATCTCTGGTTGACAGACAATTTTCCACAAAACATGTGTAGGGCGCAAAGCGATTTAAATGGACGTGTATCCCACTGAGTAGCACAATACAATTCCTTACAACAAGGTATATCTCACATAGGACATCATATAACTGAGTCATTGCCAACAATTCATATACTTATATATATATATATACTTATATATATATATACATACATATGTATATGTATATACTTTAAGTCATGTTCAGGTGTATCTGTATCTATATATATATATACATATTATATGATATTAGCATACCATAGATATACCATAGATCTACGCATCTCCCGCTGCTGGGTTCCGAGGCGTTGATGAGCGCGTCCAACCGCTTCCCGGGAGTTCCCAGGAGGGCTCTGAATGGGCTCTGAAAATGTGGTATCCCCTGAAAATGGCCATTGATATGGGTGATTTAATGGTGATTTAATGGTGATTAATGGTGATTTAATGGTGATTTAATGGTGGTTAATGGTGGTTATTAATGGCTAATAGTGAATTAATGGTGATTTACCCTCTGGTTATGACTAACACTTCGCCATGGCAAAGATGGTGATTCTTATAGTGGATTTACCCATTGATAGCATGGTGATTTTCCATAGCTATGTGATTTTGATACCCTCTGGTTATGACTAACAGTTCGCCATGGTATAGATGGCCCATAGAAATAGATGATGTTCCCAGCTAGAAACCTCCATTTATGGTTGGGATTTTCCATGGCTATGTTAAATAACCAGATGGTATCATTTGAAAATGGGAGATGAATTCTAGAAAGGAATATTGGGGTACCAAAAGTTTCTGTCGGTATTGAAATATCGCCAGAACTTGTTGGATGTATGATAGAAATTTATCTACAGTTGGCTTGAAAACTAACTTCTAGACAGGACCCTTCTTGTAATATTACCATACTTTTTGGGAATGAGCATCCACAATTACCCCCAACATTTCAAGCGTTGCAAAGTCCACCAAGTGGCACAATTCGCAAGGGTTTTTGGCTTTGGATTTACCTTCCCCCCAATTTTAAACACCCCCATTGTATGGTCCCAAATAGCATATGGAAATCCAAATCCCCTGGTTTCCAGTGAGGGTGTTCAGGAGTAGGGGGATGGGATGGGATTATATATATATAAATATATTCCATGATATATCATGTTGAGAATATATATAATATAGAATCCAGTAGATTTATATATATATATATCATGGGGAATAGTAGATTTCCATGATATTCTCAACGTCCCAGTGCCCAGCCCCCACGTTGCGTTTCGTTGCTGTGCGAGGACTGGCTGCCCCAAATGCGGTGAATGCTGGGCGGAGTGTGGATGCGCAGATTGCAATCTGGATTTCTGGGCCATGGCTTCCATAGCTATTAACCAGAGGGTATATTCTTACTTTTTACTGTAAATGTAATTATATATATATAAATATTTGTGTATCATATAATATCACATATATATACATATATATACATATATATACATATATATATAATATACATATATATATAAATATATACATATACACATATACATATACATATATATATATATACATAGCAGCCCCGGAAAAGAAAGAACACTCATTTCTTCACGACCATGCGGGATTCTAGATTCTGCTAGCAACGGGGTCGACTTTCCACCGAGTTGGGCGAAGCTGGAAAATCAAAGCCACCAGACGACCTTGGCTGAGGTGCCGTGGGCAATGGATGGGAGACCTGGACCATTATTTGTTGGAGATTATTCCATTATTTGTCGGAGATTATTCCATATTTGTTGGAAACATTACTCGATTATATTTGTTGGAAATGATTCCATTAAGTTGTTGGACATGATTCCATTATTTGTTGGAAATTGTTCCATTATTTGTTGGAGATTGTTCCATTATTTGTTGGAAATTGTTCCATTATTTGTTGGATATTGTTCCATTATTTGTTGGAAATTGTTCCATTATTTGTTGGAAATGATTCCATTATTTGTTGGACATGATTCCATTATTTGTCGGAGATTATTCAATTATTTGTTGGAAACATTATTCGGTTATTTGTTGGAAATGATTCCATTAGTTGTTGGACATGATTTCATTATTTGTTGGAAATTGTTCCATTATTTGTTGGAGATTGTTCCATTATTTGTTGGAAATTGTTCCATTATTTGTTGGATATTGTTCCATTATTTGTTGGAAATTGTTCCATTATTTGTTGGAAATGATTCCATTATTTGTTGGACATGATTCCATTATTTGTCGGAGATTATTCAATTATTTGTTGGAAACATTATTCGGTTATTTGTTGGAAATGATTCCATTAGTTGTTGGACATGATTTCATTATTTGTTGGAAATTGTTCCATTATTTGTTGGAGATTGTTCCATTATTTGTTGGAAATTGTTCCATTATTTGTTGGATATTGTTCCATTATTTGTTGGAAATTGTTCCATTATTTGTTGGAAATGATTCCATTATTTGTTGGACATGATTCCATTATTTGTCGGAGATTATTCCATTATTTGTTGCAGACTATATTCCATATTTGTTGTACATGGTTCCATTATTTGTTGGAGATTATTCCATTATTTGTTGGAGACTATTCCATATTTGTTGTACATGGTTCCATTCTTTGTTGTACATGGTTCCATTATTTGTTGGAGACTATTCCATATTTGTTTTACATGGTTCCATTCTTTGTTGTACATGGTTCCATTATTTGTTGGAGATTATTCCATTATTTGTCGGAGATTATTCCATTATTTGTTGGACATGATTCCATTATTTGTCGGAGATTATTCCATTATTGTTGGAGACTATTCCATATTTGTTTTACATGGTTCCATTATTTGTTGGAGATTATTCCATTATTTGTTGGAGACTATTCCATATTTGTTGTACATGGTTCCATTATTTGTTGGAGATTATTCCATTATTTGTTGGACACTATTCCATATTTGTTGTACATGGTTCCGTTATTTGTTGGAAATTGTTCCATTATTTGTTGGAGATTGTTCCATTATTTGTTGGAAATTGTTCCATTATTTGTTGGATATTGTTCCATTATTTGTTGGAAATTGTTCCATTATTTGTTGGAAATGATTCCATTATTTGTTGGACATGATTCCATTATTTGTCGGAGATTATTCCATTATTTGTTGGAAATGATTCCATTATTTGTTGGACATGATTTCATTTGTCGGAGATTATTCCATTGTTTGTTGGAGACTATTCCATATTTGCTGTACATGGTTCCATTATTTGTTGGAGATTATTCCATTATTTGTTGGAGACTATTCCATATTTGTTGTACATGGTTCCATTATTTGTTGGAGATTATTCCATTATTTGTTGGAGACTATTCCATATTTGTTGTACATGGTTCCATTATTTGTTGGAGATTATTCCATTATTTGTCGGAGATTATTCCATATTTGTTGTACATGGTTCCGTTATTTGTTGGAGATTATTCCATTGTTTGTCGGAGATTATTCCATATTTGTCGGAGACTATTCCATATTTGTTGAAAATGATTCCATTATTTGTCGGAGATTATTCCATTATTTGTCGGAGATTATTCCATTATTTGTTGGAAATTATTCCATTATTTGTTGGACATGATTCCATTATTTGTCGGAGATTATTCCATTTTTTGTTGGAGACTATTCCATATTTGTTGGAAATGATTTCATTATTTGTCGGAGATTATTCCATTATTTGTCGGAGATTATTCTATTATTTGTTGGAAATGATTCCATTATGTGTTGGACATGATTCCATTAGTTTTTGGACATTATTCCATTTTTTGTTGGAAATTATTCGATTATTTGTTGGAAATTATTCGATTATTTGTTGGAAATGTTTCTTATCCCATGATATCACATTATTTTTGTTTTCATTGTTGTTGAAAATTTGAACATTCGAAGTATATTGGTTTATGTAAAGACGCTTGGAATACAATGGGATATAATGGGATATACAACCAAACATGCGGGATTGGGGTTTGTCCGTCGGTACAATTTTGTGCCGTTTGGCGTATACCCAAAATGACCATGTACATAAAAAGGTTGGATGCCGACTTTTTGGATAAACACATACATACATGTATGCATATACTAAAATAGTGATGAACTACTTTTAGTAGAGTGAATTTGAGTTTTTTTGTTAACAAAATCTCTTAGGTGATATATCTAAGTAAATATATATCAAGTAAATCTGTGTTGGGACTACTGGGAGTCTGCAAGAAGATAGAAAGGTATTTGCAGGACGTTAAGGATTGTTTTTACAGCTGAGTTTTTAGGTGTCCAACTTGTCTATCTTGCGGTTGCTACAAGGAATTGGGTATTTGGAGATAAGCAGTATAAGCATCATGTATGGGCTCATACTTAATGACTATATCGGTATGAGTCAAACATGGGGTACTTCAACGCACCCACAAATGAGTGGCATTTCTATCATTAAACCAATCCATTGCCAATTTTGACCACCGGTTTTAGCCACACATATATAAATTGACTGCATTAATGGATACTGTAGATGGATGGATGGATGGATGGATAGACAACCAGACAGACAGACAGACAGACAGACAGACAGACAGACAGATAGATAGATAGATAGATAAATACGGCTCCATACGCGGAACCTGCAAATTTCATGGTCAATACTCAAAAAGGTGGGAGGCCTTAAATACTTACCCTCTGGCTCTTACCTGTTTGACATCGCCATGGAAACCATATGAAACCATGGCCCATAGAAGTACATGATAAAATGATGATTTACCTCCATAGAAAACCGTGAAATTGCCAGAGTCATAGAATATTATGGGAAAAATTACAGGAAAACCCTATATTTGATGGTAAAAACCATGGTTTCCTGTAGATTTTCCCTTAATCCAATCCAGTGACAGAGGCTAAATCTTGACATCAAAGCAACAGTAGTTCTCCTCACGGCCAGCGCACCACCATTCCCCTCGAGGGCGCCGTGTGCGCGAACGCTGAGCGTCAGAAGCTGTCCACGCTGTTGGGGTTTGGGGGCCTAGCTGAGCATAGATCCAGGGGTCAAAGGTGATTGGCAATTGCAGCTTTTGCCAGTTCTTGCATGAACAAATATGGGGATTTAACTTGATTTGAGAAGAAGTGGATCAAATGCTGGATTTCCTGCCTTTGGGTGTGTGGAGAACAAGGATTCATCCATGGATGTTGCCTTGTGATGCTCACAAGCCTCACCAACTCATGTTTCCTTGAAACAAACCAGATATCATTTTGTCACAAGTTCTGTCTTTCTATCCGCATGACATTTAACTAGGAACCTGATTTTTTGAATATATGTATCTTTTCACTGAACATGTTTCTGATTGAAGATGATGGGTTCCTGGGTTCCTGGGTTCCTACTTTTGGAGGTCTCCCTGAACTGGGAATTTCCCGAGAATCATCATGCAACCCCCCATGTTCCACCGTTTCCTTGCCGATAGTGGACCATCACGCACAGAGGTTGGGCATGTCATCCAGAGCTACCTGGGGACAGCATGAAAGGTGAAGGAATTGCCGTCACATAGACCAAGGGTACCCCCCCAAAGGGTCCACCCATATATATATATAGATATTACAATATAATAGTAATATATATATATACTATTATATATATAATATAACTTCATATATATTTATATATAATATCTATTTAATATAAACCATATACCATGTCTTCACCACTGCACCAGAAGGAGAAAGAATAGCACCAGAATAAGCTATTCTGACCTTATTTTTTTGTGTGTGATTTGGCTGAAATCAATTTGCGAAAATCAGCTCAGAACAAGGAAACAATGTGTCCTTATTTCGGACAATATGCAGCAAATGGGTTTCACAGTCACCTATAGCAATTCTGTTTTTATTTTTTGGTTATGATCACCAGAATAAGAACAGATGTTGCTATTTGATTTTATCTCCATGCCGACACACTGGGTTTCCAAATTGGCTCAGAATAAGGGCATATGCGATTATTTTCTGCCTAAATTTGCGGGATCACTTTGGCACCAAAAATAGCACCAAAACAAGAAATATTTAGCGACTCTCATCCACACAATTTTTGAAACAGATGACAGGTGCTCATCATGCGCTTCAAACCTGAAACTGGCCAAAAATTCCTTATTCGTGGCCTATCATGGTACCCAAATTATGTTCTTAATGAGGATTCGCAAATCCTATATGTCCTTATTTTTTTAGGGGGTACCCTTGTGGGGGGTATACCGTTGGTCTACGTGAACGGCGGCTGCTGAAAACGCAGCGGAACGGCGATGGAAGGGCCAACGGCGAAGAACGCTGAGCACTGGCCGCCCCTTGCAGGAGCAGAATGTGTTCGAACAGGCTGCCAGAACTTTACATGGAACGGCTAGTCGGAGGATTTTGCTGCTATCGCACGTGGCCTCCAGCATTTATGCTGGATTGGTGCAGCCACTACTACCGGATGACAGTTGACATGGATTTTTTAAGACGTTGGGATTTCCCCAAAACCCATGGTGTCACCTTGTAAACAGTATCATCCCCAGAAAATCGAGTCTCTGGGGTGAAGGGATTTGTTACACATCATTGTTCTTTGTCAATAAAAAGACCCAAAATCACTCTGCATTGCTTTAGCGCCAGCCGTTTGAGCGGAAAGATCTGGTGAAAAAATCCTTCCGGGGCAGGGTTGAGATTGTCGATTTTCTATCTCAAAAAAATGGGAAAATCGTCCCTGATGCTGATTCTACAGCCTTCACCGGGGGGTTGAAACCACCAATATGTCAATATGTGGGTAGAGTGTATCTCAACCAAAGACCCAAGGAGTCGAAACACCAACTGATACAAACTACAGGGATGATCAAATCGACCATCAAGGCCCGAGCTATGCAGAGGTTTTTCTTGGTTGCTTCAAGGGTATACCCTTGGTTCGTCCCCTGGGGGGCTGCCGGGCTGCCAGAAATCATTTGGAAGAACTTCTGGCTCCAGCCCGGTGATGGGGTCATGATGGGTAACAACCCCCAAATTCACTATAAAATGGCTAGAAAGCCTCCGGAACTGGAGGTTTATGGCATTGGGTTTACCACATTTGTCCATTTCATTGAGCAACATCTCAGCAGTTGGATCTCAGTGAGCCGTATGTGGCTGGCTAGGTTTTGGCCGAAAGTCAAGGCCAAGGGAAGATTATTCTGATGACTGGTTGGTGGTTTGGAACATGAATTTTATTTTTCCATAATATATGGGAATAATCATCCCAACTGACTTTCATATTTTTCAGAGGGGTAGGTAAACCACCAACCAGTGATGATTTCTGATGTCTATCTTTGAGCACTATGACCCAAACCCCGGGGTCAGTTCGATAATTACTTCGGGGATTTAATCACAACCAATGTAGTGGGGAATATCACAATCCAGTAGGGGAATCCTGTTCTCAAGAATCCCTTTGCAAACGCACTTAACACTTGAGGTTGATTTACTGTTGAGCCATGGCTGATGAAGCAGAGTCCGTGCCCAATGATGAGGAGGCAATCGATTCAACCATGGCTAGCCTAGCTGGGAAATTCCCGAACTGAATGGACGATGGGAAAATCATTGAACCAGGGGATTGTCCAGCAGACCATGTTTGTTTACCAAAGGGGTATACTTTTTTGCCTCGAGGATCGTCCCTGTCGGCAAGTCACCCAGGCTGTGTGTTTTCTCCCCATCCCAAAGATTCTCTGATGCTCCAGATATCGGGCTAGTTTTTATATATGAAGGTTCATGAAAGGCTGGAATTCCCTTCCATAAAAATTAGGCGTTCATTCAACGCAAAAAACTTGGATTTGTCCCAAATTTACCATGCGTTTCCGTTGGTAGGACCCATTTTGAAGGTTAATTCCCATTATATTTTGTTGCTCCTTCCTTAAATCCGTCGTACGATGGTCAAATCCTCATCATTTCTTGGCTGGTGAAGTCCCATCAAAATCCAGTTCGTGATTCTGAAATCCCAAGTTTGGCCAGTGAAATCCCATGAAATCCCAATTTTTTAATTTTCAAATCTCCATTTTCCTCGATCAATCCATCGAAAATCACCATTTTGGGCTGGTGAAACTTCCCCTTTTTTTGGTCACCACCGTGGCCACCCGTGGCGGCCACGCCAGGTCTGGGCCTGTTTGACCTCTGCCGACCTGGCCGCGGACCTCGCGGACCTCGCTAGTGGCGCGGGTCACGCCGACGGCGCGGAGGCGGAGGTCCAGCGGCTGCTGGGCGAGGCGGTGCCTGGGCAAATGTGATGAGGATCATATTAGGATCTACCATCCATTTATGTCAAACTTAGGGATGGTTTCTTATTGTTTTAACCACATTATCTGGTTGGTGGTTTGGAACATGAATTCTATTTTCCATTTCAGATATGCGATAATCCTTCCCATTGACGAACTCATATTTTTCGAGGTGGTTGGTCAACCACCAACCAGGGATAATATTAGGATAATCTACATTGGCAATTAAATGTATATTATCCCATGAAATCCCAATTTTTGTTTATATGCTAATTACATCTAATTACACTATTTATAATATCAGGATAATTTGAAGAATAGGCAAAAAATATGTGATTAGGAGAATTATCCCAATAGGATATATTAGGATATATAGCTATACTATACGGATGATTACTCATGGATAATTATTACGGACCCCCATTATTACAGATATTATATTGCTAATGGATTATTCCTAATGGATTATTACTAATGGATTGTATCTATATATGGGGGTTTCTCAAGTCATTGGGGGACCCCCATTATTCGTCGTCACCCTGGGTTAACCTATTTCCAACAAGTCATGGAAAAATGACTGGGATGATTTGGGCGGAACCACCGGAAACCTTTAGGAAACCATGATGTACCCGGCCTGGTAAACATACAAAAAGCGATTGAACATGACCATTGAAATAGTGAGTTTTCCCATGAAAAACGCATGGTGATTTTCCATAGCTACGTTAGTTTACCAGAGGGTATCATTGGTAATTATGATAATTGGTATGATATAATTGGTAAAAACATATATGGTTACTATAGATTTATCCCAACTGTCCAAATTATGGTAATGGCAACCTTTTGGCAACCACAATATCCCTGAGCAATGGAAAGTTGTCATAGCATATTTACCCATTTCTATGACTATGACGATTACATAGGAATACAATAATGGTAATTGGGAATGGCCATTATTATACCTATATATATATATCCACTGTAGTCTGAGTAATAATGGAAGATAATACCTAGTATACAATGGGGATCAACATTTGCTACTTTTTATGCATCATTAGTTAGGCAAGTTTGTTCATAACCAAATATCACGAGTTATTTATAAACCAACCAATGCATACATGGGTCGATTATCCCCCAGTGGATAAATGGATTACTACTAATAGAGGGCTGATCCATCCATGGATAAGTCTTCGCGATGTATAGGGATGATTACTAGTTGATAAATACCAACATGATCATTATGGGATAAAATGATATGTATATATATATGCATCTTGCTAATACTTGTATACACCTGTATTCTTGGCCCTGCAGCTAGATATCCATCCAGTACCCCATACGCATGACATCCCATAACCGCAGATTTGCTTGGGAGTCACCGCTGGCAGGATCCTCGAACCACGAAGGTTTAGGTGTAAACCCAACATGAAAACGACAAGCATCACCTTTTCCGGCTGACAGTTTTGATATTTTTGATACCCTCTGGTTATTTGACATAGCCATGGAAAATGGCCCATTTATAGATGATTTCCCATTAAAACCTCCATTTATGAGGGATTTTCCATGGCTATGTTAAATAACCAGATGGTAATTCTTTAGACAATAGACACGTAACGTGAGCATGCATTGAACAGCAATATTGCATTATACATGTAATGTAGGGCTAAGATGAGATACCCTCTGGTAATCAAATGTAGCAATTGAGCATCCAATTTTTAATTGGGTTTGAATGAGAAAAACAATATCTGGTTGGTGGTTTCAAACATTTTTTATTTTCCATAATATATGCGATAATCCTTCCCATTGACTAATATTTTTAAGATGGTTTAAGCCACCAACCAGATATAAATGGTATAAATGGCTGATTTTTTCCACTGCCATGTTTGATTATGGCAGGGTCAGTCATTCTGTCTCCATTTGCGGCACAGGATTTTGTCGGCTCTCTGAGGCGGTGATTTCCAATGAGTCGGATCAAAAGATTGCTTCAAGTCTCTCGGCAATTGTTTTTGTCATAATCTGAGTGGATTTTTGCTCGTCATGTGTCGCATGTGTCTATTGATATGTATTTACATATATATATATATGTATTGTACATATACATATATACATATACATATATACATATACACATATATATATACTAGGGATATTGATATACAACGCGTTTACACGACCGTACAATGCCTAATTTTTCCCACAACACAGAGATAAACATCTTTGGGATATTGTTCGCCGAATCATTCGTTCAATCTTTCCTCAGAATCTGGTTGATTAGATTAGGTCAGCCTTTTTTTCACCCAAGGAACCCAAAACAAATCACATAATTTGTGGGTCCCGTGGTGCCTCCATCCACAAATGAGCTGTGGTTTTTTAGCTTCTCAGATGATATTTGCCACGATTTTTTTGGATCAGATGGATCAGATCGCCCAGGAATCAATCTAAATATATAGCTTTAAAAATGGGATTTGGCCACTGCACATTGTACCTCTTGACGTGGATATGGAGAACAAACTGCACGTGAGTCTCATTGGCGCGCATCTCAGGTTTGGTCAAATCCTCAACTTTTATCAGTGCCTATGCTCTTTGTTGAATTGGAAAAGGTCTCCAAACGCACCAATTTCAGGTTGGTTTTATATGCCCTGCAGGATATGGCAGAATTCGTGCAGACAAGATTGATACAGTCTATAGGGTCTACCCTCTGGTAATTTAACATAGCTATTGAAAATTGCCATTTATAGTGGATTTTCCCATTAAAAAATAGTGATTTTCCATAGCTATGTTAGTTTACCAGGGTCTATAGGTCAACATTTGACGCCACAACTTGTTTGTCAGATCACCACATCATCCCGACATGAAAATCCATGTTTCGGTTACCCTTTGCGACGCCAAGACGACACCAAACGAGAGCTGAGTACGAAAGAGTACGAAGATTTCTAGCAATGTTTGAGCAATATTGAATAAAGCTGAAACTATCCAGAGACACTATTCATTATTCAACTATCAATAAACCTGTTATCCAGAAACACTCTCCGGCAATCGAACTTGTCACTGCAAATCCTCCCGGATTTTCCCAGCTAGAAACCTCCATTATTTCGATGATTTTCCTGCCTGCCATGTTTCCTAGAAACGATCCCACGGGGAGATCCAACGACCAACGACCAGTTCAAAGTTGTCTGAGGTTTGCAAAGGCTGTGTGCTGAAGCAGAACAGATGCAGTTCAACCTTGCCTCTATGGCCACTTGGCGGAAGTCTTTGGCCCGGACTACCAGTGACTGAAAACCGCGGGTCTATTTGGGCAAAAAAAGGAAAGCATGGGACCAAAGAACTTGGAGAAATCGGAAGAATTGCTTGGTGGTGTGAAAAATATTTTCTAGACTATCCAGTGGTTAGGAGGGAGCTAAGGAGGAGCTATGGGTATTCATATTCCCTATTAAATGGGGAGCTAAGGAGCTACCACGAGCTTCCCAACCACATACTAGTAGATAATTTTCAAGTCTATTTGGGATGATGAGCATCTTTTTGAGGTGGCTCAGCTATCTGTTGGAATGCTGTCTCAAAAAGCTTCACTCCGAATTGGTGACGATGTGTGAAAGATGAGACCTTCGAAAGGTATTGGCATAGAATGTTGCACACAACTTCTGATGCAGGGGTCATCTTCTTTTATATTTATTCCAAGATTTTTCTTTTGGGTGGATCGAATCAAAAATCAAACTCTTGGATTTACATATGTGTCCAGTTTTATATAGACTGGTCCTGCAATCACACAACTCACTAGCTGTTTACATTTTAAAAATAGATCGTTTTACCTTTGGCCAGGGATCAAATTGCCTCTTGGGTAAAGTGGTGAAATCCCATCAAATCACAACGTGATTTCTGTGGCCATTTTCCACTTCGCAAACTGCTACTTTACCGGAGGCGAATATCCTTGAAAACCATCATTGGGATGGAATAGCCATCATTAATGTCCATCATTGGTTAACCATGGTTAACCTAAATCATAGGTTGGCATCAAATGTTAGTTGACCTGAGTCATAGAATTGGATGATGGGAAAATTTACAGGAAACCCCTACATTTGATGGTAAAAACCATGGTTTCCTGTAGATTTTCCCGTAAACCAATCCAGTGACTGAGGGTATTTTGAGTGGTTCAATCACCCTTTCCATCGCTCGGCGACGGAAGCGACGCGTTGAGGTGGCCAAGATCACTCCGCCGGGCCCCTTGGCGCCGCGAGCAACGGCGGTATCGGCGGTCGAAACAACCTCGGGGTGGGATGTGCAGGCGAGACTAACTGATGGGGAGAGAATTTCTGGGTTGAGAATTAGCGACGTTTAAGCATGTTTAAGCCATCACACATATATATATACACATAACTATTTATATATTTAATATATAATATATTATATTATATTATATGTACATTATATATATATAACATATTATATCCCTATGGATCCACTTAAGTACCTTCTTGAAGTAATTATTTGGGGTATGGTTTAGGGGATGAAGTGCCTTCTCAGGAAGTGTTTGGATCCAAGGGGTATGATGTGTGATGTGTACGTTTTTTTTTTTTAACCAACACATTAGCGAAACCCTTTTGGATGGATCACAACCTATGAAATATATTGAAATATATTGAAATAATGCAATATTTGGATATATATATACTATATGAGTGTATGTTTGGTTGCATATTTCTTCAACCCTGAAAGCTGCGACGGCTAAAATGTGTTTCCAAGCCCAGTGTTGCGGAGCGACCCGACTGGGATTCAACCAGTGCCTTGACCGTGGGAGCTACCCAGACATCCAGGAGATGTTCTTGGCATTTTTCAAAGTAATGAGATCGTCAGAGTTAAATTAGCGATAGAATATTCAGAAATGTAAATATGTAGATGTAGTTTTAGATTAACGTTCTGATGAATGGTACAGAAAAGGGCCCTGGAGTTGTAGGTGGCTTTAGACCCCCATCTCTAACTATAGATATACCATGATATACCATAAGTTCTAGCTAACCCAGCAAACCAAGTGAAACCTACGCAGTTCATGGTATCGCATTAAGATCCCATTGACCACCACTTGGTATTGAATCCAAAATTTCAATCCTAAAGGTTCCGATTTTTAGTAGTAAAAACTTAAGAAACTATAATTCTACTATAATTCCATTTATAGATGATTAGTCCTTGCTATCCAATTTATCCCTATTATAATCATGGTTGGACTATTGTACAATCCCTATTGTAATCCCATTGAACCAGCATTTTTGCTAGTTAGAAACTATACTCCCACCATAATCCCTATCATAACCCCTATCAGAATCCCATGAAACCTATGTCAATGGGAATTTCAGGATCCTAAAATAGAGGTACTGTACCATATAAGGCCATATTTTGTGGGGATATTCCCTGAAAGTACCTCGAATTTAGGATCCTGAAATTCCCATGAAACCTATGAAACCTAGCATTTTTCCATATGTTTCCCATCCACCCGGTGTTCCAACGCCAGGCCATGCCTCCAACACTGGGGTTTCGATGGCCGAGCGGCGCCCAAAGCCTCGAAGACTACGAAGAACGCCTGGCGGCGATGCCCGAGTCTGTGGCCATTAAAAGTCGGGGAAACCTGGAGCTGGAGGATGGGATGGGATTATTATATATATAATTAGTATATATATATAATACATATATATATATATAATATGAATATACTATATTAGCTATATATATATATATGTATTCGATGTTATTATTATTAGTATTATTATTATTATATATATATTCTACTTGGATTATGATAATTAGTGTACTATATCAGCTATAGGCTATATTTATATATATATTGTATAATATAAATTGGGATTATGATAATTCCTCATTATTCTAATTCATTACGACATGGGAATTCTATTCATAGCCAATGAACTAATGAATTCTTATTTTTTTCCATTCGGGGAAGCCAAATCATGCATTCATATTGACTATGTATTCTATGAGCTATGGAATGATTATTCATTTCATATGATTATATAATTAGTAATGTATTCTTGTTCAGGTATTATTCATATATATATATTATTCTTATCATTATACTATATTACATCAGGATGGATAATTTATACGATTTTTATTCCATTATACTATATTCCATTAATATATATATATATATATTAGCCATATTATTTTTATCATTATATATCCATTATATTTCCATTAGGATGGGATGATTTTCTGAATAAGTTAGAATATTATCAACCAACAGGCGATGCCCAGGCCCAGGCCCAGTGAGTTTCAAAGCTTTTTAATGGAGAACGGGATCCTTTTTTTGTGTTGTTCTGATGTTTATAAATTATATATGTATGCATAATGATATAATGATATAATGATATAATGATATAATGATATACTGATATAATGATATAATGATATAATGATATAATGATATAATGATATAATGATATAATGATATAATGATATATATATATATAATTAGATAGATAGATAGATAGATAGATAGATAGATGAGATGAGATGAGATGAGATGAGATGAGATGAGATAGATCGATCGATAGATAGATATATTCCTTTGTTTCTTGGATATATTGTTGTGATGTTTTCGGTTCGAGTATGTCTTGTCCTGTTTTTTCGGTCCCGCTCCCTTTACTCATTTTCTAGGGTTCATCAAGAATGGGGAAGCCACAAATGTCACCATATTCTTGGGCAGTTGATAGGTGGTAAACATCCCATTATTTTGGATGGGTTGAAAAACCATCCTTTTGGTAGTTGATCGGATTTCGCAACCATCCACCGTATTGCCAGAATATTCCCATCATGGGTATATAAGCCCTACCACCTGGGACAGGAACCAGAGAAATTCCTTAACATCATATCCCATTTTTCCAAGGGGAATTGAACATTGAAATACCTGGCGTTCACCAACTTCGGCTCGCGCTGAGGGGACTTGCAGTTGTCGCTGTCGAAGTTGGATTGTCGGCAAGATGAGCCCCTGGGCGGATGAGGTGCTCCATGTTTCTCCAGCCTTCGGTGTAAACCATGACCATCTATAAATGGTGGCTGTTTAATTGGCATGTTTGATTATAAGAGGCCACCTGAGGTTTAAAAAACACACTAAAATGAACATAGGGACATAGGGATAGGGGTATTGTTATTGGTAGTTTTTGTGATATCATTTTATCTCATTTGATATCCCGAAAATGAGATGATGATTCCAAGTGACATGGTAGGTTTAAGATGTTTGAGGATGGGTTGCCATCACCAATCAATTCTGCAAAAGAATTGAGTATAGCCCACGCAAAATGGTTTACCAAGAAAGACAAAAAATCATTTTGGCGTGAAACCATGACCCTCCGGTAATCAAACATGGCAAGCTGGACAGTCCGCCATGAAAAAAGTTCTATGATTTTCCCAGTTAGAAACCTTCATTGGGGACTTTCCAGCTGGTTCCCATTGTCCATGGTTGGGCCCCTTTTTTTATGCTTACCCTCCGGTAATCAAACATGGCGAACGCTGGAACGTTCACCATTTATAGTTGATTTTCGCTGAAAGACATCCATTTAGTTCAGGAATTTTCCAGCGGCCAGCCACGCATTGTTGATTGTGAAATCCCATGAAATCCCATTGAAAAACCATTCAAATCTCATGAAGTCTCATGAAAAACCATTCAAATCCCATGTAAATTCCATGAAATCCAGGCCGGCCAGTTCTTCATTCGCTCCTTTGCCCCGAGGAAAGACATCAATCGCGACACGTTGGAAGTGAACGGCCTGGAAGTGAAGGGAGCAGAGGTGGGGGAGACAAATGGGAACTGGGGACGAATGGGAAGTGAAGAATGGGGACATCATGAGGATATCATTTTTACAGAGACTTGCTATAGGTGACTTATCGAACTTCTTAATTATTAAGCCATGGTCCATTTCTTAATAATTAGGTGACTTCTCGAACTAAATATGGACCATGGCTTTGCTGTATTACCAGAGGGCGCCAGGGACTAGGGGGATGAGAAAGACCGCCATTCTCACATGCCCAAATGGTTTGGGTGATGTGGCGATTCTGATTGTTTATATCCCAATCGTTGTTAACTACATGATCATTTCGATTGTCTTGTCAGAGGTGTTTATTGGTTTTCTGGTTTTATCCCAATTGGTTGTATCCTCATTAATGTCATTTGGTTGGATTTATGTACATGCCCAAAGTTATTGTCGGAGTTGCCAGTTTCAAAGCATCACTGGTCTGGGGGGTATAACGATGTATAACTCGTCTATGAACGTGGAAGCACAAAGCAGCAAATGGGCGAGATGAACCCCAAACACCAGGCACACAAAAAACAGACCCCACTAATCATGGAATTTCAAATTTCAGAGTTATGAGTATCATTGAGGATCTATTTCAAGTTCTTTAAAAAACCAGTGGGTTTCTTACAGCTATGTTCCATGATTTTTCCTCCACCTCCCATGGAAATCCCTTGAGATTTGCAGCGCCAGGGCGGTTACCACGCGGCCGTGCGCGCGATCGCGGAGGTCTTAGACCATGGACGCGGATTCGGATGCAGCGCAGCGGCGCAAATGTTGCTGAGCGTCCTGAATCGTGGCTTGACTTGAGCTTATTGGTGCTAAACGCAGGGAATTTTCGGGAATGATCCATTTCATAACTAGTAATAATCATCCCAGCTACCCCAGTCCCATCCATTCCCTACGTTTAGCACCAGTAAGTGAGACATCTTGAGACATTTCGGGTGGTTTATCACTGTGGAACTGGGGATGAGAGATGACGAACAGATGTTTGGGATGGTACTCGTTGAAACTACCAAGCAGTAGGGCAAGGTCAACGCTACAGAACTGGGTAGTTCCCTGCTTGGCGATGCAGCTGGATCTCGGACCCGGGATTTCCTAGGGTTAGTTCTAAAGTTTACGGTGATTGTAGCTGCAGTTAGATCGGATTTGTGCATGCACTTGTATTGACTTGACAACTTGAGATGCTCCCTGACAATCTTGGTGAATGGTACTGTTGTTGGGAACATTTTTTGGTGGTTTCTGTTTGGTGAACTACCTCGTCTCAGCCCTTGAAAAATGCGTCAACTCTTTTCCTTCTTCTTGGCCAAGACCCCGCAATAACCTGCAATACCCTCTGTCTTGTCCTATGCCTTAAATAGTTAAAACCACATTTTCAGATGATTGAACCATGTTTAAGCAGTCGGATCTTTTACCGGCCCACAAATTCGACATTTTTGTTACATGTCATCTTAAACCTCTTGGGGTGGGGGTTGGGCGGGGTGGGGTGGGGCATGTCAACGTTCGTTTGCACTTGAAGTTGATGCTACGTCACGCATGGGGCTGGGTGGTGTGGGGTGGGGCATGTCAACGTTCGTTTGCACTTGCGTCATGAAGTTGATGCTATGTCAGGCATGGGGTTGGGGTTGGGTGGGGTGGGGTGGGGCATGTTAACGTTCGCTTGCACTTCCGTCATGAAGTTGATGCTACGTCACGCATTGGGTTGGGGTTGGGTGGGGTGGGGCATGTTAACGTTCGCTTGCACTTGCGTCATGAAGTTGATGCTACGTCACGCATGGGGTTGGGGTTGGGTGGGGTGGGGTGGGCCATGTTAACGTTCGCTTGCACTACAGATACGTAGAGGCATATATAGATTCTTACCTGTAGAGTATTCGCATCTACATATGTATACATACACCGATATTGCGATCATACATATGGACACATATATAGATATGATACATTTGTAAATATATAGATATGATACCTGCTGGCCAAAACGGGCCTCTACCTGGCAAAGCTGTGAGCTGAAAAAAGGAAAACCGAACTCGGCACGTTTTTGACCACAAAATGCTGGAAGGTTTGACGAAAGCATCTTGCGATGAACTTTTTTTAAGAAACTTTTTTGGACCCAGAATGTGCGTTTGGCTAGCACGAGAACGACGTTTTTGAGAAATCATGGGACGGTGAAAGATCCGTCGGGATGTTTAACCATCGTTTGATTTGTTGAAGCAGCATTTTTTTCAGTTCATTCCCCCCATTGCTGGCCAAAGGCACCACCAGTGGTTTCATGGCCTTTGAAGAGGTTTTGAAGCTCCTTGGCTCCTAAGAAGCTTCATTTGGTGGTTTCCTAAAATGGGGGTACCCAATAGCTGGATGGTTAAAGGAAAATCCATCAATGGATGAGAACTAGGGGTATCACCATTTATCAGGAAACCCTCATTCCGCGAAAAAAAATCCAATGGTACTGTGCTCGGGGATCCAATTCGGACACAGCGAAAAGGCTTGGCGGCTTGGCTTGTTGATGACTTCACTGGAATCCCTCTATGAGCTGAAAATTCAGGCTGTATGTTTTGGAAATCCCATGGTTCTATGTTTACCCGTCAAGGGGGATCCAGATACATTGGAAAACCAAAGCTCAGATTGCTGTGAATTGGTATCATTGACCCACATTCATATTACCCATCCAGACCCATCAGATTGCTGCGGTTCAACGGCAACCAACATATTTTTTTCTGGTTGGTGCTTTGGAACATGTTTTATGACTTTCCATTCAGTTGGGAATGTATGGAATGTCATCATCCCAACTGACGAACTCCATCATTTTTCCAGATGGTTATTGCACCACCAACCAGATTATTATTAACCATCATTAACCATCATTAACCATCATTAACCATCATTAACCATCATTAACCATCATTAACCATCATTAACCATATAATAACCACATATTAACCATTATTAACATTTTTCAAGATGGTTATTGCACCACCAACCTATTTTCAGCCTGGCAATCCCCTGATTTTCGACTTCCGCTCCTGGCCTAGGCTCCTGGAGGCGGACGTCGTGGTCATCTCCCCTGAAAGCGCCTCCGCACGGCCGCTGGAGCTGTCGATCGTGGGCGGCATGGCCTTGGGACGTGCACACACGCGTGGCGCGGCGGTGCTGGGGGATGGGTTGATGGCGATTTCATCAGCGAAAATTGGGGGGTTCAGATGATTCAATGGGTTTTAATGGTGTTTATAACATGATGTAACAGCTGCTCCCATCAAATTGGGTTCCCTAAGTTCAGGGGGTGTAAGTATTCTAAATAGTTGAAGTTATGTACGATTGAAACCTAGGACATGATATAACTGGTTGGTGGTTTCGAACATTTTTATTTTCATAATATATGGGATAATCCTTCCCATAAACTAATATTTTTCAAGATGGTTAAAACAACAAACCAGATTATTATTAACCATCATTAACAAAAAAAATCCACATATTAACCATTATTAACAGCATATATTCCAATAACCAACGATTCAATACGACACCTCCAAGGAAACCACTGTGACCTCGATGTTGGATGGTTGAACCACGTCATGTTTGGTGTTTGGTCCTTAAATTTCTGTTTGGTGAGAATCTCGACCAGGCTTCCAGTGTGTGTTACAACCCACACACACACATTCATTACCCTCTGGTAAACGTTTACATAACTATGGAACATCACAATTTTTCATGGGAAATTTCACTATAAATGGTGATTTTCCATAGTTATGTTAGTTTACCAGAGGGTGTTTATGTTCTTGTAATGGTTTCTTCATCATACTTCTTGGACAACTATCTACCTGCATCTTTTCTACTTGGATATGCATCCAAAGAATCTTACGTGGATAAATAATTTTTTAACATTGGATTTTCACCTTAATTCTATAGACAATCCGATTTTTCATGGGTTTGAAGGTCAAGAGCCTGGGATCATCCGATTTTATCTTCCCATAGACATACATAATACAGTACATTCAAGTCCATGTCCCCAATTTTCATTCAAATTCATTCCCATTAAAATCCCAAGTTTTTGTTCTTTGGTAAGATCTTTCCATAAATCAACATCAATTCAGCATATGTTCCCCATTTTTTGCTTCTTTGGTCCATTTTTTCCAACCCCTCGTGGCTCCCACAGCACCGTTCAACGCCCTTGGCGCCACGAGGCTACGCGGTGCATCGCGCGGACGCGTCGGGGCAGCTGCTGTCGGTGGATGCCTTCGTCTGTTTTCGCGTGGAGGGCGATGCCTGGCATAGAATGGATTGAGGGGATTGCCATACCCTCAACTACTCAAGGTCACTGGGGGGTGGGGGAGTGAATTTCCTAGCGTCTGAACTACTATACAGGCCCCCCACCCAAGTAGTTGATGGTATGGCAATCCTTTATCCAAAGTTTATAACACATCATCCATTGATTGTCGCTGAATTCCAGGTTTTTAGAAGGACATGATAAGAACACGATGATTCACCAGTCTTTCTTGGAAGAATGGGTATAATTAAGCATGTTTTCAGAGAAACCCATATTATTGATGATGGGTTGGTGAGAACTAATATGCTTTTGAGAAACATTTTTTTGAAAGATAATTTTTGGAGTTTTCTTTTTTGGGAGGGTACATCTTTGGTGGGTTTTGGTATTTAAGGATTATGCTAGGGGGAGAATTAACATACTTTGAGCCCTTGACTAGTGTTTTTAGTATTGTTTATTGGTTTAGTTTTTTTTCCCGATGTAAAGGGTAATTAGCTCTTTTGTGGTTTTGGAAACACAATAATGACATATAATAATGTTGAATAGTCAACGAAGACCATGCAGAGTATTATATAGGTACAACAAAACATGTTTTGTGTTCTGTATCACATGGGAGCAACGCGTCTGGGTACAAGACACCCCTTTTTTGTTTTCCGTAGCTGTATGTAGATAGAACCCTGTTTTGTAGCCAGATATGTCACTCAATTTGGGAAGGGAGATGACATTGTGTGTTTTTGTATCCAGAATCTTACCCAAAAAATCCTGTGAGTAATAATACGTAAATTTCGGATGTATCCTGAATCTGCACATTGTTGTTGGTTAAAAAAATACCAATTTGTCAAAACCACCATTGAATCTCGGCAGAACAGATTGAATCTCAAATGGGCCATCACACCATTTCGGTCAGGGATGATTTCCTTTACATATAGGATTTACTAAACATGATTTGAGGTCAGTATTTTGCCAAGAATCAATCCACATATATATATATATATATATGTATAATCCCCCATTGTGGCTATTACGGGTGAAAACATAAAGGAATCATTTACACACTATTAATGAGTTATATATATATAGTTATTCTATACAAAACACTAATGGTTAAACTCACTTCACTCCTATTACAATCAATAGGATCATAGAAACAATGGCTCGTAGGACTCAGTTCCATAGAGGCATTCTTAATCCATTGATGGGTCGAGAATTGCTCCATTCAACTGAGTTATACAAACCTTGATAATGTGGTTAAAACAATAATAAACCATCCCCAAAATCACCCTTTTTGTAGGTGATATAAGCCATTCCCAAATGGGTGGTTTATCATTGTTTTAACCACATTAAACAATTTCTCGATGTCAATGGGTTAGAGTCAATAATCCACCCTGAGTAATCAAACATGGCAGCTGGACAATTTGCACCAAGAATGTGCATTGAAATAGTACAATCATGGAACTAATTATGGCTAGTGGATTTTCCAGCTAGCCATGGAGCTGCCAGAGGAACACTGAGTCATCACACTGGAAATTCGAAGTCAGGAAGCAAACGTCCAGCTGGCTCCGACCGGTCATAATTATACCCTTCGGCAAAAAGCACGGCTAGCTGGGAAATCCCCAAAGTTTCATGGATTTTTAACCGGAAAACTGAGGAGCAACATCGAACTAAATGGGGAAATTTCCAGCTCATGTTTGATAACAGAGTCATCATTGGGGACTTATGGGGGTATAGTTCATTCGGCTATATCCCCTAATATGGCTGTGAGTCAAAATCCTGGTACCGTCGGTGAATCCCAGCAGGGAGTTATGAATGTTCCCCGAAAAGGACTGGAATCTGTTTTTTGATCATTCAGCCCCATGTCACCATGATCTCCGTGAAATGCTTGGTTCAAATCCATGAAAAATCCACTATTTAAAAGGGTTGCTTACGCTTGGTGATTCTTGATTACCCCGAGGACATTCCCATGATATCGCAGTTTTTCTTCGTCAAATCCCATGACCATCCGTAGTCCCATGGGTTCCATGGAAATCCATGGAAATCCCCAGATTTTTCTGTTTTTTTCCTATGTTTTTCTATGTTTCTCTCTTGGTGAAATCGGAAATCCCCATCTTTTTGGAGAATCCTAAGGAGAAACTACAGCAGCTGGTGGAGCAGGTGGAGCTTAAGGTCCAGCCTGGATGTATTTCGAAGCTTAGGCAATTTTTTTGGGCAAATCTAACCTTTTTTATCATCAAACATGGTGATTTTACCAGCAAAAATGGTGATTTTTTAACCATAGTATATTTGAAGCCATATTAATGATTTAATGTACAGTTTCTTGGCTAGAACTCATGAGAATCCAGTATTTCTGTATATATATATATAATATATATTTCTCAGCATTTTAAATGGAAGTTCCAGGGTAGAATCCAGTTTTTTTTCGCTCGAAAAGTCCAGTTTGTTGTTGCTGCGAATTCGATATCTTGGTCGCTTCAAGGCCCACACACATCTTGGAATCCCTGCAAACTTTTGTCAGACTTGGATGAACGAGAAAAAAACACAATTATGATCAATTGTGCTTATAGAAAGCACTACAATTTTCCGAGATTATTTATTTTCTTTAAATTTCCATAGATTTTCCAACACTATACCCCTCTAGATTTTCCTATAGGTTGTCTGATATGATATGTTAATATATTTTATTGATTATGGATTTTCCTATAGATTATTGATGTTCATTGATTTCCTATAGATTTTCTGGTGTCTCGTCGATTTTATATGTAGATTTTCCCAAGCACCGTAACCGTGACTCGACACTCGTCACGGACGACGTCGACGGAAAGACCCGCTGGAACGGCAGGTCGCGTGCAACATCTTGATTTACAAGCCGCTGGTCGACGAGTCACCGTGGAGGATAGATGATGGGTCAAAAACCTGGTATCCGGATGCCTCAAATAGCTGGTATAGCTGGATGATTCTTCCCCCCAAAATGGTAATAATAATGATAACACTAATAACACTAATAACAATTATAATATTGATAATAATAACAATAACAATAGCAATAATGATAATAATAGTTTATAGCAATAAATAAACCTATATTATAATATTATATTGTTATTTTAATAAACCTATAATAGGTTTTGACCTATCCCAAGATGTCCCAAGTTATCGTGGGTTACTGGAAATCCGAGGCTATGCGGCAGCACGATTTTCAGGGGTTTTTCAGCACCGTTGATTCTTGATGTGATGGTTATGGGATGTTGTGGTGAAAGTAAGGCAAGCCATCATTTCAATGGGAATTTCAGGATCCTAATATGGAGGTACATTAGTACCATATAAGACCATAAGTGTAGATATGGTAGGTACCTCCAATCAATCGGTTCCTGAAATGGCCATTGATCATTTTTTGGGGGATATGATTGATATGATATCCGATGCACGCATGAATCAATACAATGCAACAGACTATATAGTAATATGCATGTAGAAGCCATGACGGCTTGACTCCCTTATCCCTTTCTAGTGGTCTGTTATAATACGATTTCCCAAAGTGCATAGGATTTCAACCAGAAAAACCTATCATTTCGTGGTATGTTCTTTTTGCGGTGTGTAGATCTTCATCACCAGGTGATGCCAAAAAACGTAGCTGGGAAGCTCCCCCAGTAGCTGATGTGATCAACTCAACTTCATCGGGTCCCAAGATTGTGGCCAGTGGCCGCCTAGGATTTTGACATTCTGAGGAATCCAAAGAACCTAACCTGGCTGGGTCAGTTGGTCAACTCGTTGAAGCCATGCATGCTGGTTAGTAGGAACAATGCCTTTTTCAAGGCAAGGACTTGACATTTCCCCGGCTTCTCATCTCATTTTGTAACCTCCACTTCTATGGTACATACTCATATAATATAATGTAATACAATATAATACAATATACTATAATATAATATTTTATACTATACTATACTATACTATAATATACTATAATATACTATAATATACTATAATATAATATAGTATAATATAATGTAATGTAAAAATATAATATATAATAAAATATAATAAAATAATAATGGTATCCCGGCAATTCTATCCCAATGCCTCTCCATTTTTTCCACATTTCCCAGCATCGGATTGAACATCTTGAAGACGCCCCGTGGAGGTTACCCACCATTTGTAGATCATTTTCCGATGGGCGTTCCCCATGGGTTTTCCACGTTTTTTTGAAGTATCTCTGCCCCATTTACACATATATATATATATGTATATCAAATTACATATATATATATATATAACAGATAATATAATATACATATACATCCCATGAAATCCCTATTGTTGATGGTTAAATCCCCATTAAATAGCATTAAATCAGCATTTTCCATAGCCCGCTTGGGGCAGCTCCGGGCTATTTCAAGGCGCTGCCTGGCATGCCATCTTGGAAAGGTGAGCGTATCCACGGGGTCAACCTTGGCTCAAGGGTCACTATATTGAGAGTTGGCAGTCGAATTTACCCAAACTGAACCCCCCATCGTGTTGATACTGACCATCAGCTGTTACTATTGATGTCCCCATTTGGCGAGACCCAAAGTGCCTCCCGGCCGTTTTGCTCACGCTGACATTTGGCCAATTCGATGAGGTCTCCGGCGAAATCGGGCTGAGCAAAGACCTCGTGTTTTTGCCCAGAGATGGTGGCAAAAAGGCGCAGCGCGAATGGCGGAAGATCATCCCACTGTGAATTGTGACCAAAGTCGTGGAAAGATCAAGAAAGAGTCTTGCCTCTGGCCCTTCAGATTGGATGGTTTGAGATCCTATAGAAATATCTAAAACGTGGCCAAAATTGTGTCAAGATGGAAGATTTGGTGTGACTCCAAATTGCAACACAGCAAGTTGCAAAGGCATGTGGGGATGTGCGGGTTGGGAACTTCAGAATTACCCTCTGGTAAATTAACATAGCTATTGAGCATGACCTACTTATAGTTGATTTAACCATTAAAGTGGTGATTTTCCATAGTTATGTTAGTTTACAAGATGTTATACATTAAGTTTGTCATAAAAAGGCGGACAATCATGGGGAGGAATTGGGATTTCTTGCAAATTTTAGCACCCTCGATGTTGGGGGTCCATGCACAATGGGTGCTCAGATTTTTGGTCGGATCCCCAGAACACCCAAAATCGATGGCACCTGAGGAAGCCAGCCTCCCTTCTTTGGACTTTTTCAATCTAATTAGCAGAATTTGTGAAGGTCTTTTCATGGGACCGCTTCCATTGATGCAACATGTCGATTTGTTTAGGTGATTTACAGTAAGCATGGTTTATGTTGGAGTTGTCAGTGTTGAAACATTCCACTTGACGAGCATACTATGCTCTCCAGCCGTGTGATTCCCGCATAAAAAGGACATGTCTCTATTTGTTTCAACTTTTCCCAAAATGTAGGGTTTCCATAAATTGTGGTACCTCCAAAATGGATTATTATTTCATGGAAAATCCATTTATAAATGGATGATTTGGGGGTACCCCCATGTTAGGAACCCCCAAAATCTTGCCCGTTTCTAAATACCTTGAAACCAATGTTTTCGGCGGACCTCAGGATATTCCCTTCAGCTCTAGATCATAGTTTTCTGCAGCAAGACAGGAGCAGCCATTGGTGTTAACTGCCACACTGGAAAGATACTTAGTGCAATTTATATTGTATCAATGTACCTAAATTTGGGAAACATAACTCACTGGTTTGCAACGTTTGCAACTCTTGACAGCTGAGCCACAGCGAAAAGCATCGGTGACCCATCTCCATTTTCTTCATCTTTTCCATCGCCACGGGCCATGGCGCGGCTTCATGCCTGGCTGGTTTCGGTCCTGCTGAGTTTGACAGATGCTGCCCTTCAGGCCAGAGATGGTTAGAAAAAAAGACACAAAAGAAACGACGGGATGAAGCAATTTTTTGGGAATGAACTTACTCTTCCTTGTTATTCATCCTTCAGCTCTTTGTTTTTTTTGGGATGAACTTCATAGGAATATTTGGTGAATTCATTTTTCAGCTCCGACTGAAAGCAACGACCAGATGACCTTTGGCCCAGAGTAGACAACAAATGACAGGCGATCCAAAGTGGTGCCGCTTGCAAGATGTTTTTTTCTTGATGTCAGGCTTGTGAAGATGTGATCTTGTACCTTGTGCCTTGTTGTCTTATTTGCTTGCATTCGGCCTGCTATTTCTATGCAGACTGAGAGCCAGTGTTGCCAAGATCCCTTTTAGATCCTTTTGGCTTCTGACAAATCAGCATTGCCAAGTTTAGTATTCCACAATATCTGGTTGGTGGTTTCAAACAGTTTCTATTTTCCCATAATATATGGGGATGTCATCCTTCCCAACTGACGAACTCCATCATTTTTCAAGATGTGCACATTGCACCACCAAGCAGTGCAACGAATGGCACGTTTTCAGATGCGAAATCTGATGCAGATTCATCCCTCTAAAAATAGCCAGCCAAGTGATGCCTTATCTAGATACGAAGTATTTTTCGGATTGCGTATGGTATCCGGTAATATGTAACATGTGATAGCAGACATGAAGATACATTATGTATATGATATGATTACAATTGATTATACATATACATGACGTATGTATATGTATATCCAGCATCGAGGTAGGGCCCCATCTCTACATGATTCACCACCCACTCTCCGACCACAGGAGGTTCACATTGGAACCAGTTATGGCTACAAGACCAAATGCGTTGCAACCAGAGGTGGGGGTTCTACGCAGCTCACTTTTGTGATGGGGGAGGCAGCAGAAATGTGGTCGAGATTCGAGAGCAGTTTCAGATACAATGTGATTCATGGTGTTTTTTGAGCATTTGGACGGGATGTCCATCCAAATGGCTGGTTTGCATCATGATGTCCTAAGAATTCATATAGGTGGGATGATTCCCGCGACGAGCTTCGACCTTGACACGTATAGCTATGGATGCTTCATTTGCCCAGCAGCCAATTGTGCTCAAAGCCATTGAAAATTTGTGAATTTCATTCCGAATATGTCACCCATGGCTCTTGTGCTGTCCGTGCTTGCTTCGTGGACTTCCAGTGTAGCAGCCAAAGGGCTTGATTCCTCATGCTTGCTGCAGACGATGGCGGGCCAGAACCGCCAGAACCTTTCCGACGGGCTTTCGCTGCCTGATGGTTGGACTGTGTTCTGCCAGGATTGTCAATGTGCAAACCAGGTGACTTTCCTGTCTGAGAATTCTCTTGACCCGTGCATCGCTCACTGCCAAGCTGGGGGTTATCCAGTGGTTGCTTTCCAGGAGGCAAGCGCGACCTGCCTTTGTTGCGGGGACACGAACCAACTCCCACAGAACTCCGCTTACAGCGGGATCAACATGTACCAGTTCCAGGAAACAACATCTACGAGTACAACATCTACGAGTACAACATCTACGAGTACAACATCTACGAGTACAACATCTACGAGCACCGGGTACAACATCCAGCAGAGCTCTGCCGAGGCCATCGGGGACCCACATATCAAGACGTTGGACGGCAGGAGCTACACTCTCGTGAGCCAAGGCACATTTTTACTATGGCATCTTGCCATGGAGACAGAGTGGCCATTCCAGTCTGGGGGAGAATCAGAATTCAAAAGAGCACCAGTGGAATGGCAAATTTACGCACATTATTCCGGCCGCCAGTCCTTTACCAAAGGCTTACTACTCATGGACATGTCTGGTGGATCCCACAAAATGCTGGAAATTACATCACAGAAATGTGAGTGGAGAGCCCGGAAAGGACACCAGGAGTGGATTGCAGTGAAGAGTTCCGACTCTGAACTCATCTCCCTGGATGCGGCCGGAAATGATGTAACGACTTTCAACTTGGTCACGACAAACGGTGCCAAGTTTCACAATCAGGTGCACATGAACATGAAGACAAAAGTCGGCAAGACAGACATCGCCGTGCTGAGGTTGAGCTGCAGACCGAATCACAACCTCAACCTTCATCTCACCATGGAACGCAGGCGCGAGTTGTCACTGCCAGGTATCAGGTGTTTGAATGTGTTTTATTGTTTTTATTTGGACTGGATGTAAGTGTTTGATCGAATGCACATGTGCATTTTCAATTCCAGAGTCAAGAAACATGAGCACATTGATGGGTCATTTTCTGATTGATTGTCCCGAGGAGCGATATGAAACAGGTCGAGGGGGAGGTCAAGATGGCTCGCAAGGCGTTGTCTACCTTGCAAACATCAACATCCACAGATTCGGAGTTTAAGGCGGCAAAGAAGTGGCAGGACCTCGGAGGAAGTGACGAAGCAGCTGCCTACCTCCACAGCGTGGATGAGTTGATGTTGATTGACGCCAACATGAGCAAGCTCCAGGAGTGCAACAGCCAAGAGGAGAAGGAATTTGAAAAGACCTGCTCCAAACATTTGAGGGCAATGGGTTCCCATGCAATCGCGGAGGCCACCTTCACGGATTTCTTGTTGGATTGCATCTATGACATGTGCAGAGGAGCTGGCGAGACAGCTGCAGAACTTGCCGCTGAGCTGCTTGCCTCTACTGCCAGCTGAGCCACCTGAGCCATGGCAATATGAGCCGTAGCCAGCCACTGAGCTATGGCATTTCAATTCCATCAATGGTTCCATTGGCAACGGTTCCATTGTTTCCTGGGTCGAGACCTCTCCCCAAGTCCAAAAATGATAAGGACTTCTGTCCTTTTTCTCTGGGATGCAATTCTCTGGGGTTTCTGTCCTTTTCGGATGGGTTTTTGACTTCCCATGCGTCCCCCATTCTTATCATGTTTTCAACCTCCATTGATTGAATCAGTTCTATCATGTTATATCATGTTCTATCCCAAAGATTTTGTTCACAGCAACCCCCAAAAAAGATACTGTACAAAAGTCAAAGCCTACGAAAAAATAGTAGCAACTTACCTTTTTCCCATCTTCTTGGAGGTAAATCCCCGTTTTCCTTCGGAAAAAAAACAACAAATCCCCCGATTTTTGCTGCCACGTTGCCACGTTGCCACGAGCCGCGGAGGTCCTGTGAGATGTCCTCGACACGTGTCCTATGTTGGGAACCTTTCAGATCTACCAACAGAACGGCAAGGTGCCAATGTCTGTGTCAAACATGGGAAAATGCAATGGTGGGATAATTATGCTGGGATTGTTCATGGGATATGTACCCTCCGGTAATCAAACGTGGCAATGGAAGAACATTCCATAAACATAGATATTTTTGCCAGCTATAAACCTCCATTTATGGGGATGTTCCATTGCCATTTTGATTGTGGCGTAGAGAAAATTAGCGTAACTTTAATGGTAGGGCCGGGATTCTGGCAAACCCATGTGGGGATGTCTCCATCCATCTGAATAGCATTGAGCACGCAGGAGGTGCGTAAACCGATTTCGCCACTTCACGCGACTTCACGCCACTTGAAGTGGCATGAAGTGGCATGAAGTGGCATGGTCACGGTGCGACCGCCACTTGAAGTGGCATGAAGTGGCATGAAGTGGCATGCTCACGGTGCGACCGCCACTTGAACTTGAAGTGGCATGAAGTGGCATGAAGTGGCATGCTCACGGTGCGACACGCCACTTGAAGTGGCATGAAGTGGCATGCTCACGGTGCGACACTACTACTACTTCTACTTCTACTACTACGACTACGGCTAGGACTACTTCTACTACTGCTACTACTACCACTTGTGCTACTACGACTACGGCTACGACTACTTCTACTACTGCTACTACTACCACTTGTACGGCTACGGCTACGGCTACGACTACTTCTACTACTGCTACTACTACTACTACTACTACTCCTACTACTAATGTGACTACGGCTACGACTACTCCTAGTACTACTTGTACTACGTTGTACTACAAAAGTTGCACAAAACAACTCCCAGCACTACTTTGTACTACAAAGCTTGCACAAACTACTTCCCAGTACTACTTTGTCCTACAAAGCTTGCACAAAGCACTCCGCAGTACTACTTTGTACTACAAGGCTTGCACAAAACACTTCCCAGTACTACTTTGTACTACAACAAAGCTTGCACAAACCACTTCCCAGTACTACCTTGTACCACAAAGCTTGCACAAAGCACTCCGCAGTACTACTTTGTACTACAAAAGTTGCACAAAACAACTCCCAGTACTACTTGGTACTACAAAGCTTGCACAAACTACTTCCAAGTACTACTTTGTACTACAAAGCTTGCACAAAGCACTCCGCAGTACTACTTTGTACTACAAAAGTTGCACAAAGCACTCCGCAGTACTACTTTGTACTACAAAACTTGCTCTTCAAGTGGCATACGCCACTCGGAACGCGAAGGCTACACAGTCAGCACGACACTCGAAGTGGCCTACGCCACTCGAAGTGGCATACGCCACTGGAAGTGGCATACGCCACTCGAAGTACTTCCCAGTATTACTTTGTACTACAAAAGTTGCACAAAGCACTCCGCAGTACTACTTTGTACTACAAAAGTTGCACAAAACAATTCCCAGTACTACTTTGTACTACAAAGCTTGCACAAACCACTCCGCAGTACTACTTTGTACGACAAGGCTTGCACAAAACACTTCCCAATATTACTTTGTACTACAACGCTTGCACAAAACACTTCCCAATACTCTTTGTACTACAAAGCTTGCGCGAAGCACTCCGCAGTACTACTTTGTACTACAAAGCTTGCACAAAGCACTCCCCAGTACTACTTTGTACTGCAAAAGTTGCGCAGAACAACTCCCAGTACTACTTTGTACTACAAAGCTTGTACAAACTACTTCCCAGTACTACTTTGTACTACAAAGCTTGCACAAAGCACTCCGCAGTACTACTTTGTACTACAAAGCTTGCACAAAGCACTCCCCAGTACTACTTTGTACTGCAAAAGTTGCGCAGAACAACTCCCAGTACTACTTTGTACTACAAAGCTTGCACAAACCACTTGCCAGTATTACTTTGTACTACAAAGCTTGCACAAAGCACTCCCCAGTACTACGTTGTACTGCGAAAGTTGCGCAGAACAACTCCCAGCACTACTTTGTACTACAAAGCTTGCACAAACTACTTCCCAGTACTACTTTGTCCTACAAAGCTTGCACAAAGCACTCCGCAGTACTACTTTGTACTACAAGGCTTGCACAAAACACTTCCCAGTACTACTTTGTACTACAAAGCTTGCACAAACCACTTCCCAGTACTACCTTGTACCACAAAGCTTGCACAAAGCACTCCGCAGTACTACTTTGTACTACAAAAGTTGCACAAAACAACTCCCAGTACTACTTGGTACTACAAAGCTTGCACAAACCACTTCCCAGTACTACTTTGTACTACAAAGCTTGCACAAAGCACTCCCCAGTACTACTTTGTAGTACAAAAGTTGCACAAAACAGCTCCCAGTACTACTTTGTACTACAAAGCTTGCACAAACTACTTCCCAGTACTACTTTGTACTACAAAGCTTGCACAAAGCACTCCCCAGTACTACTTTGTACTACAAAGCTTGCACAAAGCACTCCCCAGTACTACTTTGTACTGCAAAAGTTGCGCAGAACAATTCCCAGTACTACTTTGTACTACAAAGCTTGCGCAAACCACTTCCCAGTATTACTTTGTACTACAAAGCTTGCACAAAGCAGTCCCCAGTACTACTTTGTACTGCGAAAGTTGCGCAGAACAACTCCCAGTACTACTTTGTACTACACAGCTTGCACAAACCACTTCCCAGTACTACTTTGTACTACAAAGCTTGCGCAAAGCACTCCCCAGTACTACTTTGTACTACAAAAATTGCACAAAACAGCTCCCAGTACTACTTTGTACTACAAAGCTTGCACAAACTACGTCCCAGTACTACTTTGTACTACCAGACTCGCACAAAACATTTCCCAGTACTTTGTACCACAAAAGCTTGCACAAAGCACTCCGCAGTACTACTTTGTACTACAAAAGTTGCACAAACCAACTCCCAGTACTACTTTGTACTACCAAGCTTGCACAAACTACTTCCCAGTACTACTTTGTACTACAAAGCTTGCACAAAGCACTCCCCAGTACTACTTTGTACTACAAAGCTTGCACAAAGCACTCCCCAGTACTACTTTGTACTGCAAAAGTTGCGCAGAACAATTCCCAGTACTACTTTGTACTACAAAGCTTGCGCAAACCACTTCCCAGTATTACTTTGTAGTACAAAGCTTGCACAAAGCAGTCCCCAGTACTACTTTGTACTGCGAAAGTTGCGCAGAACAACTCCCAGTACTACTTTGTACTACACAGCTTGCACAAACCACTTCCCAGTACTACTTTGTACTACAAAGCTTGCGCAAAGCACTCCCCAGTACTACTTTGTACTACAAAAATTGCACAAAACAGCTCCCAGTACTACTTTGTACTACAAAGCTTGCACAAACCACTTCCCAGTACTACTTTGTACTACCAGACTCGCACAAAACATTTCCCAGTACTTTGTACCACAAAAGCTTGCACAAAGCACTCCGCAGTACTACTTTGTACTGCAAAAGTTGCACAAACCAACTCCCAGTACTACTTTGTACTACCAAGCTTGCACAAACTACTTCCCAGTACTACTTTGTACTACAAAGCTTGCACAAAGCACTCCGCAGTACTACTTTGTACAAAAAAAGTTGCACAAAACAGCTCCCAGTACTACTTTGTACTACAAAGCTTGCACAAAACACCCCCCAGTACTACTTTGTACTACAAAAGTTGCACAAAGCACTCCGCAGTAAACTACAAAAGTTGCATAAAACACTCCCCAGTACTACTTTGTACTACAAAAGTTGCACAAAACAACTCCCAGTATTACTTTGTACTACAAAGCTTGCACAAACTACTTTCCAGTACTACTTTGTATTACAAAGCTTGCACAAAGCACTCCGCAGTACTACTTTGTACTACAAGGCTTGCACAAAACACTTCCCAGTACTACTTTGTACTACAAAGCTTGCACAAACCACTTCCCAGTACTACTTTGTACCACAAAGCACTCCGCAGTACTACTTTGTACTACAAAAGTTGCACAAAACAACTCCCAGTACTACTTTGTACTACAAAGCTTGCACAAAGCACTCCGCAGCACTACTTTGTACTACAAAAGTTGCACGAAGCACTCCGCAGTACTACTTTGTACTACAAAGCTTGCACTTCAAGTGGCATACGCCACTCGAAGTACTTCCCAGTACTACTTTGTACTACAAAGCTTGCACAAAGCACTCCGCAGTACTACTTTGTACTACAAGGCTTGCACAAAACACTTACCAATATTGCTTTGTACTACAACGCTTGCAGAAAACACTTCCCAATACTACTTTGTACTACAAAGCTTGCGCGAAGCACTCCGCAGTACTACTTTGTACTACAAAAGTTGCACAAAACAACTCCCAGTACTACTTTGTACTACAAAGCTTGCACAAACTACTTCCCAGTACTACTTTGTACTACAAAGCTTGCACAAAGCACTCCGCAGTACTACTTTGTACTACAAGACTTGCACAAAACACTTCCCAGTACTACTTTGTACTCCAAAGCTTGCGCAAAGCACTCCCCAGTACTACTTTGTACTACAAAGCTCGCACAAAGCACTCCCCAGTACTACTTTGTACTGCAAAAGTTGCGCAGAACAACTCCCAGTACTACTTGGTACTACAAAGATTGCGCAAACTACTTCCCAGTACTACTTTGTACTACAAAGCTTGCACAAAGCACTCCCCAGTACTACTTTGTATTGCGAAAGTTGCGCAAAACAACTCCCAGTACTACTTTGTACTACAAAGCTTGCACAAAGCACTCCCCGGTACTACTTTGTACTGCAAAGCTTGCACAAAGCACTCCCCAGTACTACTTTGTACTACAAAAGTTGCACAAAACAGCTCCCAGCACTACTTTGTACTGCAAAGCTTGCACAAACTACTTCCCAGTACTACTTTGTACTACAAAGCTTGCACAAAGCACTCCCCAGTACTACTTTGTACCACAAAAGTTGCACAAAACAGCTCCCAGTACTACTTTGTACTACAAAGCTTGCACAGAACACCCCCCAGTACTACTTTGTATTACAAAAGTTGCACAAAGCACTCCGCAGTACTACTGTGTACTACAAAGCTTGCACAAAACAATTCCCAGTACTACTTTGTACTACCAGACTCGCACAAAACATTTCCCAGTACTTTGTACCACAAAAGCTTGCACAAAGCACTCCGCAGTACTACTTTGTACTACAAAAGTTGCACAAACCAACTCCCAGTACTACTTTGTACTACAAATCTTGCACAAAACACTCCCCAGTACTACTTTGTACTACAAAAGTTGCACAAAACAACTCCCAGTACTACTTTGTACTACAAAGCTTGCACAAACCACTTCCCAGTACTACTTTGTACTACAAAGCTTGAACAAAGAACTCCGCAGTACTACTTTGTACTACAAAAGTTGCACAAAGCACTCCGCAGTACTACTTTGTACTACAAAGCTTACAATTACTACTTCCCAGTACTACTTTGTACTACAAAAGTTGCACAATGGACCGGCAGTACTACTTTGTACTACAAACCTTGCACTTTAAGTGGCATACGCCACTCGGAACGAGAAGGCTACACAGTCAGCACGCCACTCGAAGTGGCACACGCCACTCGAAGTGGCACACGCCACTCGAAGTGGCACACGCCACTCGAAGTGGCACACGCCACTCGAAGTGGCACACGCCACTCGAAGTGGCACACGCCACTCGAAGTGGCACACGCCACTCGAAGTGGCATACGCCACTCGAAGTGGCATATGCCACTTGAAGTGGCATACGCCACTCGAAGTGGCATACGCCACTCGAAGTGGCATACGCCACTCGAAGTGGCATACGCCACTCGAAGTGGCATACGCCACTTGAAGTGGCATGAAGTGGCAAAATCAAAATCCACCACATTTGCTCGTTCTCTGGAAAATTAGCGTAACTTCAATGGTAGGGCCGGGATTCTGGCAAACCCATGTGGGGATGTCTCCATCCATCTGAAAGCTCTTCTGTTTATGAAAAAACCAGTTGGTTACTCACTGGCCATGCAACAGGAACCGATTGATTGGAGGTACCGATTCCATATATATATATATATTTTTGGCCTAAATTTCAGGAATATCCCTAGAAAATCTGGCCTTATATGGTACTAACGTACCTCCATTTTAGGATCCTTTTTTTTTCCCATTGAGTTATCCATAACCTATGAACTGGTTCATGAACATCCATCAGTTTATTTTGGGGATGTTCTCTGGGGGCTTTGGACCAACAGATCCAACAGCAAGGATCCACTGAATGGGGAGAATTGCCGCGAAACATCCTCGAGTTCGTACGGTAGTAGCTCTTTCTTGTTCAGGCAGTGGATATGGTGCAACATGAACCAAACTTTATAACTGGGGTGCTTCCTACATTGCATATGCTTTGTGTGGCTGAGTCATTGCAAATACATGATGTTAAATTAACCGATTAACTTAGATTGACTGTACACTCCATATTTGACATACCCATTATTCATGTCACACATGCATTGTATGTATCACTCTTAGTAGTCATAATTTTAATATTATTTGCTATTATATATTCATAATTACTCTACAGGATGGGGCCCCCCAGTTACAAGTTGGTTTATAACCCCATCTAAATATACGTAGTTATTTGCGTATCATACACTATTGTTATTATAGTTATGTTCACCAACTTAGCTAACGAACTCGGGCCCCATCCTGTACGCATACATTTATTTAAAAAAAAACCTCTGGTTATTTGTCACATCGCCACTGGTTTTTTTCACCATTTTTCAAGGGCAAATCATCATGTCATTCATGGGCCAATGGGCCATGACTTCCAGCTCGCAATTTCTGTTTTTTTACCAGAAGGGATACCAATTGTCCATTATTCATCCAGAGTTCACCATTATTTTCATCATCCTTAACCAACTTAACCATGATTATGAGTAATTATGAGCCATGAAATAATGTGGTTTCCATCAATGGGGATATCACAAAATGGACGGTTTATAACGGAATGGAAACATGGGAACTGGGGAAGAATGGGAAGTGAAGAATGGGGACATCATGAGGACATCATTTTTACAGAGAATTGCTATAGGTGACTTATCGAACTTCTTAATTATTAAGCCATGGTCCATTTCTTAATAATTAGGTGACTTCTCGAACTAAATATGGACCATGGCTTTGCATTACCAGAGGGCGCCAGGGACTAGGGGGATGAGAAAGACCGCCATTCTCACATGCCGAAATGGTTTGGGTGATGTGGCGATTCTGATTGTTTACATCCCAATCGTTGTTAACTACATGATCATTTCGATTGTCTTGTCAGAGGTGTTTGTTGGTTTTCTGGTTTTATCCCAATTGGTTGTACCCTCATTTGGTTGGATTTATGTACATGCCCAAAGTTATTGTCGGAGTTGCCAGTTTCAAAGCATCACTGGCCTGGGGGGTATAACGATGTATAACTCGTCTATGAACGTGGAAGCACAAAGCAGCAAATGGGCGAGATGAGCCCCAAACACCAGGCACACAAAAAACAGACCCCACTAATCATGGAATTTCAAATTTCAAAGTTATGAGTATCATTGAGTATCTATTTCAAGTTTTTTAAAAAACCGTTGGGTTTCTTACAGCTGTGTTCCATGATTTTTCCTCCACCTCCCATGGAAATCCCTTGAGATTTGCAGCGCCAGGGCGGTTACCACGCGGCCGTGCGCGCGATCGCGGAGGTCTTAGACCATGGACGCGGATTCGGATGCAGCGCGGCGCAAATGTTGCTGAGCGTCCTGAATCGTGGCTTGACTTGAGCTGAATCTGGTGCGTTTTACGCAGGGAATTTTCGGGAATGATCCATCTCACAAGTAATTTCATCATCCAAGCAACCCCCAGCAACCCATCCATTCCCTACGTAAAACGCACCAGTAAGTGAGACATCTTGAGACATTTTGGGTAATTTATCACTGTGGAACTGGGGATGAGAGATGACGAACAGATGTTTGGGATGGTACTCGTTGAAACTACCAAGCAGTAGGGCAAGGTCAACGCTACAGAACTGGGTAGTTCCTTACTTGGCGATTTCCTAGGGATTTCCCGGACCCGGGATTTCCTAGGGTTAGTTCTAAAGTTTATGGTGATTGTAGCTGTAGTTAGATCGGATTTGTGCATGCACTTGTATTGACTTGACAACTTGAGATGCTCCCTGACAATCTTGGTGAATGGTACTGTTGTTGGGAACATTTTTTTGTGGTTTCTGTTTGGTGAACTACCTCGTCTCAGCCCTTGAAACATGCGTCAACTCTTTTCCTTCTTCTTGGCCAAGACCCCGCAATAACCTGCAATACCCTCTGTCTTGTTCTATGCCTTAAATAGTTAAAACCACATTTTCAGATGATTGAACCATGTTTAAACCATCGTTTGATTTGTTGAAGCAGCATTTTTTTCAGTTCATTCCCCCCATTGCTGGCCATAGGCACCACCAGTGGTTTCATGGCCTTTGAAGAGGTTTTGAAGCTCCTTGGCTCCTAAAAAGCATCATGACTTGGTGGTTTCCCAAGTCGTGGGGGTACCCAATAGCTGGATGGTTAAAGGAAAATCCATCAATGGATGAGAACTAGGGGTATCACCATTTATCAGGAAACCCTCATTCCGCGAAAAAAAATCCAATGGTACTGTACTCGGGGATCCAATTCGGACACAGCGAAAAGGCTTGGCGGCTTGGCTTGTTGATGACCTCACTGGAATCCCTCTATGAGCTGAAAATTCAGGCTGTATGTTTTGGAAACCCCATGGTTCTATGTTTACCCGTCAAGGGGGATCCAGATACATTGGAAAACCAAGGCTCAGATTGCTGTGAATTGGTATCATTGACCCACATTCATATTGCCCATCCAGACCCATCAGATTGCTGCGGTTCAACGGCAACCAACATATTTTTTTTCTGGTTGGTGCTTTGGAACATGTTTTATGACTTTCCATTCAGTTGGGAATGTATGGAATGTCATCATCCCAACTGACGAACTCCATCATTTTTCCAGATGGTTATTGCACCACCAACCAGATTATTATTAACCATCATTAACCATCATTAACCATCATTAACCATATAATAACCGCATATTAACCATTATTAACATTTTTCAAGATGGTTATTGCACCACCAACCTATTTTCAGCCTGGCAATCCCCTGATTTTCGACTTCCGCTCCTGGCCTAGGCTCCTGGAGGCGGACGTCGTGGTCATCTCCCCCGAAAGCGCCTCCGCGCGGCCGCTGGAGCTGTCCATCGTGGGCGGCATGGCCTTGGGACGTGCGCACACGCGTGGCGCGGCTTTCGGTGCTGGGGGATGGGTTGATGGCGATTTCATCAGCGAAAATTGGGGAAATTCAGATGATTCAATGGATTTTCAATAGGTTTTATAAGATGATGTAGCCGTTTGATCCCATCAAATTGGGTTCCCTAAGTTCAGGGGGTGTAAGTATTCTAAATAGTTGAAGTTATGTACGATTGAAACCTAGGACATGATATAACTGGTTGGTGGTTTCAAACATCTTTTATTTTCCATTTCATATATGGGATAATCCTTCCCATTGACGAACTCATATTTTTCAAGATGGTTATTGCACCACCAACCAGATCATTATTAACCATCACTAACCAAAAAAAATCCACATATTAACCATTATTAACAGTATATCTTCCAATAGTATTCCAATAATATGATAACCAAAGATTCAAAACGACACCTCCAAGGAAACCACTATGACCTCGATGTTGGATGGTTGAACCAGAATGTTTGGTCCAAATTTCTGAAGTGAGAATCTCTCAGGGTTCCAGTGTTATACAACCCACACGCATTCATCACCCTCTGGCAAACTAACATATCTATGGAAAATCACAATTTTTCATGGGAAAATTCACTATAAATGGTGATTTTCCATACGTAGTTATGTTAGTTTACCAGAGGGTATTTATGTTCTTGTAATGGTTTCTTCCTCATACTTCTTGGACATTTGGTTACACAACAAAATCTTTCAACTATCTACCTGCATCTTTTCTACTTGGATATGCATCCAAAGAATCTTACGTGGATAAAGATTTTTTTAACATGGGACTTTCACCTTAATTCTATAGACAATCTGATTTTTCATGGGTTTGAAGGTCAAGAGCCTGAGATCATCCGATTTTATCTTCCCATAGACATACATCATACAGTACATTCAAGTCCATGTCCCCAATTTTGATTCAAATTCATTCCCATTAAAATCCCAAGTTTTTGTTCTTTGGTAAGATCTTTCCATAAATCAACATCAATTCAGCATATGTTCCCCATTTTTTACTTCTTTGGTCCATCTTTTCCAACCCCTCGTGGCTCCCACAGCACCGTTCAACGCCCTTGGCGCCACGAGGCTACGCGGTGCATCGCGCGGACGCGTCGGGGCAGCTGCTGTCGGTGGATGCCTTCGTCTGTTTTCGCGTGGAGGGCGATGCCTGGCATAGAATGGATTGAGGGGATTGCCATACCCTCAACTACTCAAGGTCAGTACTGGGGGGTGGGGGAGTGAATTTCCTAGGGTCTGAACTAGTAGTATATGTCAGGCCCCCACCCAAGTAGTTGATGGTATGGCAATCCTTTATCCAAAGTTTATAACACATCATCCATTGATTGTCGCTGAATTCCAGGTTTTTAGAAGGACATGATAAGAACACGATGATTCACCAGTCTTTCTTGGAAGAATGGGTATAATTAAGCATGTTTTCAGAGAAACCCATATTATTGATGATGGGTTGGTGAGAACTAATATGCTTTTGAGAAACATTTTTTTGAAAGATAATTTTTGGAGTTTTCTTTTTTGGGAGGGTACATCTTTGGTGGGTTTTGGCATTTAAGGATTATGCTAGGGGGAGAATTAACATACTTTGAGCCCTTGACTAGTGTTTTTAGTATTGTTTATTGGTTTATTTGTTTTTCGATGTAAAGGGTAATTAGCTCTTTTGTGGTTTTGGAAACACAACAATGACATATATATATATAATGATGTTGAGTAGTCAACGAAGACCATGCAGAGTATTGGGTACAACAAAACATGTTTTGTGTTCTGTATCACATGGGAGCAACACGTCTGGGTACAAGACACCCCTTTTTTGTTTTCCGTAGCTGTATGTAGATAGAACCCTGTTTTGTAGCCAGATATGTCACACAATTTGGGAAGGGAGATGACATTGTGTGTTTTTGTGTCCAGAATCTTACCCAAAAAATCCTGTGAGTAATAATACGTAAATTTCGGATGTATCCTGAATCTGCACATTGTTGTTGGTTTAACAAATACCAATTTGTCAAAACCACCATTGAATCTCGGCAGAACAGATTGAATCTCAAATGGGCCATCACACCATTTCGGTCAGGGATGATTTCCTTTACATATAGGATTTACTAAACATGATTTGAGGTTACTATTTTGCCAAGAATCAATCCACATGTATATATATATATATATAAATATGTACCTGGAGGGTAGGAGAGACGTATAATTTTCAATCTTTGGTGATTTTTAGTCCTGAGCCCAAAAACTGCCTTTTGCCTTTAAGCCTCGTTCCAACAAGGTTTCTCCCAAATCATCCTATAACCCTTCCAATCCCCAAGTATCCCTGGCTCATCGCTTTGGCGATCGCAGCGGCACTGCTGATGGTGAGGTGCCAGGCTTAGAGCTGGGTGGAATTCCCCCAAGCAACAAATGCAGCGATTAAATACCGCTGTAAAACTCTAGTTTCGGTTGTCATGGCGCTGACCCTTCTACTAAGTAAAGAAGTTCTGCCAATAAAATCCTCAGCTTGACTACAAGAAAATGCCAAACAGTTAATGGGTTTGTTCCCATTGATGATGTTGGATTTCATATCCAGCATCAGATGGTGAAAGTAATGAATTTTAGGTTTGAACACCCAAAGTAGGCGCAGCAGTGCATGAGCTGCAGTAGCTAATTTGGAATATGCTTTCAAAAAGGTGAGGCCGGCATCCACGATCTTTTTCGCCATGTCTAGTTCCTACAGCAGGAGGACACATCCCCAAAGAAAGAGCCCCATGAATACTTTATGAAACCTGTAACTGTGAATTTGGAAAGGGCGCGGCTGTCACTTGCAACTCCGAAAATTTGTCTCTTGCGACTCCGCGCCGCTTACATCTCATATGTCACTTGTGGCTCGAAAAATCAATCACTTGCGACTCGGGCCCTTTTTCGATCCAGACAAGAAAAACGAGCGGGCTAGGATGTTAACGCTCCATGGCACTTGCACACCAAGAATAGCACACAAACACTAGCACACATACCTGTGCATGGGATGTTAACGTTCCCTGGCACTTGCAAAGCAAGAATGGCACACAAACACTAGCAACCACAATTGGGTGGGGTGGGATGTTAACGTTCCCTGGCACTTGCAAAGCAAGAATGGCACACAAACACTAATTAGCACAAATACAAGTTGACCCACGAGTGGGGTGGGGCGGGGTGGGCGCATGGGATGTTAACGTTCCCTGGAAACCAAGAATGGCACACAAACACTAGCACATGTTGAACCAGGGGTGGGGTGGGATGGGATGTTAACGTTCCCCGGCACTTAACCAAGAATGGCGCACAAACACCAGCATACATACGCATTGAACCAGGGGTGGGATGGGGTGGGATGTTAATGTTTCCTGGCGCTTGCCAACCACGAATGGCACACAAACACTAGCACACACACACACGTTGAACCAGGGGTGGGGTGGGGTGATGTCAGCGTTCCATGTAGTTATTTCCCCGCAACCCCAGGTGATCATCAAATCGAATATTTCAAAAATAAATAATACAGTTACACAAACATCAATGCAATGGTTTCAAGTTGCTCTGTGTTTCACAGAACTTGAAACGGCAAAAGAAAATCGATGTCGCAATGCGCAAAGGTCCCTATTTGGAGTTACAAGCGACAACCATGTCGAGTTGTAAGTGATAAACGTTTGGAGGTGTAAGCGACTGTCCGCCCATGGAAAAAGCCAAACCCAAATTTTGAAATATGATTGGAAACCAAGAATCGATCCATAAATCTGCTTCGTAGAGTGTTTTCATGCACACTCCAATGGCAGTGCTAGCCACATGAATGTAGTGTAGAATCTTGTCACTCGCAGCACCATTGTCCTCAAGAAAAAGTTCGGCAATGTATTGAATAAATGCAATGATTTTCGATGTATCCGATGCTTTGCTCCAAGTTCCGGTAGGAAATACCTTTGTAGCGTCAGGAAATCCCAGCAAATTTCGGTTGAACGAGCCAGTGTGAGTGTACACTTTGAACATTTTTCTCCAAAGCTTAAAGGACCGATTCAAGGTGTCCAGCTGCGCCTCCACACCATCCCCAAGAGGAGACTTGAATGTGACAGGAAGCATGTAGACTAAGCATGACCCAGCAAAATCTTGACCAAAGCCAGCTAAGTAGATGTGGAAGAGGTCAGGTAAGAAAAACCGCCCTGGTCTGTCCAGATACCGGTGGCAAAATGACACTATAGGAGGCTCATCATCCGTGTTCCAAGGTGGCTCGGTGAAGGTTTCCATGGCCTTTTTCCAGGCCGGCTCCTCAGTATGCAGTTCCTCAAACGGGTACTTAACATCACCTGCTGGGCACAACCAGCAGCACAAACCTTTGGTTTGTTTGGTGTTTTTCTCATTGATCGGACCCTTCCTTGTAGTTGAATACCACCTCGTCATTTTGCCAGCCCGGGCCTGTAGCTTCAAATCCCCTTTCATCCCAAGACATACCAATCGCAACCGGCGACCATTGACAACTATTCCAGTATCGAAGCACTCCCTCAAATCAGCACCAAATTGAAGAAGCATTTCTTGAAAGCAATCCTCATTGTCTTTGTGCAGTTTTTGGGAGAGGGTACCCCAAAGGAAATGTGTAGCGTAGGAGTGGCCCAGCAAGTTCACCTGCATCTTGGATGATGGTTTTCGAAATCTTCTGATGTCTGGATCTTTGCGATTTGCTCTACCAGTGCCGTTCCCCAAAGCTGAAGACCAATTGAACACCATATACTCGGACTTTTTAAAGCCCCGACCACCATCAGCATGGCAGTATATTGGGATACAATCAGACCACTGCACTTCTTTGGGGGTGTCCGCTGAGAAGAGCTCAAAGTCTGGGTGAATCTTCTGGAAATTGCCCCAAAATTTGGTAAACTTGGCAGCAGATTTGTCCAAGGAGGTCCCACCCAGCAAGCGGTACAAGTTCCCAGTCTCGCTCATGTAATGCAGAAAGTCTATGGGCTTCAACCGTGGAATTCCCTCAGCAAAGAGATTGCCACTAATGATTGTGATCGGAATTGGCAACGATAACCCAAACTCAGCCATAATTGGATGAATATGTTCTTCCGCATGCTGATTGATTGTAGCTACCCGCTTCACAACACTGCAGCGTGCTACTGCACTTTGAGATCCCTGTGCGTCTGCCCAGGCCGACTTCGCATAGGAGACAACGCGTTCGCAAGGCACCTCAGGGGCCGGTGGAAAACAGTTTGTTTGCCGAAGGTGGCCTACCTATAGAAAGGGTGATCAACATATTCCAAATGTCCAAATGTATCCTACTGCACCAAGTTCAACAGCAATGGCAACCACAATCTTGGTGGCGTCGGACCTTTCTTCATCTAGGCGCACGCGGATTTAAATACAATATAAGTGAAGAAGGGGCCATGTTCCATCCGCCTTCCTTCACCACCCGGCCTGATGTTTCTGCATCCGGGTTTGTTGAGATGGGGCTCAATTAGGACAGCTTCCATCAAAGCTGCTTCTTCCCAGGTAGATCCAGCATATAGTACATACATGCATTTGAATTTCTCATGGCTTTGGTAGTAGCCTGGAGATGGTGAACCAGAACATGGTTTCTTGTAAAATCGTAGCAGGGGATCAGCCGTGATGCCAATCTTGTACACTGTAGGCCCCTGTTCCAAAACATGTTTAATTACTTTTCTGCAGCAGGCCAATGCTTGGCCAGTGTTTGCTGAAACCGGTGGCAATTTCAACCAAACCAACGCATCCCTACCGAGGCCGCTCAGAAGTAGTTTCCGTAGGGCTGGAAGATTTCTCAGAGATGGCTTGAAAAGCTCCAAAGCCTCTTGACCTTAAAGTAGCTAGCAGCTCCATCGACTACAAACCCCAGTGCAAGCTAACATCGGAATTTTCAAGGAAACATAAAGTGCTGCTATTGTGTTCAAATGTGAAAATCGGGCACCGAACACTTTTGGTTTTCATCGGGGTCTTGAAGCCGAAAAGAGATGGGACTGCTGATCCCGCATTTGCGGATCTTCTCAGGTCTGCAGGGAAGTGGGCTGTGGCTGTGAGAGTTTTCAACAGCAGTTGCCCGGGAACCTGAGATACATGAAGGTATGTGTCAGGTGAAAACTGACGACAAACAAAGGTCAGAACCACAAGTCAAACTATATGTACGAGTGGTGTAAGAGAAATTTGGGTTGCATCCAAGGTGCATGGTTGCAGGCCATGCAAAGAACTAGACCATGGCTTGCTAATATGCTTCGGTCTAATGCTAAAACCTAGCAGTTCCTCTAGCCATTGAGACTCCTCTTCCATGTCGGGCCAAACTCTGACTGGTGGTTCGCTTTACACAGGGTATCAATGGTGTTGAGATGTGTTGGGCATACTTGCTAAGTTCGGCACACCAGTGCCCACAAGCTCAGCAAGGTGTTTTGCAGTCTCACTGATCTTTGCACCTGGCATGTCGGCATGTCAGGCAACCCTCCAACACATTGGCTGAAGGGATGGTGGGAAAATGCTTGAAGGGATGGTGGAAAAGTAAATGCCTAAACTTTGACAGGTTCAACTTGGGAATGCCTCCTTGTCAACAATAAGACAGTTACTTGCGATCAATGCTAGTCAATGACGCACAGGTTTGAAACTTTTTCAAAGCATCGAGCCAACGTAGATATCTACAGGCACTCCCTGCATTGCAAGGCTGGCCTGTCCATACCCCAACAAGCGTTCAGTAACGCTGAAAAGAATTAGTCGAACCAGATTGATCGACGAGCAACATGGTGAATTTCACCAAGGTGTGGAGCCGTTTCCAAGCAGAGCATTGCACCAAGTGTTTTCAACATGTACCTATATAGCCGCTACAGCGAGGGAGGCACCCCATCAACCTGTTGCGGTTCAGTCGTCCTTTCTCTCAGCATCAGCAATCTTCTTTGGCTTCCGCATCATTGGCCTAGGCGGCAGTTTGGAAAAATAACGTTTGGGTGGTCACCGAAAGTTGGAAATAAAGATCCACAGAATTGCAAAAGTCAAGATTATCAGCCCCCTCTCTGCCTCTACCCAGTACACAAAACATCTTGAAACAAGTAAGTAGTTACAAACCTTTCTTTGCTGACACCCTCTGGTGCTGAGGCCACTGCCTGGTCTTCCGCTCCAAAGATGCCCACATGGCGAGCCTCAACCGCCACAGGAGCAATGTGGAGGATTGGGGTGGAAGGCGGGCAAATGGCTGAGGGCTAGGCAATTTCTTGCTCTCGACAAGCTTGGTGGACAACTGGCACTTCCTTGGATGGAGTAATTGAAACATATTGAAACCATTTTCTGGTTGATCGGAGATGCAATTTTTCAAGTTGGTTTTACCAAGTGGCTCTTCAGTAGTTTCTCCCATTTTCAATTCCGCTGAAAGCTTGGCAAGCTGGTCATAAAGGCCAAGGATTTTCGAGTTCATGTCATCGACTTCTTGCTTGACCCTGGGTCAAACATGTAGTGTCGTTTGGACACATGGGAAAAAAGAGTATTGGTTGAAATTCTAACTTCCCCCTGGCAACAGGGTTCCAGTCCTGTCTGCACCACTAACCACGGATTTGGACAGCTTCTCCGAGCTCTAGCTTACCTGCAAAAGCTCCTTCATGTGCATCTCTACCTGGTGCGCCTTGCAGGATTGCAGTGGCAAAAGCTGGTGGAATGCACGCCCCCTGGCTTGTAATACAGTGTGTTTTTGGTGGAAATTGAAACAAAACCCGTTTAAACAATGCACTGCCTGGGTAGGCTTCTCTACCTTTTCCGCTGGGCCATGACATCCCAAAGAGCGAAGGTCAATCCCATCCTTGAGTTTAAGCATGCTAAAGGAATCGGTGTGCCCTTCAGCTTCCACTGATTGCTTCAACCCTTCCCGCTGACGGTTCATTTCTTTGCCCTTGACCCGGATATTGCACCAGTAGTAGACGATTGAATCATCAACTTCATCTTTCCTAGGAATTCGGGCCGGTGTGGCTCATACTGTTCCAGCCCGTGAACAATTACAAGGTATTAGGCCCAGATGTTTGATCTTCTTGTCAAAAAATGAAACAGAATGATAATTCTAATAGTTCTGCTTAGAAAATATGCGAATGATGCCTCTAGGAATAAATGGAAATCTTTGCATGATGCAATGGTTCATATATTCAATGGCTCCCCACAGAAGCCCAAGAGGCAACATGTACGACGGATCATTGTCTCCGCGTTCAATCGTCTTGTCGATCTTGGACCTGGGCACCCCAGTTTTGGTTTAAGAGAAACATAACACAAAGGTGAGCCCCAAAAGTAGCACAGAGTACATATACAGAAGGAGAAAAATCAAAACATTGTCTGGTTTAGCTGGTTGACTGCGGGAAATTCAAAATGGTTTTCATCTCCCCGGGAGTATAGAAACCACCTTCACGGTCAAGCTCATGGATCTTCTCTGATTCAAACTCAAGTCGAACCTTCTTGATGAAAGCATCCTAAAGGGGTCAGGATTTACCAAGTATGCACGTACGCATGATGGATATTATGTTTGGCTAATTCCCTGACAAAAGTCCCCAAACACTTATACTGCTACAATCCAGATATTTCAAACATGTGTGTTTAAAAAGCCCAAGTCTTGGACCCAATCCTTTTCACCACCAGTGCTGATGAAAGCCTCAAACAGCTTTTCTCGAGATGCACCCTTCTCATTGTACTGCTTGAAGATGTCATTGGGGACATTGATTTTCCCCGAGGCACGGGCAGGTTCACATTGACGCCTGAATTTGCCTTGATAGCAATCGAAGTCTTTCTGGCTGAGCACTATGGATCCAACCCTCTTCACCCCCTTCGATGCAGCGGGCTGCGCCGCCTGCCATACCCCCATACCATGATTGGAAGTGTCTATTATTTCGAATAGATATCCCATGATAACCCTAGATAATATGGAAGACATTCTTTGAACATATTTGGTTGGGTTTCCTTTGGTGCCCAGAGAAGATCAACCACGGTTCCAGAAAACATATTGCCTCCGTCTGCTGCGAGGTTGGCGGGCTGATCGAGCTTGGTGTCACTGTCGAAGGTGTGGACGAGCTGCTTGCCTTGAAGCGGCATATGGTCATGACAGGAACGGCTTTCGGAGGGCCAACAAGAGCCATGTTGGGAGAAAAACAAAAACTGACAACTATTGGTTTAAATGACATAAAGTCACATCAGCATCGTGCAAAGCATGTGGCACCCCCAAAGGTGAACGGGCATGGTGACCAGTCTTGTGTGGAGGAGTACTGCAACCATACGGATCCACAACCACTGGTTCCCCATCCTCTGAATCAGAACCCATTGCCATATGTGCAAGAGCCATGCGCTGATAGAAATACAACTCCGGATTGTCCTCATCAGGCTCAGGCAAAACCTGGGCACGACGTGCGACTGGTCCCCAGGTCTAAGTGTGTTTATCAAACCAGTATATATAACTTCTATACATAACTATATATCTAAATCTTTCTATAAACCATAGAATCAACCTATGGCATAAAAAAGTTATCCTTCTCTAGGGGGAGCCCACCTTATACTCATTCACGGATTTGGGGGATTGTCGTTGGAAAATTGTACCGCACCACGAAATCATAAACAATGGTAAGTTAAATAAGACATCATGCTGATTGAGGGGAGGGTCGTCAAATTCACCATCCAACTGGTATGGGTCCTTGTCATCCAGCTGGTATGGATCTTGGTCGATTTCCATCTTAATATGGGTATCCATGGGGTCAGCGTGCAAATCACCTGGCTGGGTTTCAGCTTCAGCGATGGCTGTTGCCTTGGCTTCAGCCAATTCGATCTTCGAAGACATTTCCTACCAGGGAAACAGCAATACACAAAAGAGTGGGCATCCCCCAAAATCATTCGTTGATGTCAGTGTAATTAAGTAGAAATCATGTCCCATTTGCAGTTTTTGGAAGTTGAAGAAGCTTAGAATGTCTCCTTGATACACTTCTCCAGCTCCTCTTTAGAGTCTGGCAAATTCATGGCGGCTAAAGCGCTTTCCATCGAAGCACAACTCCACATACGACTCTGAAGGTCCATGGGGGGGCCAACAAGTTACCAATCTTTATGGGACGACTTTGAACATAAGCAAATGCTACAGCCATCATGGTGGTGAATCCCTTACATGTTCCTTCCAAAAACAGTAACCAAATCAGCTTGGAAAAAAGCCTACAGATGACACGGTTTTGGTGCAGAAAAGTTGGTCTTTCGCGTCTGTTTAGCGTCTTTTCTGCGTTGTGTTTTTGGGCGCGCAATTTTCAATCTTTCTTGATTTTTCGTCGTTCGCGTCTGAAAACTGGTCTTGCGCGTCTTGTTTTTCATCGTTCGCGTTGTATTTTTGGTCGTTTTGTTTCCCAAATCCCCAAAATTGATCAAAATGATTGAACATAAAGTAAAAACCATTGGTCAATAGTACTGAATGGGGTGTGAACTGCCGAAGCCTATTACCAATGCTGCTTCACGGTAATCTTTCTGGGTAAGTGCCCGAATTATGGGGATATGAGTGCGCTTCGATTAGATTATGTTTTTGGAAAATGTGTTCCCACAATCATGTCTACAGCCAGAACCTATATACACTCTTTTGCTTTCCAGCCCCCACAGAAGCATGGTCGCATCCAGTCAAAGGGCCTTAGATGACCCGAGGAAGAATCTTCCTCCAGGGACCTGGGATTTGGAGGCGCTTGGCCCCATATAGATATTTTACAAAGGAGCGCAGCTGCGCATCATCCCAGCAATCTTCTTCCCATTCCCAGCTCTGCCAAAATTCAATTGGGTCGATTGAGGGATCGTGGGTAACGTAATCACATTGAGGTAGCAGATACTCCAGGATCAGAGCAATCTTGTTGCCGAATTCGGGGGTGTAGTGCCTCAAAGAAGGGTATACAACAGATGTCTAGGGGCTAATCCCAAAAAAATATCGATGGCTGAATATATTTTTTTTTACATGTTTTAAAATGGGAAAGCTAGAAAACCCCCGCCCAATCATACCCTGGTCTGTGCTCCCTCAACAACTGAGGGTGGGTCTCAGTTGCTGACAAGTCTGAGGTTCCATGGAAACGAGAACGGCCTTCGGCATCATGGTATTGGATGCAAGGCTGTGGGTTGTGCTCCCGTTTGGCCTTGGTTTCCTTCACACGTTTTTTGCACAAGCGGCGGGTCCAAAACAACCCAATAGAGCGCGAACTTGACCATAAGATTGTTCTCTTAGGTGAACCACTTCCGAAGTGCCACATCCAAAACGTTGATCGATACACCTAATGGGGGGATATCCCAGGTCTGACCATTTGGGCCCACTATAGTAGCAGTATCATAACCAGTCTATCCCTTTGTTGGAGCCAGGTAATTATATGGGATGTGTTTGGTGGGATTACTGCCTTCAAAACATCCAAATACAACCCCAGCCTGTATTTGTTCGACGACCCTTTGCATTCTGTCATGCAAAA